AAGCACAAGCTAAAAACCCAGCTCTTGTACGTATTATATGTTAACCTCCGCTTTTGCACAATGAAGGCGCCTGTTTACTTATGTGCATGGGCATGCAAATGGGTTTCCGATAAAATGTACATTTTGAGTGCTTATAAAAGCAGCAACAGGATAGGATGACTACCTGCACTGACATTACGCTCATCTTTCGTCGTTTAATTTCTGCAGCTGACTTTGACATAGTCGGTTGCCTGCGTCACATTTTAATTATGGACATTTATGCAGTAATTTCCAGTACAACTTGTGGTGCGATCCGTGTGAAGATAAATGTTGGCGTCTTTCCTTCCGCTTTACATGCATTTGTCAATATGGCGTATCCTCTACATGATTACATCTGATGATCTGCACAACCGGTAACTGAACTGTCACCTTTCTGTGGGCCAAGCTGATGCAGACATCTGCGAATGTCTAACTAGTGCTGATTTATTAAACAACACGAGGTAAACGTTCGTGGATGTAGGCTCTCTTGTTACAGTAAATGGCTGAATGATTGAAGCTAAAATTGTTCTTCCATCCTGTGCGGTACATGCAAGAATAGATCAAGGATACAGTGGAACCTCCCGACCCTGAACACTCTCGGTACGCAGTCTCTTGTTCAGGGTTCAGAGGTGTTCATGATTCGGAGGTACTGCCCCTAGGGGCGGAAACCTTCAATTAGGGAGGCCCCCTGGCTTTATATCAATTATATATAGCTATCTATAATGTATTATTTGTATCCTGTTTTGATGTTCAGTTCGATACCAGGTTAAAACGACGATTAGAATTAAAAAGACAAATTTTAATATTTGTCGGCCGAAAATCATCCAGAATATAGTTTCTCTTATCAGAATAAGGAGCGGTTAGCTTGTCCGCGACGTGTTTCTTGCCGTGCTGTTCATATAAAAACTAAAAATTTGTCCACAAAATAAAATACTAAACGGCAGACGAATAGTTACGATTAATATACTTAAACACCATGAACGCTTGATCTGCCCGGATGTTTTGCTGAACTGCTCTGTTCAAGTCGTGGAGGTCTAAGTTACTAAGAAGACACACTACGGTACGTAAGAGAGTGTTCACGGTTCAGAGTTCAGAGGTGTTCACGGTTCAGAGGTCCCCCCTAATGTTATACATTACGAGAAGCGCCGGTACGAAAAAAGTTGCTCAAGATTCGGAGGTGTTCAGCGTTCGGGGGTGTTCAGAGTAGGAGGTTCCACTGTAATCCTAATGATTAATATGTTACGCGAGTTCTCTTCCTCGATCGTGGATCTGCAGGAATAAAATCAACGTAGTCGCGCGAAAGCGGATAAGTAGTCAAAATAAAAACAAACAATGTGACCTTTTCGATACCATCAGTGTTGCTAGTCTATGGTTTTCATTTTTTACTCCTGTGAACGCATTGTTGACAATTCGCCTTAAGCAGACATCTCTGCCGCAGAAGTTTCAGTGGTTTGGTTTCATGTGTTTGTGTATCCACAGAGTCTGTGGACACACAAACGGATGCAACCACACTATTACATGAAGGTAGTTTAGGTGGTAGTTTATCCTGGCCTTCGCGCACAACGTGAAAGTGCTGTTAAATATCATTAGCGATTGTGGTATCGTGAGTTGCCTCCGCCTCCTTTGCAGCTTTGGTCCCGTGTTACATTTGTTGGACAAGTGGCTCACTTGTCCAATCAAAGTGACACGGGGCAAAATTGCAGAAATTGAAGTGAGTAACACTCGCACTGTACCTAAACGCGCGATAGGCCTTTTGAAAATTACTTAACAATTTTAAGTTAACGTGCTACTGGGCAAATATCAAGGGCACTTAAAAAAAGTGTATGAAATTCTATATTCGATAATACTCGTTGTAGCCGTTTATCATAATATTCAGTTTTGGTTGATTTTCTTCCGTGGATTTTACACCAGTTACCAGTGAGTACCTACTACCTAGTGACCAGAATACCCGTACTGCATTTTAAACGGTGCTTCAGTTGGGTTTCTTCTGTGGAGTTTACGCTGTACCTGTACTACTGCTGTTTTGTTTAAGTGTAACTGAATCTTGATATTGTTATCGCTCTATTGGAAATAAAAGAACATGCAACAAACTACAAATGTGACGGTTAATACAGTGTAAACTCCACAGAAGTTTCTTTGCTGGCGCTGCTGCTGTATGACAACCGCTGGAATAATATTTTTCCATGGAAATGCTGCTCCCAGTGCTGCCGGTAGTGACAAAGATACATCTAACATTTACGTAAAAGCTAGATGCTACAAACAGTATGCAATACAGCAGGCAATGCTTGGCTGCTGTATTGCATATTGCTTGTTACATCTGCTAATCTTTGCCCTGTAATGGTTGTAAGATGGATCATGGGAGTACGGTATCAACAATCTGCATTAAATAATTTATTCCGAGTGTTGATGCCAATCTGTGTTACAATATTGCCGATCCTTCTTATTGCCGGAACATATTCGGTAGCAGGGGAGAACCTATGTATTTTGCGCTCCGCTGTCTCCAGTTATGCTATTGTGCGCATAGTTACATCATAATCGCAGTAGCAAAACTGGAGATATGGTAAATGTCCTCACCCAGCAAAATTCAAATTCCGGGCTTGAAGGAGAAGGTGAGACGCTGTATAACTACATAAATGCAGTCATTGCATCATCTGCATCATCATCAATAACTGCATAAATTAGTGAGCTTTTTGAGCATAAATTAGTGAGCTTTTTTTGCATAAATTAGTGAGCTTTTATTGATTCTTACCAAAGTTCTGTTTTTTATTCGGTCGAACGAATATTATTATTTATTAGATCAGGTTTCCCTTTGAATCTTCTGCAGTCCCCAAAAGAGAAAAAAGCTACCGCTCAATAGTAAAGAGAACTGGCCAGTTAAAACAAAACGCCCTGTGCCAGCTTTTTTTAACTAATTGTAAGTATACATATGTACAGTATATCGTTCGTAAATGTTAGGTGTAAATAAATCTATTAAAGTATCTGATATCATGCAGTTTTCTATCAGTCAGTATTATAGATATTAGGGTCAGTAAAAGGAAAAATTACTCATTGCTTCAACATCCCTGCGTGTAGTTCAATCCCCCAGTTCTAAATACTTCTCGAAATATTTCTAGCTTCGCTTCGGTCTTTTAGTGCGAGCGAGCAGCAGCGGTGCACTTCCCTAGTTTATTACATTTATACGTTCAACGGAATAAGTAACAAGAATTTTTGCTGCCATCGGACTACCTACTGTGGATACTGAAATGGACGGAACTACAACACGCCGTGATTGCAGTTGTGGTTGTAATACTGGCATTCGCCCTATACGCGGAAAGCATTACTTTCCAGGTTTAGCACGAATGCTAGTATTAATTAGTTAAGTCACCATAAAATACCCCCGCCTTTTTGCAGTCGAGGTCCCGTTCCACATCTACTGGATTGGTGAGTAAGACTCACACTAAATACGTACGCGATGGTTTTGCAGTGCCAATTTATATCCATGGACTACTTGTGCACAAAGCAACGGCAGTTTTTTGTAAACAGAAACAGTAAAGCCCATTCGAGTTTTGCCCACAAGCGACACTTTATTTACGCGTACAAGTGATCGGTGTCTAGTACTAGATTTACGTACATGCCCGGTGACATTCGCTTTCGCACGTACTGAAACACTTTTATGACACTGCATCGTTTTATGAAATTGTATATCCAAAATGTGATCTTTGTGCATTGGCGTGAAAATCTGTATATTGTGCGTGCAACATGCTTCTGGATAAAATGGGATGGAAAGTTCTGCATAAATTAAGATAAACAAATTCTGATGGAGATGTTTTAGGATCACCTATAGCTTTTGCAGTATGTCCAAAATTACTTGTAAAAGTTTTGACCTGAAGTAAAATGGGATAAATGCAGATAGCCCGATACAAAAACAGATGATTATATTTCCACGAATAGAGATGCTCGTATGAAATTTGGGCATTAATGATGACTAGCATTTGTTCCTGCATGAGCGCACATTTTTACGCGGCGTGATAGAGTAGTATCACGCTGCGGTGAACAGAATGTTTGTAGAAATAATGCATAGACTTTGGGCGCAGTTTCTTGCCACATTTCTCGGTAATGTTTACAGGTTTTCGCTCGGGAACACACTGGGTAAGTGACTTTAATTTGTTGTCTGCTTTTTCTGGTGACGGCCTACGAAAACACCCTGGGGAAAGGGCGCTTGCCGTCACAGTGCAAAAAGTCAGCAGCTTTCGTCACGGCCCTTATTTGTTCGTTATTCCACTCCATTTGACTAATCATTCGCGGGTGGATGACATTCGCAGTTTTTACAATTATTTTGATCGTTGTTTTCGCAAGGTTACAACTTAAAAAGTGTACGACAGCCTTTTAAAATAATTAGGTCGCTTCCGGAATTAGCGGCAATTATACGCGCGAAAATTATACGTAGACAGCTGACTGCGCTATTTTGTCACGCTAAAAGAAACCAACTAATCTGTCCTAGAAATTTCATGCAGAACAAATCACGGCTCATCTTTTCTAAACTATATGGGCACTTCGTTTAGCATGTATGCCTCGATCTTGATTAACACGTGACGTATCTGCGGTTATCTTTCTGGTTAATTCGGAATAAAATCACGTTTGAGCATGCGCAGTGAATAACGCTATAAACGCCCTGCACGGACGAGGACGACATCACAGTGATTACACAAACCCACGCATTAATCCACTTGACTTGATTAATCAGGTACTAACGCCTGCGGTATCCAGATCTTTCTACAGACTCATTTAACGTAAAAGTACTCTCAGCGGAACAATAACAGGAAACAGTTTTACCAGTCCATCTCTTCACATCAATGCATTTTGGCCTTTAACACGAAAATAGCGCCAGAAAATATACTATAGTGTTTACTTAGCCACAGTATTTTTAAAGTTCTGCTTGCAACCATGAATGCTTCAAACATCTCCGCAAGACATGGTATTCAGCTGCGGCACGAAACCGCATTCCGTTCCATCGCATTCATTACCGTTTCATCGTGTCTATGCTTGGTAACATGCAGTCTAACCATTCTCCTAATGGTCGTCATTATCCGGCAAAGGTCACTCTTTAGCGGCGCCAAACTGTTAATTCTCCACCAGCTTTTCGTGGAATCCCAACTGACCGTAATCCACTGGCCGGTGTATATCCTAGAATTCGCCTTATCCCAGCACAGTTACCACTTTTCCACGGGATTCTGTCAGCACTATAATATGGCTTATATGACGACAATGACCGCCGGCTTATGGGGGCTGCCTGTTCTAGCAGGCAATCGTTTTCTGGCCGTGGCCAGTCCCCACAATTATTCCCACTGGAATCGCCTATCTATCAACGTGGTGTTGATCATGATTCCCTGGTTCATTGGCTTCTTCGATCATCTGCATTTTTATGTGGGCGGTGACGGCGGATTCGGCCCGACGTCGCCGTTCGGTATCTGCAGTTTTCAGCGACCGGCCATCAGCTTTGCCATCGCCAATATCTTCAGTACATATCTTCCGCTGGGTTTGGCTGGGCTCATGTATATCCTGTTGTTCCTTAAAGCCGTGGCGATTAACCGGAAACGCCAGATCTGGAATTCGTCGGGCAGTCTGTCGGCGGAGCTGGTGCAAAATTTCCGGCGACGTATCCGCTTGGCGCGACTCTTATTCGCGATGACGGTGGTGCACACGGTGTGCTTTGCCAGCATCCCGGTGCTGCAGTCGTTCTTTGCGGCAGCGTATAATCGCGATCCGATGACGCGAGTATGGGTGCGTCAGTTTTTCTGTCTCGGCTACCTGTCAACACCGGTGTGTTTACCATAGGAAGTTAACATCGTTAAACATACATAGATACGCATTTATATATTTTTAGACACTATATTTTTTAAATAACATATACGCACACATTCATTTGTTTTTACAGAAAGTTTGAAGAATAATCGTGTGCTGACAATCTTTGCAGGTGATGTTTTTCGCTTTGAATAAGGAATGTTGGGAAGGTGCCAAAAGGATATTCATCAAGCCACCGCCCTCTACAACCACCGTTGCGTCTGCTGATAAAGTGTAATTCCATATTGCGTAACTTTTTTATCGATTCATTCGTAACATGGTGTTATTAGTTAACGTTCAAAGGTTTCCGCTATTCGCGAAAGTGAATCTTGTTAATTTCCGAAAATACTTTCAAATGCTCGTTAAATTTTCTCGGTGTTATAATAAGCTGGTATGGCTGTTCATCCGCTGCCAGTTATGTGGACGCTGCAAACGCAGGCTTGTAAAGCTTCAGCGCAAAAAAAGCTTGAAATCCAGTACGTTAAATTGCCACGGGTAATGAGGAAAAAATTTGCCCGTGGCAATATTCCTGTCCGCTTAATTACTTCGCAAATACTAAAATCCGTGACAACAGTTTGGGCAGCAAAACACATTAGGTAAATTGGCATGGAGGAGCAAACATATTTTGTAAGTACGTAGTGATGTACAGTCAGTGCTTAAACATTTATAGTGCCATGCGCAAATTGTTATGTACATATACTCGATGTACTTCTATAAGGAGAAAAACCGCTTTACTCAAACCTTATACATGTACCGTATATGTACCGCGCCGGCTTTAAAAATATGCACTGCCGGAACGTCACACTCCAGCCGGGTGACGGAAGCAGGGCCGTGAATTGGTTCGACTAAAATAATTTTCCCTCCTTTTTGCAATCAATAAACCACACATTTCCCCCCTACATCGTTAGTGATGTGCATCATCCATAATGCAGATGCAGAGATAGGCAGTCATGACTCACGAGGCCTCACAACACAAGATACATAAGAGATGCTCGCAGCATCTCTTATGTATCTTCCATTTTTCATATGTATCCAACTGTCTTCGATTTGAACTTTAGTAGCCACATGTAACACCAGAATGCCAACGTATCCTTACCAACGTATGCCAACGTATCCACCGTATATTATTATTTACTGATTAATATTAGTTTGTTAGACTTATTGGATTAGTTTTTTAATGAAATTAATAGATCTTTTAGAATTCTTAACAGGTTACATGTGGAACGGCATTTTAGAATTCTTAAAAGATTACATGTGGAACGGCAAATATAGAGATTACTGCGGGATACGGCAGTAAAAGAAGAAGACGACAAAGTGTTCAGATACATGCAGGATAAATACCAGTCACTAGATACAATTCCAAGAAACAAAAATTTATACTTTAACATGTGTCTGTATCTGTAGATACCTTGCCGTCGCGACAAAATGGTGCTGCTGCTTTAAATTAAGAAAGATTCCAGATACTTTTCATTCCCCTCTGGATAGTCCATTATTATTATAACAAATGTTAACAAATCGGAAATTCATTTTGCTTTCTGTAAAACACTGGTAACAGAAGTCTGTTTCTTAGTGTTTGTATGTCTGTATGTATGTCTATCTGTATGTACAGATACTGAACGACTGTTCCAATCGGTCTTTATCGAGAACGCGTGACAGGATGACTGCCCTTCCCGTTCCAGCGCAGCTATGGTTACTCAGCACCAGACTGGTTTCATCTGTCAAAAGTAGTCATTTAAGTTTTAAGCTGCTGTGCTCTGTAGACATCGAACAAAGCATGGTTCTAATTAAGTGAATATATACGGTTCTTAGGATGAAACGTATTAAACGCTTCATAAGGATTTAAGGATGCTGTAAGATTTGCAACGTTTAATCACGTATTGTTATTCACGTACGCAATTATGGACCCATGTCACGCCACTATCCACCTTCAAGGATGATTATCGAAAACTTAGCTTATACTGCTTTTCTTAAAAATCTCAGCACAGAATTATCTTCCTTAAAAAGTTCAATATCCTGAACAAATTAAGTAGCATACGGATCTTAAGATTACAGTATCTGCTTGGCTTAAGCATATTTAAATAATATAGTCGTTATCCACCAGATGTGTTTTGCTCTGCAAATATTTTAACTTTTTCGTAATCTACCCTTAAAATTCTGTAAGGGGTACCGGTGCTACCGGACATTTAAAGATATTCAAGCCGTAGCTTACGGGAGTCATAGCGCCTCCTGCACCTACCCTAAGTAGTAAATGAGCCCCTGCGTAGCCGCTAGTTAGTGGTTAATCCAAAATTAAGAAGAACAGTCAAAGCAACAGCGAAAACTAATTGAACAAATGACAAGGTTTGAGGAATGGGAGTCGTCGTATGCCGTGTCTCCGAATTTTGTCGTGCTGAAACCGGTTGAATCCCACGGGATAATACGGGATCACACACACACACCGCTAGCTTTCGCTGCATAACGACCACGTATGTCGGTGCACAACCATATCCCGGTGCGGTGCAGAGGCATTTCCATCCCGCTTAGGAACAGCGGAAATCGCTTTCGTCCGCAAATGCACGGGTCCACAGTGGCCGCCGCTGTATCGTACACTTACGAATTAAAGCGATTTCCGCTGTTTCGCCGAGAACGAGAAAAGTTCGGCCGCCGCTGATCACGGTAGTACCGGCAGCTCTGGACAAAATTAATAAAAGATGGCGTGACAGACTGCAGCAGCACAGAGAGGAACAATCTGAGATTGGGGTTGACAGTACAGCTGAGCTGCGGCATGGCAAGCCCCGGTCAGACTGAACAGACTGCAAACTTTGTGTGAGAAGCTGTATGTTTAACTAACTGTACGTGGCTGACTTCAGAAAGATTTAGGTAGTCGAAAAGTTGATACACTGCTTTTTATTCCGAGGTTGTGCGATGGCCTAAGGCAAATGATGAGGGCTGACTAACATATTAAACAGTTCAATAGTAGTCGGTATCGCGGTTAACTATTGCATATGTACAAATTATATACATACGGTGCATACATAAGGTACGTTGTACATTGCAGGTACCTATTGCTCATAATATGAATTTACCGTATAATTATCGTATTATTCTATCGACACAAACTACAGAAGTAACGCCAGTTGAAATTTCGGCAACGAAACATGCTTGGCAACGCCTTATTTACAGGGGTGCTACGCCAAGTTCGGACAGTTGGGTAAAATAAATTATAAAGTATTTCAGTTGGTCTTTTCGTTTCTTGTTTTGCACTTTTCTAGTGCAACTTTTTATGGCAAATTTAATAATACAAAAATCAGATCCGTTAAGTCTGTCAGGAACGAGTTATGCCCTTAATAAGCGGGAGGGGCAGTGAGCGTTTCAGGGATGGTTATAACAGCCTTTATGAAAATTCCCCAAACGATATTTTTGCACGGAATTTTTTTAAAACTTTTGAGTGGCTCAAAAGGTGTCTGTTTTGGGTTACGAAAAGAATTTCGCATCATTGGTGATCGAAACAGCTTCGAAACAACTTGTGTCTCCCATAGACTTGTATATTATGACGTACCTACCGAAGGATGGGGCTGCCTAGCACAGAGAAGTAAGTAACGTCAAGCTGATATATTCCGTAGATGGAACATGGTCCATTTTAAACGATTTTAACGTTTTAATTAATATCTATTGCGTAGACAGGGAGGGGAAAGCGCCGGAAAATTGGAAGGAAAAGCTAACAAAGCGACAGGAAAAAAAAGTGATGGTTGCCGTTTGGGTTTGTTAAATCAGCTTGTCTTTGGCTTATTGGGTGGACTAAAGCGTTTAAACTATCACTTAGTATCCTACAGATGAGATTTTATAAAAAAATGTCGTCGAAAACTTCACTACGTTGTAGGGCAAGCGTGTACAAAGGGTCACTCTGCACTTAAACTATGCCTATAGTTACATCCCAAAGATCACGTAGGTTTGGGTGTAACCGAACGATCTGAGATACAATTCGCAAGAGCCTTAAGTGACGAACATGTCAGACATATTTAGTTTGGAGAACGACGTCAACTGAATTTTTAAGCGAATTATAATTGGGAGGAAGGCTCCCGTGGTACATGGGTCGAACAGCATTTTGAAACTGGTCCGCTCTAGTTTCGGATAAACTGCAATTCGAAACACGATCTCAGCGTAAGGATTGATAGTCCAAAAGATAGTAGACACATATAAAAATGTAATGTGTTAGTTATTTGTAATGGGTGACCTGTGGCAGGTTTTCTAAAAAAGTGTCCGAACTTGGCGTAGCACCCCTGTACATTCTAATAATTTCCTGATTTTGGACGACTACTTCAAGTATACTGCCTACCGCCAAAACAGGGGGTCATCCACAAAAACACACTCTTTGCGCTACTTTCTCACAAAGATTCTGATCAAACGAGACACGCTGGCCTGAACCCCAACAGCTCCGCTATCAGTCCGCTACGGCGCGAGAACACTTTCGGTTTCATCCTTTTCATCAGCGTCTCCAGCTCGTTGTGCTTAATGACCAGCATTCTGACCGTCATCCTTCTAACCATTATTATCAAGCGCAAGTCTTTATTCGCCGGTACCCGTCTGTTACTGCTCCACCAGATGTGCACCGAATCCCAACTTGTCATTCTCCACTGGCCCTCTTACATACTGTCACGAGGAAGGTTTAACACCCCTCAAAATAACAGAAAATCTGGATGTGGGAGAACACGGGTCTCCCACAAATGAGGAGTTTATTGTCCAAAAGGGGAAAAATACAGAAATATGGGAAAAGGGAAGCAATAAACTGATCGCTTCCACAGGAAATGCAGGAAATCTATACCGGCAGCCACCTAGGGCGGCTGCGCCATACATCTAGCATGCACCGTGACAATACTCCAATTCGGCCTCGCGCCTCTGGGCATAACGTTATCGGCGGCACTCTGCAGCTACTATATTAACACGCTATGCGTAGAAAGCGTGTATTACGTGACGTACGTGTTGTCGGTTCCGTTACGCATGACTTGCTGTTCTTATCTAACTTTTGTGATCACTAATTCGATTAGCGATTCTGATTGCATGGTTAGTCTTTGGCTTGTCGTGTGAGAAGAGTCTGAAGACTGTGAAGTTAGCTTTTATTAGAAAGTTGGTGTGGCCTTCTGGTAGAAGTGCGTTTGTTCTGTTGATTAAACATTTGGGAAGTTCCTGAGTGTTTGGGTTTCGGTAGCTTTCGTTAGGCACATCCGCTGTACCTAGCGGAAGTAGGCTTTGTTGTGTACGACCACTCATCGGAGTCCAAGGTGTATTCCCACTGTACCGACTGTGTATGGTTGGTCATCGAGTATGGTAGTTGAGAGCAACTTCCGTATAGCATGTCAATATGCTGCTATACATGGCCACCACCGCGGTAGCCTTCTGGGGCTGTCCCTCCTGGCTGCCAGCCGTTTCGGAGCCGCCGCCTTCCCGCACATCTATCCACAGTGGAACCAGGTCAGCGTCAACGCTGCCTGCATCATCACGGCGTGGGTGATCGGATTCGCGGACTATCTGCGGTTTGCGCTGGATGATGAAGACGGATTCGCGGTGATCCCGCCGTTTGGCATCAGCGCGCTCGCTGCTCTCGGTCCCTCTTTTCAAGTCGCTACCGTGTTTAGCACGTATATGCAACTGGTGGTTAACGGGAATGATGTATTTCTTGGTGTTCTTGAAAGTTCTGGATCTTAAACGGAAACGCCAGATTCGAAATGTCTCCCGAGGGGACTTTAAACTTCCGAGCGCAGAATATTCGGCGAAGGATCCGCATAGCGAAATTATTCTGTGCTATGGCAGTGGGCATTTGGTGTTCTAGTCCCGCTACTTTCATCGGCAGCCCCAGCACTCTTTTATCGGGACCCGATGACCCGATTATGGCTCAGGCAGTTCTACCAGCTCGGTTATCTCTCCTCACCGGTAAATGCTTTGATTATTCAATTACGGACTCTTTTCCATAGGATCGGTTGCGATACTGAATTCCTTCAACTTGCTACATATCTTTTTCCAGCCGGTACACGGAAAGATTTTGATCTGTTTTTCCTATTTGGATCAATGATGTTAAAAAATTAAACTAAATTAAAAATTAAATTTTAAAAAATTAAATGGTGGTATGCGGAGTCAAAAGTGGTGTGCAAAAGGTGGTATTAGGAGGCAAAGGTGGTATGAAAGGTGGTACTAGGAGCCAACGGTGGTATAAAGGTGGTATGCGGAGCCTTCACCTTAATTTTAGCACTCAAAATATTAATTTTAGCACAGATTCTTAGAGGTTCATTCAGCGTTCCTAAAATCGCAGCAGCATTTTATCTAGCGATCGCCCGAATTGATCATTACCTAAAAACTTTGAATCAATGTATCCTGGCGCTTCGCAAATCTCTGACAATAAACATAATACAGTATTTCATCAAAGAGCGTTCCGAAATGTTACCACCGTCTTCACTGCCACTGGATGGAAGCGAGCCACTTTTTCGTAGAAGGTATATTCAGTTACATCAAGGTTCTTTTTTTCTTCAAATGGGACAACCTTAATGTTAAATAAATTAAACTTGTAATTCGGTATCCTTCTGATTCTGGCAAATGCAATCAGAGCTGCATGGTGATGGGTAAACCTTAACCCTTTCCTAGCCCACACAACCACAGCTCCTTCGAAGAATGGAGAAGCATTTCCAGTCAAGACGCTGTAGCGGCTGTTAGCTGAAATACCGTTACACGGGGTCGGCTACTTTCATCCTTCAAACTGAACCAAGATAGAGCACGCTTTACTAAAATCAGTAACATACATTAGGATATTATGTGATTCCGTCACTTCCACGACATGACGGAATCAGCGCGGAATTCACTCGAGGCTTGAAGTCAGCCGGTTTCCCTTCGAGAATGGAACCAAAGGTCTATCCGTGAAAGATAAGAAAAGGCCAGTTGTGATCACCCTTATTCCGTGGAAGCGCGGAAAACCGTTGGCGGTGGATGTTACCTGTGTGGACACGCTGGCGGCCTCATATATCGACCGCACTTCCGTGAATGTCGGCGCGGCAGCCGAACTCGCGGAAAGGGGAAAGCTAGCGAAGCATGCCTGGCTGCAACCAATGTACGATTTCGTTGCTGCAGCCATCGAAATTTACGGACCTTATGGGGACGGAACTAAAAAAGCTAGTGGAAATGGTTGGGAACGGTATTGCGACTTCCACTGGCCAGAAGCGGGCGAAAGAGTTTTTTAAGCAGCGAATATCTATGCAAATACAACGGGGAAACGCGATTTGTGTAATGGGTACGATCCCCGATCAAGATAGCATAGAGGAAGTGTTTCTGTTATAAATGCTGTTTCGTTTTGGTACATAGTTTGTACTCGTATCATGATACTTATTAAAGGTCCGTTTTGATTAGGATATTATTCTGCATCTTTTGACCGTTTTATGGTTGTGCGTTATTCATTTGTTGTGTGACACTGTTATGATTTATTTTATAATTTACATATAATGAAATAATACTATTACTTATTTGTAAACCTTTTTGTTCTGCTGTAGAAGGTTGTCGCGTGTAACTGCGGTACTGTTACACGTTTCTGTATTCCTAGAAAACAATGCCAACTGACAGTATACATCGAGAAACCGTCAGTCATGCCCATGTAATGAGTAAGTCGTCGAAGTGTGATGTAAATCCTTATGTCGCATACAGGCTGCAGAATTGCCTTAGTTGGGTTTCCTTCCGGATGCCACGCGCCATTTTGCAGGCACAACAAACCATGCTAACATAATAGCGTACTGTCTGCAGCATGAGTCCTCAACTCACTGTTTTCTCTTTGGCGTTTCGGTATTAGGGAAATTTAATTTTGGTGAAAGCCGGTTGATAATACGATGGCGTTTTAGGAAAATCGTGTTTCCCGGTAAATTCTTTTGTTCCTTTGAAGGAGCCAAGGTATGCTTGCCGGTTTAGTTGTAAAACGCAGATGAATATCCGTAGCGTGCACTCGTCGCACATTTCTTTTGGGTTGAAATCAAACTTTCCGTGTAGAGTAGTTTGGAAGCAACTGCACAAATGTCTCGAATAATTATGAGCAAAAATTAAAGCACGTTGCACAGAGGCGGTTTCCCTGGTCACATGTTATCACATGTTTGCAAATACCTTCGCTGGGCCGCTTTTACCCTTTAATTATCATTAAGGCAGTGAAATGGTTTCGCGGCACCGTGTCTCGCTGCAGCGATTGATGGCGTGATTACACGCGCAGCACCTTCGTGCCGACGATACACCGGTGTACAATTAATTTCTCCCGTCTCCGTTGATATCAATTCTCCCGTCTTATTTGTCGGTGTACCGATCCCATCGCTGCCAGGAACGGACTGGTTATGTTTCAGCAATCTGTTAATCGAGTGTCGGTAGCGGGTAGTTTTTCATCATAATGCAATCAAGCAAAAATACCGCTACGCTCTTGGCGTGTTTGTGCGCATTGCCTGGCATTTCCTTCACTGCGTCATGAGCCGGGTAGCCGGCAGTAATTTCCCACCTTTCTACTTGGATTTCTTATACCCTACGCAAAACAAGATGATAGTAAACACTGAGAAGATTTTGACCGTTCTCGAATGTTTGCATTGCGAACATATTCCACGATGAACAAGCCAGCAGAACTGTTTGCCGTCATGATTGTCGGTGTATTATGCAGAGATCTGCTGGCGTCCCGCTTGAATGTTATTACACTGACCAGCGCCAACGCCACGGGCTCCGGCACCGAGCAGATGCTGCCGACGTTCGCTGTGGCGCTGGACGATATGCAGCGGCGCTATCCACTGGTATACGCTAATTACACCAAAGTGGATTTATACTGGGGCTCCCAAGAGCCCATTTGCCGACCGGAAGGGGACGGGTTGGTACCGACGAGGATGGCGGAATGGTACAGGCAGGATCGGTTTACCGGCGACGGCATCACGGTGATTCTCAGTGCCGGTACAGTTCTGTACTTAGTATTTTGTACTTAATACTTATTATTTTGTAGCGTAGCGATATAGTGTCCTGAGGCTACTATTTCTTGTACTCTGTATACCCTCCAGGAAGGACTTCGTTTTTGTTTTTCTCTTTTTGAAAAGGGTTTACAAGGGGCTCAATTCGAGGGGAGGGGGCGCTAATTAATAAAAACATGACAGATTAATCGGCAACACGGATTATTTTCAGTGTGCGCGCGAGCTTTCGGTGTTGTGGCCGACTTTTCACGAGGTAATGACGTGTGTAACTGACACCGGATATTGGTAATGTATTAATAATCTTGCAGAGCTGGACGTGGCAATTTTAGCATGGTGCGTATATTCCTTTAACTAATGTCCAGATTAAAGTAATTTTATATGGGACGCAATGACGTTGGAGTTTTCGCATTTGGTACGATGAATTCTGATTGTGTCTGTACAGCGGCACGGGAGTGTATACTAACCAGACACGCTCACCCCACGTCATCTCCCTGGCCCAGACGTCGTACATCATCTTCGGCCAAGCGGTCGGTTTAATTATGGACATCTTCAGCTGGCGCTACATCGTGATAATCAGTGATAAACTGTCGAAGACGAACGGTAATGGACGCAATACCATTATGTGCGATGGTGCTCTGACGGATCTCCAGACGCAGAGGCAAGATCTACAGCATATCATCCTGCCCGTGGATTCCGATGCTGTCGGTTTTTCGTATCGAAGTGTCTTAGGAAAAGCGGCTGATTATAGCCATGGTATTTCTTAACTTTTGATTGTCAATAAACTGCACAAAACAAAAGTATTACCGAATTCTTTTCTTTTAGTCATTTTATGCTGCACCATGTACAGCTCTGTGAGGCGGCTGCTGGTACGTACAGCGTGTCAGGAACATTTCCACCTGAGTTTTTAAACTTTTAAAATTTCTCTGTAGGCCACTGCTTACGACATGAACATGACAAACGGCGATTTTGTAAGTTATACTGATTATTGTGAATTTGTGATGCTGCTAGTTGTGAACACTGAAACAGTTTCCTCTAAATCAGATGTGCCTGTTTATATCAGGTGTTCATGTATTTGTACGAAGGCGAAGTTCCCTTCGAGCCTCCACCTGCCCGCTGGCAACAAAATGATTCTTTTGACCAAGTACTGTGAGAATTTAATCAACGCGTAATTAAAATACCACGATTATTTAATCACAGAAATTTCTAGAAAGTTTTGGAAGGACTTGCCAGCCTTATCGTGATTCGCACACCCGAAACCAACTGGGCAACATTTCTCAGTCGAGCTGACCAAATTCTCCGCTTACGCGAACGGCTTTTTGCGGCGCCATACGATGTCGAACTTCTGGTTAGCGATTTCAGAGAACGATGATGTTTTACTGAACATATTTCTTACAAGAAGATATTATTGTTGTTGCAGTACAACGACTTTTTTCTTTCTTGCACGGCAGTTGTTGAGCTGCTATCACAAGTAAGCTGACGAATCAATACTAAAAATAATTTTAACCTGTTTAATACTTAAACATAATTTATACACCTACCGAGAAAACCTCCCTGGTCAGAAAAACCACTCTGTAGTTCCATTCAAAATGTTTTGATTGGAGGTTCTGGATGAAATACGACTACAGAATCAATCACTGCCGACCGGATCATCGAAAATTATCGGTAAAATTCTTCGCCGACAGTTCTCTCTGACATACGAGAACGCCTCCATCGCCGGAAATGGTCTGAAGACACCGGCCGTTCATGTGCAGCAGTTCGACGCTGTACCCAGCCGATTCGCGGTACATACTGCGTTTAAACCTCCTTCATAGCCTTCGCTTCCAGAACGTATTTTATCACAGAATATTTTCTATTACAATCCCGTAACGAAGAAATACGATCCCGGAGCGCCGGTGCAGTGGAAGAGAGGCGTAGCTCCCGTGGACCGTGTCACGTGCGGCGTCAACGGTGCCGCCTGCCAAGCCGGTATCGCACTGCCCACTTTGGCCATCGTTCTGGTCGGGTTATTAATTGTCTTCATCATCACGACCGTTGTCGTGTCATTATGGTACGTTCCGCTATGGTTCGTAACACAGATGATGAGAATCGGTAATTATTTTGAGAAATGCGCATTACGGTGTTGTCAGACTGATGTAACTAGCGTATATGCAACGGAAAAAGAAAGTACACGTAGTGGATGATTTTCTGGTATTGTACACTGTAATTTTATTTTCACGGCGAGACGTAGCATATTGTTTCGTTCTTCAGGTATCAGCAGCGTAAACAGACATCCCGCCGCACTTGGTGGATCATCAACGAGACCGATTTCAAATCGACTGATATGGAACCAGTCCGACCAATGCGTCCCATGAGAAAGCTGAAGAAAGCTCTGTGTCTCTCGCAGCCGGTGATATCCGTGTCCTACTTCAGTGCCGATACCCGGCCCGGATGTTCCAGGAAGTTCCGGCAGATCGTACGTTTACAGGAGACCCTGGCATTTCGCAAGCAACTATACTGGCGCAGCAGCAATAAAACACCGCATTGTACCAGCACATTCTTAACTTATATGGCGCAGGTAAGACTGCTTTGCACTAATTTTTAGGACAGTTTATATGTTATTGCTTAAAGTGTACTCAAGGGAGTATATATTCGTTCATGCTGAAGCGTACAAAGCGTAAGTATGTACAAAATCAATACGACACATGCGGCTAAAAAAAACTGCATTTTTGAACGAAGACCAGAAACGGTTTTATCGTTTGCTCAAAGCAGATAATAATAAGCCTTCCAACCAAAACTTTGGTGAGTTCATCATGGAAACTGAATATTCTTTGAACTATATATAAAAGAAGCATGTACATACTCGTGCTGGTCATGCATACCGCATCATGTCTTTTTCAACAGATGCACAAAATGGAATCCGCCAATGTTAACAAACTACTGGGCATCCATTTATTCTATGATACCTCGTCATCGTTCTATACACTGTGCCAACGCGGCTCCATTGAAGACTGCTGGCATGGAGCGGAACCCGACTGGATGCTGAAGCTGTCGCTAATCCAGGACATTATCCGAGTACGCAACTGCATAACATAGATTTTTCCGCATAACATAGTACGGCGCTTTAATACAGGGTATGATTTTCATCCATGGATCGGCAATAAAAAAGCACGGGAATCTCAAGAGTACCAAGTGCCTTCTGGACAGCCACATGGCCGTCAAGATAACGGATTACGGCCATGAAGAAATGAGTACCCTGCTCAGTGATTCCATTCTGCCGCTGCATGAACGGCCTTTTTTTGCGTTCCATTGCTGGATGGCTCCCGAGGTCATGCGAGGGCTGGCGTCCACACAGGAAAGCGATGTGTATGCCTTCGGTTTAATACTGCACCAGATCATTATGCACTGCCGAGTATTCGGTACCGGACCACATTGCACCCTGGGCCCATTCGGTACGTCCCAGGAAAATATTTCAAAACTTTACCTGCAGTTTATGCAGTTGAACACTTTGAGCCCCGATATAAGCAATTATTAACCTGTTGACGGGCATTTCAATCGTGAGATTTTTCAACCGTAAACGCACAGTAATTTAAATAGAAAAAAAAGAAAGAAAGACTGCAGAAAAAGAAGAAAGACCGTAAAAATAATCCGTTCACCCTGAAGAATTATTTTTGGCGATTACCATAATTACCGGTTTTCGGATTAAGGTTTTCAACGCTCTTCAGTGTATACTGACACTAAATAAATTGCTGCTGCATTTAAGTAACGTAAATTACAGTATCAGGTTTGCAGGTGATACAAGAAATCTTTTTTATCAATAATATTTTGCCTGATTATTTGCAGAGATAATCGACCAAGTGCAATTAGGCGAGATGCCTTATTTTCGGCCTGTCTTTCTGGACTTTGAATACTCCAGATACGGCTGGTTAGTTGCCTTGGTAAAACGATGCTGGGATGAGGCGCCAGCTAACCGACCCACGATGCGCGATACTGCGGCTACGTTTAAGAAGGCTACAGTCGCGGAGGAAATGGAAGGCACACTGATGGACCGGGTCATCCGCTGGTTGACCAAGTACAACGCGGTACTGGAGCAGGATGTGGCCAGTCGGACGGCTCTTCTGCTGCAAGAACACAGGAAGGCCGACGACCTACTGCGTCAAATGCTGCCCAGGTTTGTGCCGCAGAGTCCGTCCGTTTAGGCAATGTGTATGTTAATCGACTGAGATCATATTCTCTTTCCATCAGACAGCCAGGCAAAAAGACCTGCCGACTAAATAATTTTTATTACTTACTAAATCCAGAGCACTCATTAGTCGCAGGATAAAATTGATTTTTTTCAGTCATTGCTCAGAAGACCAATTTTTCTGTACTCGCTCCAAAAACCGTTTTTTTAGTCTTCAAGCAAAAACCCGGCTTGTGCGCTACAGGCATTGCGTGCGCTTTTATGAACAAAGAATGTCTTGGTTATGCTTCCAGAATAATATGTGGCAGAAAGGGAATATTATGATACTATCCCAAACTATAAATATGTTTGTAATGGAAAAGCAATACCCAGTAATACCCAGTAAGTAATACTCAGTTATGACTGTAACTTGATTCGGTCCCTAATTTTAGTGATGCCGTTAAGAGGCTGCGCGCTGGTTTAACGGTAGAAGCGGAATATGTCGACGCAGTGAGTATTCTCTTCAGCGACATCTTCGGCTTCAACCAGTTCGTAGCCGGCACGCGTCCCCAGGAAGTCATGGCGTTCCTCCATGAAGTCTACACGGGTTTTGACCAAGCATCCAGCGAATTATCCATCTACAAGATGGAAACCATCGGCAGTGTTTACATGGTAAATCGGGGCGTTATAGGAATGTTTCTGAAATGTTCCATGATTTTGTCGCAGGCTGTAAGCGGATTGGTTGAACGCATTGGCGACAGTCACGCAAACGAGATCTGTCTTCTGGCTCAGCTCTTGCTCAGCGCTTTCAACCGGGCCAATCAGCACAACAATATGGAGATCCGTATCGGCGCCCATAGCGGTCCGGTGGCGGTGGGCGTGGTTGGCTTCAAACGACCGCGTTACTGCTTGTACGAATAGTTCTGCGGGCAACGTCATTTAGCTAAGTGTGGCATCAAGCATTATTCTGCCGTAGATTCGGGGATACGGTTAATACGGCGGCGCGCATTGAAACTAGTGGTATGCCGTCCCGAGTCCACGTCAGCGGGACCATACAGGTTCTTGCGGTGCAATTTGGACATCACTTCGAGCAACGTGGAGAAATACAAATAAAGGTAAAAATGCATGTACACAATTTTAAATTCTTCAGTACAAAATGCAAATTTGGATTAAAAAAATTAAAAATTATACAGCAGTAACAGCACCTTAAGCATTAACAAAATATCCTACTTTTGCAATTGCAGGGTAAGGGCAAGATCACGACGTTCTGGTTGCTGCTGAACAAATCGTGAACAAAAATTTGTTCGCGTTATTGCTTTTTATACCAGAATTTGATGTGGTGCTCGCACAGTTTTTTTCCACGGAAACTGCGTTTAAGCAGTACGCCTATACAAATTTGAAATTTCTAACTTATGCTACCTTTATTTTTTTCGGTGGTTAGAGTACAGATTTGACAAATTACTGGCAGTATAATCCGAGAAGAAAAATTAGACCAATATGGTGTTTATTTTATCCAGTAAGCCGGATTTTTCAAGGAACGAAAACACAGATCTGTAGCGCCAGATTTAGAACAGAGCTTGTATGTATATCCGAGTTAAGAGCATCCTGCATTCCGATCTCTTTCACCGGAGGCCCACCATTCGGATACCGATGAGTCAGCTCCACCAATCAGCACATCTAGAAGGTGGTTGGCCTTTCGCTTCGTGCGGAGGAGGAAGGATGTCTTGGGAAGGAAACGGTGGTGGAAGTGGAATTTGACGGCGACGGCTGAGTCGCGTTAGAAAACAACGTAGGGTCAGTGGTGAAAGGATCAGACATGCGGGAACAGCAGCGAGTGCACTAAGGAGGTTATAAACAGGTTTAGCCCATGCACCAATATATTTGTCCATTTCCAGTTTGTATTTGAGCGTGTAAATTCCAGCCGTCACATGCACCAACAAATCTTGGCGGTGTTCTTTGCACTTGGTCCAGTTAATCAGTATTGTTACGCATTAGTATTCGCTTTGCGCTCGGTTAGATTGTATTAGAGGTTGATCGCTTCCGTGCGGATGATGGTGGCCTCGTGGCTCTTTTTCCGGGAGAAGCGCGAGCGCAGTTTATCTTTCCAGGAGCGCTGCTGGGCTTTATTACCTGTGGTAGATAAAAGGAAGACAAGACTGTTGTGTAAGCGTTCATCATCGTGCATGAGACCCAGTGGCGGGGTGGGACACTCGCCGATGTACGCACTCGCTGCTGCTGCCCGGTTGACGGAAGGGTCACGTGATCCCGGTGCGGAGACGGAGCGGATGTGGCCTTTCTTGCGCTGTTTCCGTTCCTGCTTTTCGGCGCGCCGTTCCGCGGCCAGGACGTCCGGGTCGCGGTCCATGGCGTCGGTGGTGCGGTCGACGTGGGGCCCGTTGACGGAGAGGGAGCTGGCAGAGGTTACGCCGGCCGCGGCCATCTCTTCCTGGGCCGTGGCCGGGTCCAGGCTCTTGGAGCGTTTCTTGCCGAAGCTGAAGCGGCGTTTGATGCGGCCGAGAAGGGACTGCTTGCGGTCCGCACTGCGAGATCGACCTATAATTTCCAAGTTAAACTGTTCTCATCGAAAGATAAAAAGTCACACATTTTAACCTCGCTATGACAAATTGGTATTACAGTAAAATCTGTGTAATTTGAACACCTACGGTTCCTTGAAAGTGTTCAATGTAAACAACTGTTCAATATTCGCAGTAGCGTTCGCAGTATACGAGACGCGCTGGTTCCTATGCGGACGTTCAATATTCGCAGATGTTCAGTTTTCGCAGTTGTTCAATCTCACAGAGTTTACTGTATTGTACACAATTTAAATACGCACAGCAGTAAAGACTTGTCACGCTGATTTTTCGCAGCCATTCAGAAAGGAACTGGACCTATTTCTTGATATATTTGCAAGAGAATGTTTATAAAGTAACAAAAGTTTTGTTTGAAAGACTTAATTGCTTTTTCCGGAAAAAAAAGTTCCTAGCGTAAAAATTGTTTGAACGAGTGTAACAAATGGTGAACGGCTGGGCCGAGGAATAATGGTGCCTCTGCCTCCGGAAATATAGTTCACCTTTAGCATCCAGGTCGGAAGCGTAAAGGGATGAATCAGCACCTAACATTCCATCCGTAGCACTCTGCAAAATATATGTTATGTAATTTTCTGTGCTACTCTAACAATTCAAGAGGCAAGACTTTCCCCACACCTTAGGTATCGCGAGAAATCTCTGCGTAAAAGCAAACACCCAGCGTTAGGTTAGTGGTCAAAGGTCACGGAAACCGCATGCAAAAGGGGGAGCGTTAACCTTATTGACAACGAGTTGAGCAGTGGTGTGAGCAAAGGTGGTAGTGGTCGCCGATCCGTTGTGCCGGCGACGGACACTATCACTGGTATCAGCAGCCTGACAGCACGACATGCAGTTGTCTACCAGGGGTTTTAATGCACCGGTTGAGCGTCTCACCGATTTCCGCTTCAGCGGTCCCGGCGACGGTAGCGGGCCGTGGTTGGTGATGGTGGTCACCCGGTGGATGGAGATGTCCTCGCTGACGGAGCGCTGGACGGGCGGGGCACGCTCCCGCTCACCGGGTGACGCGTGGGTCTCCACCGTTTCATGTACTGTAAAGGATAAAATAATACTGAGCGGTAAATAATTGGGCGAACGAGCCATTTAAACACACTTTTATTAAACTATCGCGTTGTCGATGTGTATTTTTATGCAAAAAATGTGTGCGATGCCTGTATTCTTTTCAGTTTTATGCAGACTCGATCTACGATTTAAAAAGAAATTAAAATTGAAAGAGATTTTAACACACACTGTGTATGAGCAATATGCAGTTAAAGAGCCCTTACAAAGAGCTCAACGCATAATTATAGCATTAAGTCATACCACTGTGTTGCATATTAGCAACTGTAAAACAAATAAATGTTACGCACTTCCGTTGTTGTACTGCAATAGGTTTCGTAAGAAATCACTATTTCAGCTAACCAGCGCTTAATTATCTAGTGTATCTGTGAGTGTGTACGTATGGATCCAAACTTGTTTAACACCAATTTATTTCAGTAAATAACGGTTTTTATCGAGGCGGTTCCATTACGAAGATTATGAATAATTATGGTTTGTAATTGTACGCTACTTGTGGCATACAGCCATGATACAGATATGCAGACACGTAGTGTGATTGTATGCTAATGTTATGCCTTTTTCCTGAACAGTGTAAGTGTTTTGGCTGCAATCTGACTTTGCCAAATTAATGCTGCTTCATACAGCTTGATGCCAGCAAAACTGATTTACATTTAAGAAATCTTAGGAAGAATACTAAAAAAACTGTCGGAAGGATGATGACCCATCAAAGCAGAACTCTTGGAATTCAAGAAGCAATACATTTGCATCGCATCCAAATTCCTTGAAAGTGCTACAGTATACAGGACTTACGGTAGACATGGCTGTTCCGATTGGGCGACATATTCATGCGTACATGGGTAGCGGTGGGACTGGTCTGCTGCCCGAGATCGTTCGTAGATGGGGATTTCCGGCCGCTGGCCGGTATCACGGAAAACTGCGCAAACCGACGTCGTTGTAACACAAATTAAGCGCTATGCACAAATGTTTTAATTATGCTGATTCACGCGCTGATGCATTACCTCGACCGTCAACGTCCCGGCCACCACGTCGTTCATTAGCGGCCGCGACTGCAGCGGGATAACTTGCCGCTGATGGGGATTCTTGCTCAGCTCATGCAGACTAACGATGGCCGTGCCCAGGAAGTTCCCTGCATGGATTATTCATTAGACTGTCTAACCCGCGCTTTATTCAGCGACAACAACCGCTTACGCTTTTGTGTCTTGGTACGGTCGTACAGCTCGAACAGGATCTCATTGGATTCCGGTGAGACATCACTGCGAATAACCAGACGCAAATAAGAAATTATTTTTACATCGTATCTGCTAAATCCTTGGATGACGTACAATAAGAACGTCTCATCCCAGACGGGATTAGCGCCGCGGGACTTCACAATGGAGGTGGTGTGCTTCTGTGGCGGTTCGTCCATCTCGATGACACAGTAAGGCTCGATGCCGGCTATATTGATAAGAAGCGTAAGCGAGACGTCTGATTGTCATGGTAATCGAAGATGCGGGAGAATATGTGCCGCCAACCTGAATCGCCGCCGATTCCATGGGCGCGATTAACTTTCACCACCACTTGATTGTCGCCCGGTCCGAACGGGGAACCGGTCCGGGATGTGCTGGGCTCACTGTCGGTGCCGGCGGCGGGAGCGGCGACAAACGGGAAATGCGTCTATAAATACCGAATAATTGAATTGATTTAATTCAGTTTATTCGATCTGGAAACCGTTGGCTTAGCCTCACATAAGATCTCCTTGAAATTCCTTATAAAGATGCATTAATTTAAAATGCGTATATTTTTAGAAGATTTCAACGCAGTTATGATAATTATTATTAATGCGGCTAAGAATATGGGTTCCACGGAATAATTAAATTCAGCGTATTTAATAAGCAAATCTTTGGGTTGAAAAACGCATATTGTAATGCTTTGGATTCGGTATAATACGCGCATTCAAATAGCATCAGTTTTGAAGAATACGAGGCAAATTGTTAAATGAATCATGGTGTTTCTAAGCGATCCACTTCAGCGCATAAACTATTAAAAAATTCTAAAGGTCTTTTGTCGTTCGACAACCTTTTGTAGCCTTCTATGCAGGCACGAGAATAACGCATTCGGGACGCACTTAATAACAGTCTAGGGTCTTCGTCAAATGTTAAGTGCGATTAAGGGAAGATAATACAGTATTAGTAGCGGCGCGTGATGGACAGCGTGGAAAAATGGTTTATCTTTAGCCCCGTTACAGGAAATTCACCGTTTCAGCGGTACGCGTGCGCAAGTACGGCTTTTTCCCTTACCTGTTGTGGGGTGAGCGTGGACGGTGTTGACGGCGTTACCGGCCGATTGGCCAGCGCATGCCAGTACGGATAGGGGAAATCGCGGAAGCGCGCCAACTTCATCGTGGTCTTGGTGTTGAGGATGCAGTGCCGGATGACGTCCTGCAGCGGGATCGGGTCGAAGTCCTCGGGCATGGCCGCTTCCTACAGGCAAACAGATGACGTAATAATTATACCGGCCGCTCGCCGAAACGCGGATGCTAAGGCAGAGAGCGGTTTGCGCGAAATGCGCTCGATCCGGCAGCTTGATTAAGTCAAGAGGAACCACAGTCAACATGACGGTAATTTCCGGTTGACCCTTGTCAGTATTCCCTGTGCGCGAGGCGCGGATACCGGCACACGCACTGTGCATGCCGAGTTGTTTAGTTGCATGAGTTTGCAGTTAACAACGGACGCGGGGTGATCAATACATTGTATGCCACCGGAAACAAATGACGCGGAATTGTTGCAAATGTATTATGCATCCTGTGTGCAGCGCCAGTGTGGGATATAAACAAGGGCAACGTTTAATGGATGAGGAAATGGCAGTTATTTAAGCATCGCTTGTTAAATATGCACGGGCATAAAATTGTATTTAACGACTGTGGGATGGGAGTTCGTTCGACAAATTCATGGAAATAAATTATAAATCGTGAACTTATTCAGCAGTCAACAAAGCAGCTACGAGAATATTGATCGTAAATTTAAAATAAATCTTGAGCGCAGTACTTTATTAGAATTATTACGTGTCACAGCGGAACGGAGAGCAGTCCAATAATTTCAAGTGAAATAATAATAAAGTAAGAAATTTATTTATTATTTAGCGGACGGTAAAAATTAAGGAGTTCGCAATAAAAATATTTTTTAAGCAATGCCTAATTGTTTTTAATATGTATTAGATTAAAGTCCTTATGTATAAAATTAGTAATGTCTACAGAGATGAAATGAGTGGTTAACAATATATTTTAAAAAGACCGAGAACATTTTCGCTTAAAAATGTCCATGTCCTTTGACCACAGCCTTTGCTCTTTTCGCGCTGGCTGGATAATTCTCTCGTGATGTAACTCATCCCATAAAAGAAGCCAGACAAAACAGTCTGGTTTCGTTGCACGATCCCGCGCTCAATCGCCCACCAGAAGAAATCCCGTTCGGCAATTAAGTAAACAATGCCGGATTACATGTAATCAAGCGCAACAGCCACTCAACATTGCCTCCGCAAACGTATATACAGGATGATGGATTCTCGAACCAGCCGGCAAAAAGCAGTTGACGAAATAAAACCAGTGCACGGATCAGACACGTAATACACAAACGCACATATATACACACAGACGCTGCAAACAAAACCAGACACCCACGCGAAACGGACTGTATACACACCATATACATAGTACATACAATGAACGCCAACATTTTCAGGACACTTACAGATAACTACGCTAAACACTGCATTTCGGCACAAAAGCAGAACCATCACTCTGCTGCTAGGCTTGATACCAATTGAATCTCATTCAAAAATCGAAATCCTACTTATTTTATAAGGATAGTGCGCCGCTAATTGCCAAATCTGCGTACATGCAAAGGAATTTTTGTCCCCGGGCTTTCAACAACCCGTTTTTGTTGTTCTTTTATGAATTGTGTAGCCAAATAATTTTTCACGTGGCCTAAAAATTGCTTGTGCGCCCGAAAATCGGTTAGCAAATTGTGGGTGAAAATAAAATTCCAAAATGTCTAAATGTAAACAGGTGTACCAAAAGTTTTCGTTATCGACCGAACTTCTTTCAATTTTGCACGTAAACGCAAATAGAAATGAAATTGGGTTTTATGCCGAACCAGACTGGCAACTTTGGTTTTAAGTTCTCAAATCTTTTTGAAAAATTTTATTTTATGTTCGTTGTGGAAAATCTTGATGGTCATTCAGAATTAATAAGAACGGACGTGTTTTCGTGCAAGTGTCCCAAAATCTGTGTCGTAAACCGTACAACTTCGGGTTATCTTACCGGCCGAAGTGTGACCTTTATACTGGGCGTCGTCTGGCGCTCGAACTCACTGGACAGCATAATCTCCTTATGGGCGCTCTGGAAGATCTTCATGGCAAGCTGGAAACACTGCCTGTTATGTAGTTGACCGGGTGGTACATGGCGCATATCGTTAATATTCAGGAAACGGACCTCGCCCTGCGGATGATCGACATCCACGTCGTACGCGTCCGTCACCACGCCCCGCTCCGGACTGTGCGTGGTGGCCAGGACGTGGAATCCCAGTTGGACGGTCTCCACGGAGCAGAAGATGCCCTGCACAAGCGACGCATCAACAGCAACACAAAAACCGGCTTTATGCAGGGTGACAACGTTAAGGGGGGACGTTTAACGCGTATAGGGTGTAATTATTTTATGGAGGTTTCTACGTGTTACAGGCGCGGTTGACATTTTACGCCACCCGACAAAGCGACGTGATGGGGGAGTTAAATTAGGGGGGAATTATGGGCATTTTCTCCTGGTGTATTACGCAGTTTAGCGGAAGGCGGTATTTGTATTTACGTAGGCTGGCTTTTGCTGTCAGCGCATAGTCATTGGGAAAATAATAGGTTTTGAAATTGTTACAACTTCTATGTAGAATCTACTCGAAAACAGTTTATTGAGAAACACAGATTTATTATTCTACGGATAGATACTAAAATGATTAATTCAGTGACTGAATTTCACTTATTACAATTTACAATATTATTTTGCAATCTGACTTCGCTTGTTTAAATCAAAAACACTGATCTGCAAATTTTTTAATTTTAAAAATATTTTCAAACATAATATTTTTAAACAACACAAAAATATTTTCGAACAATTACACAACTGTTTTCAACATCTTTCGCAAACCTGTTTGCCTCTAATTTTCATTTATTTAATCTTTAAAGCATTTTTTCTCTCGCCCCTTTTAAACAAAAATATTGAAAAATTAAAATAATTTTTAAATACTGTTAAAACAACCTTAAAAATCGGTTTACATAACTGGCTTAAATAAATTAGATTTAAAAGTTAGACAACATATTTTCTGACTTTGAGCTATTGCCCTTATGAATAACAATATGAAATGAGACTGCTATCAGTATAATAATAAACTGATTTGCTCTGCATGGTAAAGGGAAGAAGGAAGAAATGAAGTCTCACGTGCCAAGTGGCTTGTTTGTTATCCTTACCAACTGTTCATCGGCCGAGAGTTCCGCTCTGACATCGCTGATCCGCGGCGCCCGGCTACTGGGCGCGAATCGATCGAATGTGACGAGAATGCCCAACTATACAACACACAACAACAGCACCACTGACACAACCAATAAAGACCAATAAGTATACAGATAAATCTCTATCGTATAGATGCGGCGCTTGACCAGATTGCTACAACGGTGATATAATTATCGGGAGCTGGCACTACTCTCCAGACAATTTACGGGAGTAGACAAACATTACGGATGGTGATTTATATCACTTGAAAGTCAAGGTCAACGACGACGAATTCATTAAGTGCGGTACAGTGTGGCGGGTTCGGTTGGGCTGGCACTGACAGATGAGTGCCGGTCATAATCACTTGGATGCGGAAGTTTGCAGTGGGAAGGGGAGTGTGCGGCGCTGGATGCCGGTTGTAATGCGAAAAAGGGAAAAATGCGCAAGGCCTTTTCTTTAATTTTCACGGTGCGTGGTTGGAGTGAAATCTGATTAAAATGCACCGGCTGCTGCCAAATTAGTGCTAGAAGCGGTATAATCTCATTAACTGCTGCTGATACAGATCAAAACAATTCCCGGAAATTCGAAAAAAATAGAAAGGCAGCTAATTTCACTGGGAAAATGCTTCTAAATTTACCAAGCCGAATTCCGCTGCAGTTGCAATTGTTAAGCAATCTAAATGACTTTCACGGGATTCCAGTTATTTATTTGACAAAATGCCTCCTAAGTTAAATTCATTCTCAAGACAAAAGCAAACCATTTTGTAATAAAATAGTAAAACTTATTTTTTTGAAATAAATTCATATAATGCAAAAATAACTAGTTTTTTGGCACGCCAATTTAATTCAAAATAAAATTCATTGAAAACCGTTTTTTTAAAATGAATAGGATGCATTTTTATATAAAGAATATCTGCACAGGCATTTATCATGTTTTTTGCGTGTCACTTTAAAAACTTATTTTTCGCGTTTATTTCGGTACATATTTTTGCCATAATTGCAGCAGCTGGCCGGTGTACTATTCTCTCTGTAAAACAGAAAAACACAATACTTGTGAGTTGTAACTAAATAACATATTTTTTCCTCCAGCCCGTGTACATCCTGCAGTTTAACGGCTGGCAGCTGCCGCGCGGCATAAAACGTGCAAAAAGCAGCATAAAACGCCGGGGTCTTAAGTGCGCCGGCAGTGCGTCAAAGCGTGCCAAGCCGGGGCTATATCAGTTTTCCCGATGGCTACCAAAAATAATGTAAGTCTTAAATATCCATCCAAGCTCTCGATTACCACTATACACATAGTGCGCGTCCATATAAAAATGTTAGCCGGCAATGACGGCAAATAATGTCTATAGCCCAAACTGTCAAGCGCCCGCGATCCGCGCATGTCTAAAATTAGCCGGCGATGCTGTCTCACTCTATTAAAAAAAGCGAACAAAATCAAACACTATTACATAAACTGCATCGATCTCGCTGTGTATATCGATGATGCGCGTGTGTGTGTAAGTGCATTGGATGCTCCAACCGGAAGTGTGTTATCCCGTTGCATCAGCGGGAAGAGTAGCCCGGGTGATGGTGCGGATGGCCCAGCTAACCTTGGCCGAACCGATAATTCGCCCGCGTCGATTAAAGTAGCCGTAGTGTAAAATGCGGTAATTACGGCCGCATCATCGATCCATACCAATCGATGGTCCGCTTAATGAATCCGGCCAACTTTTTCCTTGATGGTTCGGCTTTGTGCCGGTAGATGTGCACCGGTGGTTGCGTAATAGAATTGCCGGTAAATTGTACAGTTTTGCCACCGGGTGTAATTCTTCAACGCGTAGTGTGCAGGGTGGGATTAGAATTAATGATATTCGCTGAAGAAACTTGACGTCTGTAACCCAGTTATTCCGTGGGATGAGGACTGGGGGATTGTAGCCATCAGACGTCGTCAAGTGCCGGTTATGCCCTAATTGACACTGCTGCCTTAATCGCAATATGCGCGTGCAATCGCCAGCTGAAGGGAATTATTGTGCGCGGTGCTGAGGCGATTTTTCTTCGCGCATTTTTGACATTCCAGCTGACCATGCCTGTCAAGCGCAAAAATCACAAATCCCGCAGCTTAAAATATGCCGGCAAAATACAGGTCAAAAATTGGCGGAATTTGCAATTAAAAACCGCAACGGAATTTTGAAAAATAATTTTATTTACACGAAATATTTTCTCATCCTTTCTGCATTTTACTAACGGCATCCGTTAGCATCTTACATCAAATTAACCCTGTATCCTTTATGAATACCTAAATTTAAATATATTTAAAGAATTTTCAACACTTCTTTTACGAATATTCGAAATTGCAGGAAAGTAGGAATGTTACAGTCGTTTTCATGCAAAGAAATAACCCTGGAGCATTGCGAGGCGCTTGTCAAAAACGCATCCTACGTCTTCGGGTATTATAATATCAACAAAGGAATTTTCTCTACCGATTACACCGGAAATGCCCTGCGCGACACACGGAAATCAATACCGTGCGCATTTCTCATTTGTAGCGCACTAATCGAATTACCCAGACCCAGCCACCCTACACTGCCTATAATTCTTTCCCTGGACAGCGCCGATCTATTTCCGTCACAAAAATGATTAGCTGGGAGGTGTAAAAAACAAGCCCAGCGCAATCAATACACAACTACACACATACCTGCTGTGCATTACGCTTGGCGTACTCATTTAACGCCGACAACCAGATATCGGCAAACTCCGGTGTGGAATTGTATCGGTGATACAGCCAATTCAGGACATTATTCACCCAGTCCGAGCCCTCCTGACTGTAGTTGATTAATTTCACCCGGGCCTGTAAACTCTCGGTGGGCGTGGACACCAGGGAGGAGGCCGACGGGGAACTGCTGTCGGGGGTGCGGCGGTATGGGCTCTCGCGGGTGGGTAGCGGCAGCACCGTGGGCGGGTGCCGGTACTGCGGGAGAACGGCCGCCGGTGCCGGTTCCTCACCGAAATAACGGATTAACCACACCTTCAGGTGATCCGTGGTAAAGTACACAATCCCGGCTAAGACAATCCAGCCCAGGAGTAATAATCCCAAGGGATCCATCCCGGCATCCTGACCGCCGCCGGGATCCATCCACAGTTGATCGAGACGGTGTGACCAGATGCTGGCGGTTTCACGCAGACGATACCAGACGATACGGCCGACCACATCCACCATCGCACAAACTCAACAGTAACGCAGTGCAAAGCCAAGCGCTCTTTTACACACACACTGTGTATATATAATCCCGGTGGTTGCGTGTACAGTGAGTGGGTGCAGCTTCCGGATACGGTGGCGCACTGTCAATGGTTAGATTACAGCCAGGACCCGCCTCTTGCCGGCCGCTTCATTGGAGGATCATTGAAAACTGTTTGAAAGGAGAAAACCACAATATGGTTAAATAGATAGTTTAGCGATTAACACAAACGCGACTATTTAAACTAGTATCCAGGCTGGTTAAATTCCACCGGGGATTAATGTGCAGCGGGCGAAAAACAAAAGCCGGCTTACCACAGTGAAATGCCGGTTGGATCTGCGTTTTGCCCGGGGATTAGCCGCGCGCGCGCATTGCACTGGTTGTTTAAGCGGTGTCTAATGAGGAGACGGCGGTGATTTATACCGGATCACGGGGGAACGGGCTGCTCCTTGGTATTGCAGCCCCGCCGTCAGGGCGCGTTAGCGTGCCGGGATGGATTAGGAAGGAAAAACATAAATTATCGATCCTCAGCCAGTTAGATCATCGCACGCACTAACGGATTCCATACGGGCGCATACTACGCAGTAAAGTTTAAACATAGGGTAATTATCGCAGACCAATGGAGGAATGTTGTGCTGCTGCGTCGAGCCCGCGCTGGAATCACGGCGGATGTGTAGGCCGCACCGATGAATACAGCTGATATCGGCGATAAATTCTTCCCTCCTTTTCAGAAACTGCCAGTTAAGCAGCTGGAAGCGGGTTTAAAAATAAAACGCTTCGTGTACGTGTGTGTGTGTGCGCGCGCGCTCGCCGGCATTTATTTCTCTGATGCTGCAGCAGCGGATGATGGAGAAACATGCTAATTTCAATTAGGCGCTTATTTATTCCATGAGATGCAGGAGCGGGCAATTGGTTTATATATATGCAGATGCCGGGTCTGCCTCGATCTGATCGGTGCACTTGTTTGCTGCAATGGGGATAAAATATACCGGATACAAATTATTTATAACTTGGCACAGTATTTCTTTTTTCTTATGATGTGCTTGCATGCAGATCAGATGGAGAGCAGGGCTGATTTTCATATGCTTGTACCCGCTACGGACACCGTTAACTGGATACCGAATATTTCAACAGATTTTGGCTTGGCTAACTTATAGTAATCTTATGGTTTCTTTTACTTTATTTCTAACTTTTTTTTCTTTTACTTTTACTTTCTTTTATGCGTATTTTTTTTGAAAATATTTTAATCATTTTCATGTGGGTGCGCATTGCGCAATAAATGCTTGTGTTTTATTATTTTGTATGTTCGTTTATTGCTTGTTAGAGTGTTCTATACCAAAGTGATTATGTGAGTCAAAAATTATATTCGTGTCAGACTGTAAACTCGAAAATAACGATCGCCGTTAATGCCATCCGGTTTATTATGTAGTACTGATGGAAACGCCAGAACGCGTAAAAGTGTACGTACATGTATCAACACTTATAAGAGTATTTGCATAATTAACAAGAACAGTGCATTAGTACGTACTTATTCCATCGGAGGTAAATTCAGCACAACATCCATGAGTGCCTTTCAGTTATACAAAAAAATGCCTAAAAAAGTACATGCTCAAGAATAGTAGGAGATACTGACTGGAAGCGTTTCAGGTATCTTCCTCATATCACGCTAGCTCATCGAAAGTTTTTGATACTACTTATACTTTTTAGTGACGCTTGTCTGGGTAAATGCTTAATAAAGACTTTATTAAAACTTGTATATCAGAAACCAGGTATACCTGTACTTTCAGTCTAATCGCCATATCGCATTGGTACTCTGATCCGTTAAATGCACTTCGCCAACCATCATGTCAATAAACTTTCTGTGGTGCAATAAAATGCAGGCAAAACCGAAATTTAGAAACCGGTTCCGTTAACATGATGATATGTACCCCAAAGAAAAACGTATCTTCATTGCGCCGTCTGCTACAACTGTTACAACGATGCGTGGTGGATCCGTTTTTAGTTGTTCTAAGATCTATGTACACCGACACGCGTTTTATGTTTATCACCTTGCACAGCATACCAATTAGACCAAAAACAGTTCTGCATTATAATACTGTTTACAGAAAAGGATTCCCGCAGATTGTTATTTTCCCTCAATATATTGCTCTTTCGTATACAGTGAGGATCGCAATAACGTAAAAACGTGATAAGATGGAGCGTTGGCGAGGTCGTACAGCAGTCGTTACCGGTGCGTCAACAGGTATTGGACATGCAGTTGCCGATGCACTGGCTCATCACGGAGTGAAGGTGGTCGGATGCGCGGATCTGAATATTTCCAATATCGAGGTGAAGTTTCTTTTCAAAATTGGATAGACAACTTTTCATTTTAGATTTACGTCGTACCTTTAGAATGTTTATTGCAGGAACTAGCGAAGAAATACGAGCAAGGGCCCGGTAGCGTGGAAGCGATCGAATGTGATCTCACTAAACCGGAACAAATCACCGCCATGTTCCTGCATATTGAGAAGCAATACGGACACGTTGACATTCTCGTGAATAACGCCGGCTTAACGCATATGGATACGCTGTTAACTGGACGAACGGAGAAGTGGCGGGAAATTTTTGAGGTATCACTAGCCTTTTTAAATTCCATGTTTTGAGGGGTTTACATTCATCGTTGCAGGTTAATGTTCTGGGATTGTGTATATGCGCTAGGGAAGCGCTGAGGCTAATGCAGAAATCTGGAGTTACCGATGGGAACGTGATCAACATTAGCAGGTACGTTTTGCATGCAACGATGCTTTATTTTTAAAAAAAACACATATGCATTTTGTTTTCACGTATACATAGTTTAACGTATGATGTCAATGAACTAATGTTTTTTCTAATTAAAAGTGATTCTGCTTGATATTGTAGAGGTTCAAAAAACCACTTTTACAATTCAAAAGTTTAACTGCAAATCAGTAAGGCAGTACCACCAAAGGGAAACATAGAACCTCCACAATATTCCAGAAAAAATTTGATGCTTTCCGTCAACGATCCAGTTTCTTATGTGTGTTCATAGCATTGGCGGCCATACTCACATAGACTTTCCCGAAGGGCACTTCTACTCCGGGACCAAACATATGGTGACCGCTCTAACGGAAGCACTGCATCGCGAAGTGCGCGCCATGGAACCGAAGAACAACATTCGCATAACGGTACAGATATGCGAAAGATTAAACTGTCTTTTCATTTACCATAAATTTAACAAAATTTGGCACCTAAGCAGGATATCAGTCCTGGTATCGTGATTACGGAAATCGGGACCAGGGCGATGAGCCAGGCTGTCCTCCCGATGCAGCCCTCCAACGCTCTGGCCAATGACTACCAGAAGCTCGACGCCAGTGATATCGCTGACAGTGTATTGTTTGTTTTAGCGGCACCGCAGCATGTTAATGTAAAAACTCTTATTGTGTGCCCAACCCAAATGCCACAGTTGTAGTAAGCCGAAAATAGAGATCAGTTGATCGGTATTTTGCAACGCGTCTCAGACTACACCGCTCGATAATAGGCCAGAATGTGCGGTTTTATTAAACCAGAATAACAAGCTATCGTGGAAGTGCGGTAATCTTGCTAAAAATATTTGTTTAGAATATCGTACCTAGACTTAAATACAAAAATAACAAATTACTGATACTTTAAGGTACAGACAGATTCTCACATGAAAAGCAACAGCCCATACATGTACGTACGTACATACGCTATTAATTTTGTTTCTGTACGAAAACACACACCGGTACATATCAAGAGACAAGAGTCAAACAGAAAATTGATAAGAACGATACGTCTGGGTAGTATACCATAATTACAAACTGGTTCCGGCTTCGCCAGAGAGCCCGGGCCGCTGAAAACGCATACCTGCAAATGCGGTTGCACATTTTCTAGGTAAAACTGGTTTCTATCGGCGGTGAAACCTTACTGCATGTTACTAGCTGCAGTCTGCATCCGTTTTCGTCTGTGTTTAATAGTTATAAACCACTCGACCGTTTTGTTTGCACAGCTTATCATTCTTCGGACAGCTTCACGAACCATATACTGTATTTGTGTCTATCCTGAGATAAAAACTAATAATGGAACGTTGGCAAGGTCGCACCGCACTGGTCACGGGTGCTTCGTCCGGAATTGGCTACGCCATCGCCGAGGCGTTAGCGCAGAAAGGAATGAAAGTCATCGGTTGCGCCAGGAATATCGCAAAAATTCAGGTACCATCTTGTGATATAGTAATAATTATATACCTTTTAAGGAAGTATCGTTTTCTCAGTTAAAGCGGTGTGTGTTTCAGGAACTGGCCAAAAAATATAAAGATGGACCCGGGAGCCTGGAAGCCATCCAATGTGACATCAGCAAACCGGAGCAGATCACGGCGATGTTTGAGCAGATTGCCAAGCAGCACGGGCATGTTGATGTTCTCGTTAATAATGCTGGCTTGAGCCATGCGGATACGTTGATGGCGGGTCGGACTGAAAAGTGGCGCGAAGTCTTCGAGGTGGGGCAGTTCAGCTTCTCCATTTCCTTTCTTTATGTTTTGATTTATACGGTATATGTGCAGGTTAATGTCCTTGGACTGTGTATCTGCGCAAGGGAAGCGTTGAAGCTCATGCAAAAGGACGGGATCATGGACGGCAATGTTATCAATATTAACAGGTAGAAACTGAGTAAAATAAAAATACTAATCTGAACTAATATGTATCCGCACTCCGCAGTATTATTGCCATCCGAACAAAAAATACAGCATATTTTTTTCCTTTATTATTTCGAAATTTTCTTGTGAAATGCAGCCAATCCGGACACGCAGAATTCCACTTTCCGGAAGCGCATTTTTACGCCGGGACCAAACGTATGGTCACTTCGCTTACGGAGTCGCTGCATCGTGAGATTCGCGCCATGGAACCCAAAAACAACATCCGCGTAACGGTACGAAAACTTAGCACTGCCAATCGTTGTGGCATGTGAAGTATACCGTATGTTTTGATGGCTCCATTAGGATATAAGTCCCGGAATTGTCGTCACGGAGATTGGGGAAAGATCGGCCAGCCACGCGGATCATGCAGTGCAACCACCCACTGCTTTTACCGCCCAGTACCAGAAGTTAAATTCCAGCGACATTGCCGACAGTGTGGTGTACGTGTTGTCTGCGCCACAGCATGTTAATGTCAAAACTCTCATTATTTGCCCCACACAGCAGCCAGAATTGTAGGCCTGCTCCTACACCATCTGTAATTACAGATAATAATTCCCAATTTATGCGTATTTTTTTTAAAATGGCGTTTGATGTACCTATGCAGGTACATTGTGTTTTCCGCTTAAGGTGGAAGCATTTGGTTTTTTTTGAAATTGGGCACAGTAGAAACTCAGCGCGAATGTTGAAAAATCGGTAACGTCTTGCGAACTAAACTACTATATGTCAGGTTTGCGTGTTTTGTAACTGTCGATTCGTAGCACTTACCACCCCTTAGGGGAGTCCATAAAACTGCGGATATTCGATCAGTATAAGTATTAAAGTGCACTTCGAAATACTTGACTTAGGGGAAGTGGCCCGGTACATGGTGCGCGAAAACTTTCGCTTTCGCACACTCCCAAACACTTCTTAGCTTTGTTTTATGACACTCTGTAGCCAGATAATTTGTACACAAAAGCATGAAACCCGTTTGTGCGCGCAACAGCCGGTTCGGGAGTTATTAAGTTAACAAAATTCTAAAAAGTTTAAATGCACAGTCCGCCGTCCGGTGTACCAAAAGTCTCATCATGGGCCGAACTCCTTCAAATTTTGCACGTAAATGCGATAACCGTGAAGATCGTTTTTACACCGATCCAATGTTCTAACACGTTTCTCACGTTTTAAAACGAATTTCACAAATTTTAATATTCATTTTGAAATTCATAAAAAATCGTGGAAGTCTGGATCCTTGTAAGAACGATCTTCATGGTTATGTGTATTTATCTGCAAAATTTGAAAGGGATCGGTTCGTAATAAAACTTTTGGTACACCCGAATCCATTTAAACGTTTTGGAATTTTCTTAAAGCCATAACTCTCGAACCGGATATTGCGCGCACAAACGGTTTTCCCACCTATGTATCTGTATATCAATCATCCGGCTATTAAATGTCATAAAACAAAGCAAAAAGGTGTTTGGGAGTGCGCGAAAGTGAAAGTTTTTGTACATATACACAAATTTGGTACCATGTTCCCTTAAGAACTGCATTTTACTGCCATGCATTCACTTACATTTAACGGTACAGAATTTCGAAGTACAAAGTACTGTACTACATGCCTACCTGCACATTTGTGCATACTTTGTACCGATAATCAAACGAATCCATAATATGTCACTTATACTATATACTCGTATCTGTATGTACGTATAGGGGGAATGTAACTGCTGAGGCCAGCACTCCCTGTACTTGCTGCCGTCACCCGCCTGGAGTGTGACGTTACGGCATTACATACGGTTAAATCAGGCGCGGTAGATAAGCACCATATTTAGCCACAACGTAAAACTCCAGCCGGATGACGGCAGCAAGTACAGGGAGTGCTGGCCTCAGCAGTTGAATTCCCCCTATATATAGAGGGCAAAACCAGGCAGCTTCCGCCGTTCCCCTGTATTGCTGCCGTCACTCGACTGGGGTTTGACGTTGTGGCTATACATGGTGTTATGTACCGCGCCTGATTTAACCGTATGTACTGCCGTAACGTCACACTCCAGGCGGGTAACGGCAGCAGTACAGGGAAACGGGCCGAGTAGACTTGTTTTTCCCCCTATATTTGGAAATGCAGAAAATGCTCACGTACCGTTTCTACTTGTTCGAAATTTATTAGCCCATGCCAACAAAGTTAATTCAAAAAAGAGCGGTTCTTGCTAGTGTACAGCCCATGCCTATAAGTCGATACATATTAGTACGGCAAAGAAAATGGGACAAGCCTGATCTACTCTTGTGGCGCAGTTAGTAAACGATAAAATTTTCCAGCCATGTTTTTAGACTTGTATCCACAGTATACTTAAAGTATCCTCCAAATTTTTTATTTTCTACTTATGAAACTATTATTCTACTTACGAAACTCTTATAGACATGGATCACTGTCAGATCAGTGCTAACAAACATCGGCCAAAATGTTTTGCATGGCTAACAAAAACTATTGTACCACGCCGGGCAACCCCAGAAGCTGAAAGCTGGAGTACAGATTTCTAGGTGAAAACCAGACGCGCATGCCAGTACATATGTCAACGTACAGATGCTGTTAGCCTCTGTACATTACTACGAAAGTCACACTCATTTCAGTTCGTATCAACAAACAAACAGAAAAATAAAATAAACGAGCTCGTAATAATAAATTACTCGTATTCACACGGACACTAAAAATGGATATTTTACCGCAACTACAAACTTGTTCCACAACGTTTGGGAAAATAGTACGGGTTGGTGCAACTGCATGTATGTGTGGTAAAACTGATTTCTGTTCGCGCTGAAGTCTTATTACGCAGTCACCACATGTACGCGAATAGATGTTTTCAGCGAGAAAAACTGCAGTTTGTATCCGTTTTTACCTGTGTCTAAAACGTTAAACGACTCGTCTGTTTAGTAGCTCGCATTCGATAAGGAGGCTAGTTTTTCGAAAGACGTTTGAACACTTTCACGAGATACGTCCGATATACTTGTATGATTGTAGCGCATTTATTTTCCTGATAAAATTATGGAACGCTGGCGAGGTCGAACGGCCCTAGTTACCGGTGCTTCATCCGGTATTGGCTACGCCATCGCCGAAGCGTTAGCGCAGAAAGGAGTGAAAGTCATCGGTTGCGCCAGAAACATCGCGAAAATTCAGGTTCCAGTTCCTGATACAGTATTAATTAATAAAATGTTTGATTATAGCGGTATATGTCTTTTCAGGAAGTATCGTTTTCGTAGTTGATAGTGTGTGTGTCAGGAAATTGCCAAAAAATACAAGGGGGGACCCGGGTACCTGGAAGCCATCCAATGTGACATCAGCAAACCTGAACATATCTCGGCAATGTTCGAGCAGATTGTGAAGCAGCACGGGTATGTGGACGTTCTCGTGAATAATGCTGGTCTAAACCATATGGATACGTTGATGGCGGGACGAACCGAGAAGTGGCGCGAAATCTTTGAAGTAAACAGTCGACAGTGCTCTGTTGTAAAACCAATCGGCTTTAATTGTTATCTGGATAGGTAAATGTCCTCGGACTGTGTATCTGCGCCCGGGAAGCGCTGAAGCTGATGCAGAATAATGGAATCATGGACGGCAGTATCATTAATATTAACAGGTAAACTATGAGATAATGGTGTAATCGTTGCGTACAATTCGGCTGAGTTACTTATGTACACTGAATCGGCATTTTCCTTGCGAAGTACAGTTTATCCGGCCATGCGGAATTTCACTTCCCAGAAACGCACTTTTATTCTGGAACCAAGCATATGGTCACTTCGCTAACGGAGTCACTGCACCGTGAAGTTCGTGCCATGGAACCGAGAAACAGCATCAGAATAACGGTACAAGGAACCAACGCTAATCGGTGTATCTTATGAAGAATTTATTTCACGTGTTTTTTGTTCCGCTCTATCAGGATATAAGTCCTGGAATTGTTATTACGGAGATTACGGATAGATCGGCGAGTGACGTGGATCATGCAGTGAAACCACCCGCTGCTTTTACCGCCCAATACCAGAAATTGGATGCCAGCGACATTGCGGACTGTGTCGTGTACGTGTTGTCGGCGCCACAACATGTCAATGTTAAAACTCTCATCGTATGCCCCACGCAGCAGCCAGAATTGTAGGCTGGTATGAACTATGGACACTCTGACAGTACGGATGACATAACTAGTAGATTTTAAAAAATCTATCAGTAGATTTTAAAAAAAAGATATAACATCTACGGTAATTCAAATACAGTGCATTCCGCTTAGCACAGTTATGGAGGTGGCTGCCCTTTCTTGGAAATTGTGCTGGACTACGTACATGCTTGTGTTTGCACCATGTTTCATTATTCTCTGCTGTACTTTTTTGTTCGGCAACAATGAGTACTACCACTAACACCTTGAGGTGATAATGATAATGTCACAAAACCGCGATTCTTCATCGAATATTTCACCTCCATGCTTGACTACAAAGGCTGTTATGCTAATCTGGCAAAAAGAAAAATTTTCCGACGACTGAGAACTGAACTCAGGACCTGACGGTATCTGTCACCGTGCCATTTGATCAATCTACAGCCGTCCGCTCTATCATCGGTAACTGTACATGCAAATTAAGTCAAGCCGCAGTACGAACTGATCTTAATCACCCGTTATGGTTGCTGGTCAGCCTTTTCTCAGACAGCGTACCTACCGACTACCGGTAATTGCTCTCAACACTCAACAGTGTTCAGCGGTGCTGTAGTTTATCCGAGTTTTAAGTTCAATACAAATCGCTGAACTATAGAGTATAGGGCAGTATCCCAAATTTTGCAACAATATTCACGTCAGTAACTTGAAAAGTATGTAGTCGTACACAATGATAGCCTTAAACAAGAAACAGCATCGGCTTCGCCTCCGCTTTTCTTGTGGTCTCCAGTCTACGGCCGGTTTATTCAAATGATTTCGATCAGCTATTTAGTTAACATCTTATTCCTTCAACGAAACAAAATGATCCGAAAATACGCTAAAACGCAGATAGAATAAGAAGTGAATTTATGGCTTTTATTCACTTTCACTCAGAAGGGAATTTTTGTTAACTTCTCCCTCCCGCCCTTGATCGAGTCTACCAGGTACTAAATTTCCACTAAAGGATGCTTGCAATAGATGCTGGTGGTAGTTCGGTTACTCGTTTACCTAGCGGTCTGTGTGCTCTGGATAGTAGCGGTAGTTCGGTCACTTGTTCACCTAGCGGGCTGTGTACTCTGGATAGTAGTGGTAGTTCGGTCACTCGTTTACCTAGCGGGCTGTGTGCTCTGTATAGTAGTGGTAGTTCGGTCACTCGTTCACCTAGCGGGCTGTGTGCACTGGATAGTAGTGGTAGTTCGGTCATTCGTTTACCTAGCGGCCTGTGTGCTCTGGATAGTAGTGGTAGTTCGGTCTCGTTTACTTAGCGGGCTGTGTGCTCTGGATAGTAGTGGTAGTTCGGTCATTCGTTTACCTAGCTGTCTCTGTGCTCTGGATAGTAGTGGTAGTTCGGTCACTCGTTTACCTAGCGGGCTGTGTGCTCTGGATAGTAGCGGTAGTTCGGTCACAGCTTGGCTCTGTGAAACTAAAACCGTCTGGCCGGGTTTTGGAATATGGGCATTCTGATTATGGAAATGGTTTCTGCTGATTCTATACGGGAAAGCTGGGTTCGTGAATCCCTTTTTATTTTTTGTGGTAATAAAGATCTAGAATGTACAGTAGATACTAGATACCGTACTATTATTCCGTATTATACGAAATAATTTACGGACTGTAGATACTGATTATCATTTATCAATCACTGTCTTTAGTTTTGCTCGGACTGCAATGAAAGGTTAGCCCGTTTGAACGATTACTATGGTCAGTTTCTTTTACAGCTGCCTTCAAATGGTTTTCAACGACAGTTCTTACTCTTAAGTTCTGTTTTTAAGCGCTTTAATTTGCTAACGATTTAAACTGTAAACGAAGCCATCCACTAGCAGTATCGTTTGTGCTACTGCTCATTGGCTTTTCCAGTTTTGTAGGAGTAAAAGTTCAAACCTTTTTGATTTGTTGATCTAAAAAGGGTAACAGTTTAAATTTACTGATTTTTTGCTCCATGCAAGAGGACTTTGAAATTGTTTTCAAGGTCACCTTGAGCTTTCTTCTCTACCGGCACCGGCGTTTGTGCACGGGAGCCGGAGTAGATATTACCAAAACAAAATGCATGTGACATAGTTTCCAGACATGCTGAATCGAATGGCGTTAGCAGTTTTTCGATTAATTTTTTGGTTTGTTCGGACCAGATCGTACGGGGTTTTCCGTTGTAATATAGATCTCTACCTTGATACTCGTAATCAGGTTTTATTAGGAACTATGAGGATCTTGATGCTGAAGTGATAGGGAAAACCAAAATAATGATTGTGTAATGTTTCAGTTGGTGTAATCGGAAAGCCGGAAAGAACATACATTATATGGCGAAAAATTGAAAATGCAGAGTATAATCGCTCATTAGGTCTCATCTCATCCAGTTCTTGCAGTTTACGTAATATGCTGCAAAGCAGAGCTCCTAAGATTACATACTTACGTAATTGCTATAGTACGGTTTTTCTATCATTCTGTGCTAAAGTCGAATACGTATCAGCAGACAGACCAAAGAATGATAAGATTAACAATACCGCAGTTACAAACTGGTTTCGGTAGGCAAACAATACCCTTGCTGAAACTGCATGTTAAGAATTTTCTTGGCAAAACTGGTTTATGTGAACGCTTGTTGTGTATACATATCCGTATTTTAAGGCAGTGCAGTGGTCGCGACTCGTCTGTACGCACCGCCATAATAATCTGCGCTTAATGCAAACTCGTCAGCATTGTATGCAAAGTCTACTCAACATTAAATTTAATAGCCGGATTTTTTTCAGTTTTTGAGAAGGAAGTTTTACTTTTTTTGTCGACCATCGGAATCGTGCTTTAAGAGCAGTAAGAATACAATCATGGAACGCTGGCAAGGCCGAACAGCCCTGGTTACCGGCGCTTCGTCCGGTATTGGCTATGCCATCGCCGAGGCGTTAGCGCAGAAAGGAATGAAAGTCATCGGTTGCGCCAGGAATATCACGAAAATTCAGGCACAAGTTTCTAGTACTTGATGAACCACTGATCATCTGTTATTTAAAATGCTGCTTGCAGAGTAAATAACGCTCACGTTGCAGGAATGTGCGAAGCAATACAAAAATGGACCCGGCGTCCTGGAAGCCTTCCAGTGTGACGTTAGCAAGCCGGAGCAGATCACAGCGATGTTCGATCACATTGCACAGCAGTACGGGCATGTTGATGTTCTTGTGAACAATGCTGGTCTGAACCATATGGATACGTTGATGGCGGGGCGGACCGAGAAGTGGCGAGAGGTGTTCGAAGTAAAGTGAACACATTCAGTTATATTTTATTTCATCAGCATAGTGCTTAATATTTGTGCAGGTCAATGTCCTTGGATTGTGTATTGGCGCTAGGGAAGCGCTCAAACTAATGCAGAAAAAGGGGATCACGGATGGCAATATCATTAATATTAACAGGTGCGCGATGAAATGATGGCATAACGGCGTATATTTTCATGTATCGTTGTACTTCAGCAGAATTTCAATAAACCGAAGATCGTACTTTCCGTTGCGATAATTCGGCACTTTTACGAACTTTAGTTTAGCCGGTCACGCCGAATTCCATTTCCCCGAAGCGCATTTTTACTCGGGAACCAAGCATATGGTCACTTCGCTGACGGAGTCTCTGCACCGCGAGGTCCGCGCGATGGAGCCGAAAAATAACATCAGAATAACGGTAGGTTGAGCTGGTACTTGTGCGTACGGTGAAATTAGATGCTTTTTTTGCTTTTAATAGGATATAAGCCCCGGGGTCGTGATTACGGAGATTGTTGGCCGAGCGCTCAGTCAAGCGGATCATCCACTGGAACCGTCCGCTGCTTTTACCGCCAATTACCAAATGTTGAATGCCAGCGACATTGCCGACAGTGTGGTGTACGTGCTGTCAGCGCCACAACATGTCAATGTGAAAACTCTCATTGTTTGCCCCACGCAGCAGCCGGTATTGTAGATGCGGACAACTGGCACTGTGTGAGTAATGTATGTAATCACGAATGATTATGTCAGACATCAGACCAACTGAGACGGTGTTAATAAACGCTTTCACTCTTCTTGTCTGCTTCTACTCTTTATTCACCTGCCTCTTGAATTTTTCGGGAATGCATTAGTTGTAAGAGGAAAGAAGGAGACTCGGGCAAGTAGACAAATTCCAAAACCGCGCCCTTGGGTCTGTCTGCCTCCATGACGCCCTTTGTTGGCTTTTTCATTACCTCGATCCCCAGTTTTTTATCCATACCGCATCAAACGAGATTTTACTATGAGCCGCACTTAAATGTTTTAATTATTTTACAATGGAAGCCAAAATTGTCTTACATTCGGTCCGGGACCGAATGACCAATAAAAATAAATGGCCAGGACCAAATGACCACTAAACAGAAAACGCGCAAGAATACGAACACTTGTTCCTGGCGCATTACCCAACGAAAACCATCAAGCGATATCTCAAACGAAAGATAAAACAATTTCAAGAATTTCGATACCAAACATGTCATCCTTCATGAGATCTAGGAGAAAATCGAGCCATTTTAGTTTGTCGTAGACAAAGCACACGATTTCTGTGTGAAAACTGAAACCAAACCGCGGATGCAAATCCTATGCTATGTCTACGAGAAACTTTAGATGCCTCGATTATCTCTTAGATCTTATAAAGAACAACTTATTTGGTATCAAAATTCTTGAAATTTTTTCCTCATTCGTTTGAGATATTGGTCGATGGTTTTGGTTGGGCAATGCGCAAGGTGCAAGTGTAAATGTCAGCAGGCCGATGGCCAGTCAAAAATTTGGCTGTTTGAGTACAGAAAAGTGCTTAGTTGCGCGAGTTTTGTGATTACATAAGTGTAAGACAATTTTGGCGTCCATTGTAAGTGCTTTCTTCATATACATAGCCGGAAAAGCCAGAATAAATTTTGTTCTGGCTTTTCCGGCTTCGCTTCGGTTTTATAGTGGTAGCCTAAATGGGTGCACTTCCATAGCTTAAATATTTCTCTCTTACGAAAGAAGGCTTAGGCAGTACTACATGCACTATTTACGCTTGACAAGCGAGCTCGTAAATTTGTAGCGCGAGTGCAAAAAACTACGCAAACTGGATCACATGCACCGAGCAAAGCTTGTCACTGAAACGTGCCATAAGAAGCGGAATTGTGGGGCTTTGCCAAGGATCTGTCGAACCATGTCCGATCCAGCTAGTAACTAGTACAGTTCGTCAAGGATTATTTGTGGCAGTATCAGAACGTGAACATATGGAACGACAGCGCAGCGCAGCAAGCAGGCGGTTTTGCAGTTATGCCGGGCGCGGTACGACATCGGCCAGAAGAGGGCCGAGGCGCGATTCAGCGTAATCAGCAGATGATAATGGATGATCATGGGAACGACCGCATATAAGACGTACATGCGTAATGTGCATACCGGACTGCCCATCCTGGCTGCTCCGTGAGCATCCGAGACGAGGACTATGGTACTGCCGACACTCTCATACACTATATTACAGCACAGTAAAGCTGTTACGTACAATATGTTGAACGGTGTCCGCTGCGCCTTGTTCGCCAACGTAAATACAAGTGTCAGAGAACTGAAAAGAACGGCAAGTGTCTCTGTGGTAACGAGACTTACGGATGCAGGTGCTCTTAGAAATGCGTTGTATGCTAGTTGCAAAGAGTGCGTGATGTTGAGAAGGTTCACCGAGGACACATTTCGGACACTTGCTGCGTTTTACATTGCTGTAACACATGGAAAACGATTGGTCGGTTGGCAAAAAGTGCGGCACTTTAATCAAGGAAAAAAAATTTTGTGATCCATTTACAGAGTAGAGTACACTTTAAACAAACGGACATGTGATGGATCAGGGAATAGTGGCTGTACAATGCGCAGGCTTAAATACGATGGTTTGTTTTGATGTGCGTGTGACCTACAAGTACAGAAACCAGTAATAACTTCCGGATTTTCCAGGAAAATTAACTTGATCACATGGCGGGAAGAAAACTGCCTTAAGAAGCTGAATCTCGATCAGCGCTATCCGCATAGTTCAAATGACGAGCTGGCCATCCAGATTAAACATCTTTTGGAGGGAATCAGACCGCTATATTGGAAACCGATTTTCCTTTTAAACCGGATAACAACAGTGTGCGATTATACTGGATGAACATATTACTGCTTGTAAAACGAAAAAAGTTGCTTTTGTTACGCTTCGCCCATTTTTGTTCCACTTCGAAAAACAACCGGCCCGACCCTGGTGATTGAGAATCATTAAAAGTCACGTTGGGATTGGGTCGAAAGGTTATCGTGAACGCGCAACGTATTTAAAAACAAAATACTTACCGATCAGTCAGCTGACCAGACACGTTTCTCCATTTCATGAGGATGCCTTCAATTGTACGGCATATTTTACGAATGTTATACGTTAATTGGTAATTGGAAATGTCATGTGCTAACGTGACAGGCCACCGTTAAGTACGGTTAAAAATCATCAGTACTTTGCTTTACGGTTGCGACGGTTTCGACAACGATGATCTGTATGCACCTCTGGAAAAAGGAAGTACCGCCGGTCAACTAAATACCGGTTGACTAAATACCGCCGGTCAATTTACTTTGACCCAGTTTACGAGCATCGGGCTGTTTGATGTGCCAGACCTGGTCATTTTTCTTGTCTACCCGTTTTTATTATGGAATATGCTGTCCGTTTGGCGCGGCAGAGCGCTGCTAATCGGGCAACCCAGCGAGCCGATGAAAAGCGGGCGGCATTCCTTCGTCGTTTCCTGCTGCTCACTCTATACACGGGCAGCGCAATGATATGTTGGTTGCCCAGCATATTCTACTTTATGATCCCAACCTCCTTCCCCAGTGTTCGTATGGGCGCAGCAGTGGGCAAAGTCCAGTCAGTTTTGTACAGCCTGCAGCCTGTTTTGGACCCTGTGTTCTTTTATCTAACCGCTGGTAACGCCTATCGTTATGTGCTGCGGATCTGCAAAAGGAACAGGGTTGTCCCAACAGGACTGGCTGGTGACATTGGAAAACAGCCGCATGCCGCAGCGAAAAAAAAGTCTCAGCGCGTGCGTAACCAGCGGAGACGATTATGACGTTGTAGCGTGCTGCTGTGTGCTTGTGGCATGACCCATTGCTTATAGGGACTAGCAAATCAAAATTTTAAATTTTCATATAAAATTGTTAAAAGCAAAAATTGTGGAGTCGAAGAACTGGAAAAAGCAGTTTAAAGGCATTGCTCACTAAACCACTCACTTGCGAGCCCCGTCGTACATGTTTAGTACTCCAATTTATATCAATAGGATTCATGTTTGAATTCGCAGACAATTTCACAATACAGTGTAGTCCAGTACTCGTACTGAACCTGAGCGCAGTATCGCAGAAACAGCAGAGTAGTACCTGTTACGGAAACAGTCATATCTGCTGTTCGATATTAAGATACAGATACAAGGAGCGCGATGCCCGGTGGAAAAAGCGAAGCCAGTGTCTACTCAGTAGACACTGTCTAGTGTGTATGAGTCTACAATCTCTTCTAACGGACACTACATCAAGGTCATCCAAACGAGGAGTGGGGCAAGTTGGTTCCATGCACTCGAGCCACGGGTAACAAAGCCCGTGAGTTATGTTCCATTTCCGTGGTTCGCATGGTTCGCCATCAGGTTTTATTATAACTAAAAAATGTGAAGGTACTGGGTTGACGATGGGATGTAGCTTACTGTTTGACGCAAATGTTCACTATGCTTTTATTGCTTTGATATTGTACAAGCTGCCGGTCGGCGATGTTGCCGTTTTCATCCGTCGGTACTTTTAGAAATGTGGTTCTACAACAGGATTGAGTTTTTGCTGATTTATGACCGTTCTGCCACGGCATGCGACACGCTTTCGTCGGTTTGCTTAGAGCTTTCCAAGGTGTGTTGCCTTAGTAAGGTCAAATATCTTGGCAGGCGAGAGATAGTGATTTATTAATAAGGTGTAAATAGATGTATAATAAGGTACTAAGGTTATTATTAAGATTAAGATTCTTCTTATTACTAAGATTTTACCAATGATGAGAGTAATTCATACCTGTCTACTTATTGAACTTCCTAAGGCCGCTATCGAGGCTTTCGACAGCATGTTTACAGTTTTTAACATATCTTGCATTGGATTTTCTAATTAGAAAAAATTGAACAAGGTTTCGAAAAAAATAAAAATTTTCCGACGACTGAGAATTGAACTCAGGACCTGACGGTACCTGTGGCTATGCTAATTATTATCTACAGCCGTCCGCTCTGCCAACTGAGCTATCGTCGGTATATGCAGATGCAGATAAAAGCAGACCGCACTACAAAAATCACTGATCCTAATCATCCGTAACGGCTGCTCGTACAGGTTGATTAAGAAAGTATACCTACCGGCTGCCGGTAGTTGCCAAGTACACCGATGGTTTATGCTGTACTTAACGGCGCTACGGTGGATCAGATAGTCGCTAACCGGTAAGTGCATTCTCAACCACAAGTGTGCTTTGTACGAGTACTGTGTTGTGAAATTTACCCGGGTAGTAATCCAAAAATTACTGTAATAAGCTGGATATTTCAAAATTAAAATATTTTTTTTACTAACATATCGCAGATTCAGAAGCCTGTATTGATCAAAGATCTGAGATGACCGCGGCATATCTGAATACCGATGTCCTTTGAACTATTACAGAGACATGTTCTCGATGGAATTCGAAAAGCTACAAAGAGGCCGTGCAAACAAATAAATGCATGGACGGCACATCCATTTGATAGGATGTAAATAAACGGGATATGCATTAACGATCGCTCGGTGGACGCGAATGCGAAGGCATTACAGTTAGTTGCTGCATAAACCACATCGGATGCATCACAACATGTGTCACCTGCTGACAAGGGAACGATATTAAAAATTAATGTAATTAATGTACTCTAAAAACAGCAAAACATTTTACCATTAATATGAACTGGATAATCCGTACCGTTACCGTCTGGATGCAAGTCTGCGGTCTGTTTCCATATTATCCCAATAGTGAGGCCGCGCTTAATACCAAGAACACAACCAGAAAAACAGCCAGTCGACTGCACGCGTTTTTAGCGCTGTGGGCATTTCTTCTCTTCGCTCTGTCCATCCTAGTATGCGTATCATGGACTAGTTCCTACGCCCGGATGAGCGAACACGAGCTACAAAAACTGGAGTTTTTCGCACTGCTCCGGATACTGTTCACCACCGTGATTTATCTACAAGCTCCCTTACTGATCATGATCATGACCATAAAAAGCCGGTATCTCTACGATATTGTCTGCAATCTGACGGTGTACACGGAATCCATGATATCCCAGAAAGCAGCCACCCGTATCCGCTACGTCATTTGTCTCCTGATGTCATGGAATGCCATCTACATTGCCGGCTTTATGGCTGCTATTTATAAAACGTTTCTTGAAATCCGAGGGGTTCAAGCTACGGGTTGGGTTGAAAAGTTGGAAGTTTTGGATTTAACTCACCGAAAATTCCGATGATTATCACGTGCGTTGCCTCCATGCTGGGTGGAGCCCATGCGGTCAGCTGTGAAGTAGTCCCCCAAATGGCTCTCTTAGGTAGTAGCCAATTAAACTTCCAAAAATATTACTCATGTCAAACATTAAAACGACCAAATATCTTCAGAATCCGCTTTATGCGATTTCATGACATAAAATGATAAAATAACGGATTAACAAAAACGAACTGACTGTTGAATAGTAATTAAAAAACTAAAATGGCATTCGTTTATTTTGAATTCTTTTCTTTGCTTATAAGTGATAACCAAAAGCTTTTGTAGATACGGTTAAAACTTATTATTTTTTATATTTTTAAAGCTATATTTTTAAAGCTTTTAAAGATGAACGTACTAAAGTTATTCTGTTGAGTCTCAATGCTGATTTTAGGCACTGTACTTTACATGGGGGCGGCCTATCAACAGATTCGCCGTGATGTGTACAGAGTATTACATGAATTTGCGCCAAAACAGGAAGAGCCGACCGCGCAGCAGTTGGAGGAACTACAGCTCAAGTTCAAGCGACTCCAACTGTTTGTCCACGACCTGGATGGTGTGTTTGCGGGATTCTCGTTGTTCACTTTTGTTAAAGATATAATCTGTCTGGCCGCCGTACTGGGCGCGGCGATAACAGCACGGGATCCCACGGACAATCCGTATGCTAAATATGTGGCTAGAGACATGACGGTTGTCATTGGTGGTCTAGGACTGGTCAATGCTTGCATCAAGTTTGGTATTTGTATCGCGTGTCAAGAAACGGTAAACCAACTATTTCTTATGCAGCAAAAAAAACAAGCATATACGTAGCGGAAAGATTTTCGTGATGATTTAAAATTTGAATGCATTGGAGGTTCCGTCGATCAAGGTGGCTCTTCAACGGACGGCGGTGTTCTTCCACGATGCACCCATAATTCGGAGCAAATGCGAAAGTTTCATCGTAGTGTGTGGTGATCATAGTAATGCGATCACGGTGGGAGGTTTCTACCGGATCGATAGAGAATTCATCCGTGCGGTAAGTGTCGTGCCGGCGTATGTTTACTCAGCAATTACGTTGGTGTAATCAACAAACACATATCTTTATATTAGTACACAGAATGTGCAATGTGGCAGCTTATTTTGTAGATCGCTGAGATCGTGCTGACCTACGGAATACTCATTTACCAGACCCACGACACCAAAATGGATATTCGGGGACTAGTGTCCAATAAGCACTTTGAGATCTTCGAGGCGCGCATGGGCAAATGTGCTGGATTCAGCAACCACAGCTTAGCATTACTGTAATAAAGGAAGCATATCAATGAAATCATCTGGTTTAAAAGCTGCAGCAAATTTGTATTAAAATTTGCCTGTGTCATTTTTTTTTGCAATTTGTATCTCTAGTTTCGTGGTGCGCTAGATTCATATCTTGAATTATTGAAAAAATGCTCTAAAAATGGTTTCCGTTCTTAATTGGTAGTTATGGGAGTGGTATGCAACAGAACCAGGTAGGATAAGAAACGCACGTTTAGTGCACCAAAACGCGTTTAACTGTTTTGCCAAAATCTATCAAAAATTAACGGAAGTTACTCCTTTACCCTTCTATGTATTCGAGAACGAAAATTCTCAGGAAAATGTATGCACTATACAGATTAGCTGGTTGGAACATGGAAGTAGCATCTATACTTGAAATATGAAACAACGACAAAAGATAACGAGACTTTAGATAGTCTCTAAATATAAGAAACCCATGATCCATTCACTCAGTGCTCATTTGTTTCTTTTTCCGTCTTCGTACGGCGTAATGTCATTTATGGGGCCTACGAACATTAGGCTATCTGTTGCGTACCGCCCACCCCATGGTTATACAGCGCTGGTACGGCGTTGATCGATGCTCACTTCCCAGCTAATTTCTGTTTTGCAAAGGTAGCGATAACATCTCCACCCGCCACACCCGACTTGTTTGCTGTGATATGACTCTGTCGCCAATAAAGGGGGCTTTATGTCTTTTATGTTCGGTACAGGCCTGGAAATCGACCAACGTGCACGGCGCTGAACGCACAAGTGCGCATCCGACACTGTTCCCTAGCCGAGAACTTCCACATGCCCACACGGCACTCGCCGTTCCGACGAAAGATGCAAAAATGCAAGTAGAACGCACTTTAGTTAGTTTTTTTTAAAAACAGGTCGGTGTGCCAGAGCGTATGTATATCACTGGAGTTGTCAGAAAGGCAAAACTTCCAAACGAAAGGCATTCCTGCCATTGCACGATGCTGTTTCTCGAATTTCGCGTAAATAATTCATCGCATGACACAATATTTCGATATTGTATTGCATATGCAGCTGTTATGGTAATTCTGTACAAACACTGTGCCTGCGAATTGACATACCATCGATCCTGAGCCTCCGCAGACCCGGAGATATTTCTTAGCTGGCAGTACTGCCAGCCTTAATCTCGGCTTCCTACAAGTCAGCAGTTTTAGGCGCGCGAGTATAAATCGTCCAAAAGTTCTTATAAACCGACCAAAAATGACCTGGTTTGTGCGGATGATTGCGTTTTGTATGAAGCTTTTTGGCTTATGGCCATACAACAGCAGTGCCACGACAGTATACCCGAAAACCGGCGAAAGGCAGCGCTTCCAGTTCAGCCCATACCTAGCCTGCTGGGCATTTGTGATATTCGCAATGTCTCTTTTTCATTGTCTCTCGTGGACAACAACCTACCTGCACATCAATGCGAAAGACCTCCAAGAACTGGAATTTTTTGCTCTGCTCCGAATATTCTTCAGTACGGTTTTAATGGCCCAAGCGCCGCTGCTGCAGATTACCATATGCAGCAAAATCCGGCACCTTTTTGACGTCACGTTCAAATTAATCACTTTTGTCGAAGATTTTACATCACCAGCTCTGAAGACCCGATCGCTATACGTTATTATCGTCTTGTTAATATGGAGCATTGTGTATTGCACGGGTATTATCGGAGGTGTTTATCAGAGCTACGACGATCTGTTGCTCTACACAGACAGTTCTTGGATGATGCCAGTACCGTTATTGGGAGCCATGTCACCGCAGCGAATCCCGATTATCGTTGCGGCAGTATTCGCGATGATATGCGGGGCGTATGCCGTACTGAGTGAATCCGTGACCCAGATGCTGCTGTTCTCTGCCATACTGTACATTCATGCAGCGTACCAACAGATGCAAACTGAAATGGATGAATTAACGCTGGATGCCAAGAACGAAGAAGTATTGGTACAGCAGATGGAGAAAATGCAGCTTAAGTTTCAAAAGCTGCAATTATTTGTGAACGATCTCAACGACATATTTTCGGGGTTTATGTTTCTGACCTTTATCAAAGACATTATTTGCTTAGCAGCGGTTGTGGGCGCTGCGATTACCGCACTGGATCCCAGCCAGACAGACCTGTTGCAGTGGTTCGCCCGGAATATGACCTTAATTATTGGCGGTCTGGTTTTGGTAAACGCGATGATAAAGTTATGTACCTGCACCCTCTGTCACGAGAAAGTCAGTGCCACACTTACATTAGATTCGCTTTCAATAAATACTGTATAATAAAAAGATAATAAATCATTAGATTTAAAATTAAAATAATTAAGTCTACAAAAGCTAGTTTTTCTCTTCTAGATTGATGATGTCAGTTTAGCGCTGCAGCGTGCTGCCGTTTCCATTGATTGTGTGCATTTACGCCTCCAAATCGACAATTTCCTTCGGCTAATAAGAACGGGAAGTCACAGTATCACCATTGGTGGCTTTTGTAAGATTGACCGCGGCTTCATTCGATCGGTCAGTGCTGTACCGAGTGTTTCTCTTCGAGAGCCCACATATTTTCCTAATTTTCTTTGCAGTTCTTTGCAATCCTCCTCACTTACGGTGTACTCATTTACCAAACACACGACACCAAGATGGACATCCAGAAACTGGTTTCAAATCAGCGCTTCGCTGCTTTTGAATCACACTTCGACAAGTGCTTCGCCAATTGTACAGTGCCGGCTGAAGCCACTTAAGAACGGCACGTGATATACTGAGTGCATGTCAGCCGGTTTGTCGCGATCTGTTACGCCGGTCGTTGGACCGTAAGCTGATGGCATACAGTTGCACGCAAATTTACTTAATAATTTTTTGTAAGATACTGCATCAGCTGCTTTTATAAATTATCATAGCACTCGATAACGACGTAATTCGGTTGTGTTACTGAACAATAAAAGAGACAGACTGACGCGTGCCACATGTCCACTTCGCACATCCACTTCTTCCCTGAAAGGGTGCATGTAGCGTATCAATAAATTGCCGTCAATGGCAGCACGCTTGTCGCTTGTCGGAATAACTTCTTACACTTGCTACAAAGCGCGACCACGAAAGTTTGTTCACCTGCGGTAATCAACATGTCCCATCTACAACCCGATTGTCACAAAACACACGACAAACACTCCATAATGTGACGTATAACTCGTAAAAAATAAATTGACCGGTTTTCGCATAAGTGTGTAGTTCCTTGAAAAACCGACAACAAACAACCAGGAATAAAATAATCAGGTTGTTAAGTAGGCACCGTTTAGCATGAGCAGCTCGATAACAAGGCGTTAATGAGTCGATTACTTTCCTATAACTTTGCTGCCTGCTGGCGATTAAATGTCAGAAGCAGCGAATCTGCCGAGCATTTATTGGCGATAAATGTTCTACTGTTGGATTATATAGCTGCTCTGCGGTAAAACGTTTACGTAAGCGCCAAGCCTATAATTTTTTAATAATGGAGGCGATACTTGTTTTTTACGTTGTGTTCATGGCTGCCTGTACATCTGCCCAGAACGGTGAGATTCGCGATTTTTTAAGAGCGTTTTTTATCGTGCTATAGTTTTTTTCTTTAATTTTGATTAGATTCCCCTTTACCAAAGAAAATCACCACTGGGAAACTTTTAACTACTGTCCCGGGCAAACAAGCCGAAAATTCGAACATCGTGTACGCTGTGCCAGGCAACTTAGTGACCATTTCCTGTAACGCATCCATCGAGCTGAATCTCAACGAAACGACTACTTTTACCCTGCAAATTTTCAAGAATTCACAGTCCATGCGCAACGTCCTTCTCACTTATCTAAACATACCACCGCGGAAAATTCTGCTGCCGTTGAATGGGTGGAAGGACCGAAACATAACGTTGTATTTTCAAGAATACCCGTTGGTCTATCTTCCCAATACCTCGGTGCAAGATGAAGCCACCTATGTGTGCTGTGTCAACCTGGAGTCGCGGTACCGAGCATTTGTTAGCCGCACAAAATTAAAAGTTTTATGAGAATCTGTATCTCTTAGGGAATAATTTATTACGGCCATGTATCAGCGGATCTCATTCTTTTTGCTTGCTTGAATAAACAATTTTTCTTAACATGCTGTACCTTTTAAAGAAGGCGATATCTGTCGTGCTGGTTTGTATTACTGGTAAAAGCTGTACTACAGACACTGATTAAACACTAAAAAAAAACAGAATTAATAAGCCATTTTTTTGGGCCAGATACATCTTAGGGAGCATTATAGCGACATGGATCCTGTTCAATGGACAGCTTCCCATCTTTCCCTTTCAAAACCTTCAAAATTTTTCCAAAACCACCAATTGAGCCGCGCTGCGCTGGTTTGTTGTTTAGGCTCACCTGAAAGCAGCCATAAAATGTCATAATGCCGCAGTGCGGGATTCTACAAAATCGAATTATTTCGCCAAACTGTACTGTTACCGTGTTACGTACAATGATGGTGTACATAACACCGTCCGGTAAATTTTCTGTGCGATAGCTTTGAACAGGAATCCGCTTGCCGTTCGACACCATCATCTTACAGATGAGGTTCGGACCATGGGTCAGCGCAAACTGTAACAACATGGAAGGAGTGGATTTATACATAAAAGTGAAACATACGCTTGGTACTCTGTAGATACATAATTCATCGTCAGTTACTAATGGAAGTGATCCGGTACATGTCAACAAATTCGTGTAATGCAGGAAAACTTTCACTTTCGCATACGTACTGTACTCTCAAACATACCGAAGCGAAACATTACGCCATATTACAGATTTACCCGCTTGTCTGTCTTCCTAATACAACTTTGAACGACAAAGCCACTTTAAAATTCTTGCTTTCGCATACTCTCACACGTTTTCCAGCACTGACATTAAAATTAATGCATCTTGAAAGAACTGATCGTGATTGTGAGGTGAAGAGTCGTTTGTGCGAAAATTAGATATGCAGTGGAACCACATAATTCAATACTTCTAGCATCTTTACCATCCCCCAAGAATTTCGCAAGATAACGCGATGATGCATAAGTCTAGTAAAGCCAGTAGATGAAGAAAAGGAGATTGTGAATAGTAAAAGTCGCAAAATAACTTTGTATTAGGTATAGACTTTGGATTACTTACTGCCATGTTGACCAATTCTTATCATTATCACCTACCAGTAGGTTACTAATAAGTGATACCCGATGTGATAAGTCAGCAAATCAGAGCTCTCATAATAGTTTCGAGTCTTTTGACTATGTACTTCATATGTACAATAGGTACAATACACAGTAATTAGCGCCACCTGAGATGTTCAGTGACCAACTGGATCGTCAAAATCAATTTCTTTTCACTTTTTATTTATTTGACAATATGCACATCAACCATGTCTGTAAAATGAGTATAATTTAAATACGAAAAAACTTACTCTTCATTCAAAAATAGTGTTGCAAGTTATGTAACTGTAACCCTCTATTAATATGTTCGGGGCAAGTGGTAGGGCCATCGCATGCATTTGTAATTCATACTTACCTGGACCCGGAATGGCGCAGTTCACGATTTGCCCATCCCCATCGGAGTGGTCCCATTGCACTTCCGGGATTATGAAGGTGGCCTCTTCGGTCAAAAAGATCGGGGTAGGGGGTCAGAATTTTTGATAGTTGGGGGACTGCGTTCGCGCTATCCCCTTCCAATTAAACAAAGAAAGGGGAGACTGGGAGGGTAGTGTCTACACTGTCTAGTTTAGACCACCGAAGTCTATTGCCGATAAGCAATACGGCGATAAATCACACTATGCCTAGTGGCTACCGGCACGGGCTACCGAATTCTGTGATAAGCAAGTATAGGTACAGTGTGAGCAGATTCCACTAATTGACGTTGATTGGGTGTCATTACACGAGTACTCTATACAGTATTTGCCAATGTTCATGTGGATAAGTATATCCTAGGCACTCGGGTTAGTACAATTCGGCATAAGACATTTACAGTATAAGGTGAGCAAGAGATTCCTTACGGTTAGTTATGAATGCTTATTTTAAGCAACAAAATGCTGTTCTAGGCATACGTTCATTTCAAAATTCAGTTACTCGTTTGAACAAAAAACTTTCACTTAAATCATGGAAAAATTTCTAGTTTTATTATAGCTCATTACGTTTTTGCTATTGCGAAAACTGACACAAAAACTGATCAAAAAATACGATGCCAACTTTTCGAAATTCCATATATTTGGTATTTTGGTTGCAACCGTTAGGTTACAAGGTGTTTTATTGAAACAATCAGTAATGCGGAAATGAATACCAAGATTTTTTTGCCGTTCAGTTTTGAATTTGATAACAATGTCATGTACCGGGTCACACCCTTAACTGCTGGTTGAATGTTATAGTGGAAGTTACAGGCCGCCACTGAATAACGACCCTTCCAGTCACTGTTTTTCAATAAGTAATTCGGGGGCTTCGAATAATAATACCAATTCTGTATCGCTATCGCATTGTGCGACAACATCTGTTGCGAAAATTTACCCGCAAGTGTTGCTGCCGAGCCTTGTTAAACATCTACGCTTTAATTCCCAGCATTCTCCGCAATAAAGTTTCGAAACTTGCAGCAAGAACATACCTTAGTTATGCTTTCGACTTCGGCATCTGGACGAAGAGAACTAACTTCCCGTGCACCACTGATTACCACAAATCCCAAGCACAACAAGATCCTATGCCCAAACATGGCTGCGATAACACAGGACGAGTTGTACTATGGAGTATGGAGAACGCCTTGCAAATTATAATTATGTTAGATAATCGAACAGGTTATTACTGTATTAGCGATTTAGCGTATGTACATAATATTTATTTATCCGCCAGTCTGCTAGAACACTCTGACTTGTCGTATAGAAATTATAAACAGCCTGTGGCACACAACCGGAATTTTTGCTGGAGGTCACACAGTGTTGTACGAGTACATACAGTATATAGCATGACTTGCACTATCGCTGCAAAAAGTCGCGAAAAAACTGCAAAATGATTTTTATGTAAATTCTGATAAACGGATTTTTCGTCTTAAACTGCGGTATATTCAGTTACAAACCGGATCTAAACATGCTCCTTTCGTGTTACCGCTCATTTGAATTCGAAGTTGCACAATTTTTGGGTCGGTTTTGTTGCATTCTGCTTTATATGTGGCTTGAAGCGAAAACTGCCGCCAAGTACAGAGTACTTGTTCCGCCAGGTACTTGTTTTTATGCTTGCGTTAATTTATTAATCGCACTAATTTTCAAAGAAAACAAATTACAATTTGAAGTGCGTTCATCATGTAGAGAAATAAAAAATGGCACTTTTGACATTTTGCGCTTTTAACTCTGGACCAAACCTTCTGGTTTAGTAAAGAACTGGCAGGACCCAAACCATCGCAGAGTCATTTTACCGCCACGATGACTTGTCACTAAACTACAAGAAATCGGTGATGACAGTGCGTCAAACCGATCAAACAACAAATTTAGCTAATACCCTGACGCATAGATTGATTCATTTTGGCAGCGGTGCAATATCAGTAGCTATGACCGGCTGCCATCACGTATATCCGGCGATTTAACCAGAAATCACCACACATTTCGGTACGCAACATTAAGAGCGCCACTGGAGCGCGACAGTAGAACATTTTCCCTGGCAAACTGTTCCCGGGTTTTCTTTGTCCTCGACCGCTGTCACCGCCGCGCCGACATCTCTCTTATATGGACACATCCTGACGCGAAATTAGCCGGTGCCACGTTGACACGTGCACATGTGCGCAACCGGCATTTTTACACACCAAAGACGGTTTTTTTCTCCCTATGCCATGCGCAACACATTCCAGCAACGAATCTAATTAAGCATTCCAGCCAGTGCGGATGCGCAAGCGAGCGCAGCCACCGCTTAATTATGATCCGCCACATTTTCCCCTGTCACAACATCCAACCGCGCAGCGCCTCGGTTTCACGTCAGTCCAAAGTGTAAGCCGCAGCGATAAGCGCTACCCATGTCAATACATTATCAATTCTAACCCGCTTCCACCGTATTTACCCATCGCAACCGCTGCTACATAAAAATGTTCGGCAGTTTGTTTGGATCTCGCTTAACGCGGAATTAAACGACGTGTGGTTGTTGTGCGGAAAGATGGGACCATTCAAATAGCGTGTGCTGTTAATATTCCCGCCATGATGTTTTATGTCGGTGCTAATGGATGATACGGACTATTAAGGCTGCGCCCATCACAGACAACAACTCCGGGTAAGTGTCCATACTGTTGGAAATGATGTCTCCCAACCGCTTTTTCCGGTCTGCCTCTCGTTTCCCCCGGTTGACATAACGAAGCCGGTGCATTTTCTTTTAATAACCCGATCAGAAAAATGATGTAGTTTGCATTGCTAATCTAAATATTTAGCTGTTAAGTGTATTTATTCTTGGCCATTTTCGTATCGGGGCGCTCTTGCTCTCGCTCACTCTCTCGGTGTCTCAGCACTTTCCCGCGGCACGACATGTACTTGGATGTGATGGACATGATTGAGAAATCAAAACAAAACACTGGGTTATACGCTGTGCAACACACGCAGTACATGCGCTTTAAGTAGCCTCTAAAAATGATGTCCCATCTCATAAATCTTATGCCACAGCTAAATTTGCCCGCACGTTTGTCCCCCCTAATGTTCAGTCGTGTCAAATAACCGCGGTTTGAACAGGCCGTCTTCGTAAGCGCCACGATAGTATTCGATTTTGAAGCGCGTCGCGCAGTTTTTTTGATTTATGCTAATCGAATCAAGCGTTGAGTAAAGGTTACGCTGTTATACACTGATTCCCGCGTCCTCTCCGGCTCGCATCCCCCCAATAAAAACCCAGGTAAGCGGTGAAGATATTTCTCCAGTATTGCGTTCTGCGCCGGTTTTCCCGCCGCCATGTGCACAAGCATAGAATGATGAATGATTGTGCAACGCCGGACGACAGATAGGCTAATCCGCTATCGATAATCCCTTATGTATACGGTGCATTTTACGCTCGGTATGAACTTGATCGGGGAAAGAGAGCGTCTTATCGCTGCGCAGTGCACAGCCGTATAAATAACCGATGCGTAATTATACCGCGATTTATTAGTACGGGCGCTGGTTCCGCAACATTACCGTTATTACGCGAACGGGATGTTTAATCAGTATAGTGGTATTTATATTTAGTAGCGTGAAAATGTGATAAACGTTGTTTAGCCGGCGAGTTCGATAAGAGTGGCCGGCAAAAACTCATTAGCGCAGATGGGGTGCGCGTTATGCACCCGGGTGATGACAGGCCGTGATAATTAATGTTGAGAGTGGTTTTCTCAAGGTTTGTAGTTAATCAACGGCTGCTTCGTTGCGCGGACAAATCGCCAGCACTCTATTTTCCCGCCGATGCTGGTCGAGTTCTTTCTCCGGCATGTTGGAAATGATGTAGGCCATCGTGTTATTTAATTCCGTTGCCGCCGTGCTTCGCAGTAAGTTTTCCCGTGCGTCGTGAAGGCCAAATATGTTGGCCCAACGGAATGGTAATTCGATCATTTCTCTCTCATTCTGCGAGCCGCGGGAACTGTCAAGCGTATTTGCCAGGCGGATTATTTTACAAACGGCACACTATATACAAAACGAGTGCTGCGTTTTAATCTTTAACATTTTCCTTCTAAATGTTATGTATATCGCGGAGGTTAAGAGATTCGCACTTTCCCAGCAAACAAAGCCGGTAATATTTAGATGATGGTTTTGTGTGTTTATAATGCGCAAATCAATCCCATTTTTGGTTGGACATGGAAGCGTATTCTACTGCTTTGTAGAGTTGGGGCGGTTTTAACGGCGACGTAATAGCCGTGATGAAGATGTCGACAGCCGTGTGATGACTTGTTAGAATGCTAATGTTTATCCTATATCTTTTGCTGTCGTCCATTTCCGTAGATCGCGACATGCACACACAGTATGCCGGGTTTGATAAGCGGGCTGGATCGTTAATGTTGTTAACGATGTCATTTATGGGAGACAGATCGTGTTGCTTCCTGCATTTTACGCTTGTGTTGTCTACTGTCACTGGCATCTACTCCAAGAGTAGTTAATAAAATTACCATTGTACAGACACTCAGGGAAGCGTGTATCATGGACTGATCAGGATATAGCATGTAGCAGTCTGTAAAAAGCCTTTAATTCAATTTTTCTCTGCTTCAAGCACAACTGAACCAAAAATTCTGCAGGAGATATGTTGATAATATTGTCCATGTTGATATGTTGATTATACATTTCTGAAAACTCTGTAATTACTAAAAAGAAAAAAATAAAAACGTCTCCACAAGGTGTACTAGTGGGTAATGTTAAAGAAGTTCAGGACTGTTTGAAATATTAGAGGTTTTTTTTTAATTGGGAGGGAAATTTATGATTTAATTCTAAATGTCACTGAATTTTTTGTTGCAAAAGAATTAATCGAAATTTAATATCGATTTATAATGCAAACAATGTAGGTCATTTTTACGGCATACAAAGAGAAAAAGGCATATAAAGCTAACCCGCGTCACTGGTTTGTTTTCCTTTTCTTTGTACTGTTGGCTATTGACGCCTGCGGGATTTGGTGAAGTGAAGCGGCACGGCATGAATCCCCATCCAGCGTCCACATGGTAATTGATTAGCCCAATTAACGCCTATTGACCAGCACATACACACACAGACAACCAACGCCCGCCGGAAGCGCTGTAGCGCGGGCGCGCTGGCGCACTGGGTAATCCAGCCGGAAAATATCGGCGAACACTGCCGCGCATTGACAGCAGCTGCCCAGCGCGCATAGATTATACAATAGCAAATATTATTCCATCCACTCTCATCCAGCTGGCACTTGATAGCCGAGCTAAATGCTGAGAGAGAACGGAGAGTGATATATATGCCGGGTATTCCATCAAAATACACCCTCTCACTGGGGACGAATGGAGAGGAGAATGTTGCCTATGTGGTGTGTATTATAAATGCGGCCGTGGAGATTATAAATTTAACTCGCTGCAGCCGTTGTACAGATGTGTCGGGCCCCTCTTACCGGCACTTGGCGTCCATCAGCACTTGGGAGAAAATGTTTGACTTGGAGTGCCTGTATGATTGATGGTGGGGCGCGCGTTAAAACGCGCGCTCACCGCGGGCTGCCAGTAGACGTTGCATGCGGGCAGGTTAAGTCAGTGTTTGATTCAATTTTCCCGGCACGAAAATGCCGGTAAATGAAATCACCGTATGCTCTGGAGAAACGAAGGCTTTTAACCGGCAATTTTCGTGTTTTCGTTGAACCGGCGAAGGCAATGTTTTTTGCATTAACGAGCCGCGTTATCAAAAGCTTTTTTAAAAAACTTTATTTTTTATTTCTTCCTGATTTACATACAAATTTTGTATGTGTTAAATAATTTATTCATTATATTTATTGGATATAAATTTTCAGTTTATTAATGTATGGATAAAAATTTTGGACGCCTTGTATGAATATAAATGAATATAAAAAGGTTTTTATACATCATACAATAATTTTTGTTAAGGTTATTTTCGGTTAATATTAGATTTTCCGCGTCTCTCTGATTACGCATCATTTGAAGCTGGCGTAATTCGATACAAATCGCTTCCTGCTCTTCCCATTCGACCTGTTCCGCTGACATGGCCGGGAAAGCACGGATCCCATTCTCTTCCCGCTATAGTGCTCTACATCCGTGAATACGCTCTGAGTGGCTAATTGTTTTCACGCTCGGAGCACAGTCATATCCCGCGAGCAGCAGGATTATTCGATTACACACACCCCGTCCTGTACGTACGCTCCCCATCCCGAACACGGTGCATATGCATCAGCGGATGCCAATTAGCCGCATATTCTCCACGTCTGGCTGGATTTCCGCGCCGGCATGCACAATTGTCCGCGGGTCCACTGCATGGGTTTAATTACCGCGCTCCGTGGCCCAGCAGGAGCCGGGAGGGAAGTCGGTGCAGATGCGAACAGCGCGCACGGATATCAGGAGTGGGCAACGATTTTCCCGCTAATCATACACTACTCGACACTCACTGCAGCTGAATCGATAGCAATTAAGCGCAGAGATCGTCAAGTGCAGCCTGTACGGTTTTCCTGTGACCGTTACCGAGCGGAAAACGGTTTTAGTTTACACTACATTATACTCACATATCAACTTGGAACATCACGATAAAAATGCGTGATTATCACTTAAAATTAACCGGACAATCCCTTGTAACTAAATATTAAAGTAGGTCCAACATTTCGTGTCTGCAAAACGCTAAACAAAAAACTATTCGATAGCTGAAAAGCTCTAATTAAGTTTTAAAAAAAAGGAATGGAAAAACGAGAACGAATTTCGAGAGAATTATCATTCAATACGTAAAGTCTAAAGTCTCCAAAAACAAGTGCTACTGTAACTGTCACCTCGGGCAGTTTGCACCAAGCTTTGCTATTTTAATAAAAATATAATCTTGACTTTTTTCTCTCATTAAATACAGAAGCGCTGTATAGGAGAGTGTTGTCTATAATAAACGCATAAACTAAGTGCCGCATACTTTGCCGCAATATAAAAACATGCCGCGGTTAAGTAATAATCGATACATTGTGCCCGGGCGCCTTAAACATCGAAAACCGGCATTCACACTTAACACCAACAATATAACTCCATCTATCCCGCCACACGGCAAACATCCGCCGCACGGTACAACTGTCACCGGCAACAATACTTTCTCAACCAGCCACAGAAAACTCCACTCAGGTAACTAGCCTATACCACCATCTGGTAACAATCCAAAGGTCAAAAGCCGGGAGATTTTTCACCGCGTTTTCTTTAGTAAAGTCCCCATAAAGATGCCGGTTATTGTGCGCGCAATTTGTCCCGGACACGACGCATTAGCCGGGTGCTATTGTATGGCTATACAGTGTACACGCCGCGATCCTGTCGTCAGTGATTTCCTCCAGCATCCCCCCGTGCTCATTCACTGCACTTCCTGTTGCAACTGGTTCCTCTCTGGCACTTTTCGGCTATTGTACCGGCACATCTCTCTCTCTCGCTCTCTTCTCTATACACGAGTACTCTTCCTCTGCGTGTGTGGATGTGTGTACGCTCTTGACGCAACCCGACCGTACGCGGGCGGGATAACACCGCGCGGCGTGCATAGAGAGAAGGGAGTGTTAAGTTACTAAGCCAACCGTCGAATTAACAAGCTTGTTTTCTAAGTATAAACGGCCGGTCCTGCGAAAAACTCGGCGTTTCTCTCTCTGGCAGCGTCGGTACTGTGTATGTGCCACATTCCTCGTTGGCGTTTAAGCTCGCGATTCAATCCCGGGGTATTTTTCCTCTAATGCGCGGTACACAGATGATCAGAATGCGGATCGGCGGGGAATGATTATATTCGCGCTGGTGTGTAACAGCATCATTCCAATTTCTCCATCATGCTGCTAAATCGGGCTTGATTAACAAGAGCTGGCTCGATCTGTACATACATTCTGTCCGTCTCTCTCTCTTCTCTCTGCTATCTCTCGATCGCCGTCGCCGTCTACCACTGGAAAATGCCAATGAGACATTTCCGCCGATGCCGGCATCACTGTGCTGTCGTTTAATTGTTCTCCGGTGATTTCGTTCCACGGGGGATTATATCGAAGCCCGTGGTCTAATTGATGGGACAGCTGTATTGTTTACTGATGAGCCCGATCTGTTTACTTTAGACCACTATCATACATTATGTAAAAACCCGGCACTGCATGATGTAATCCCTGGGAAATGCGAAAGTGTATCGCGTATACAAAAATGCTGATGATGTGTTATGCGGCATGCTGTATTAGCATTGATGGGATCGTGGATCGCGTTGATGATACTGATGATGATGATGATGATTTGAATTATTTCCAATCAGGATTAGTGCGGCCGCGGCAGCAGCAGTATCCTGCTGTTGGCCGGCAGCCGCCACAGCAGCTGACACGCAGTTGCGGGAATATACGTGCTTATCGCCACCGGTGTCGGCTGGCATTCTGGCCCGGCGCATCGTGTCTCTGGTGGGTAACCGTGTATACACTGCCGGGCAGGGGTACTTTAGAAATTATAATCTCCCGGTGCACTCTTTTAACATTGGCCATGAAGGATGGTGTGTTTGCGTTTCGAGAGGAAACGGCTGCTTTTCTGTGCATTTATTTTTAAACGTAGCCTGCTTCGATGGAGGTGAAATTTGATCCCGTTGCATGTGCCGGGTTAATCCGATACGTGTACAGAGTGGTGTGTATGCGGAATGGGAATATCCGCAATTCCGTGATAGTAACGCGGACGAGAAAATGCGTTTGTTTGTGCGCTTGTAAAAATATGTGCGCCTGAAAATTTCAAAACAAACTTATTGCTTGACTATAATTTTAATATCAACAAATTTTATTCAAAACCACGTTCCGACAAATTTAACGGACAAGAGCCGAAATCCAATTTTATAAAAGTCTGTAATCGGAAAATATTCAGAAATTTCTGTAAATTACTGTGACCATATTTACGATGAAAACTGCCGGTAAATTATATTTTAGCATGAAAATAGGTATATACAAAATTATCCGTGGGTAAAAGTGTCGCGATTATGTTTTGAAGATTTATTTGTAGCGTTGATGGTAGTGAAGTCTATAAATTGTTGAAAACTGCGTATTTTTCCTGTGTCATTACTCCGCATTTCGATCGTATTATTTGTTTATTCTGGCGCTTTGATCAAACCTATTTATCCCGGCGCGCTGCCTCTCTCTTGGCTCCGCTGATCGCAGCGCACAGCTGACTATTGTGCGATCGATTAGCCACAAAAACAGGGAAGCTGCATTTTGTTGATTAATCGATTGGCGTATTACGCTGCAGCGCGATCGCACAGCTCCACATTAAACTACGAGCTTTCTTCCCGTTGAAACCGGTTGAAACCCTTCATTTTCTCTCCCGGTTAGGGAAATTTGTCTGTGTATATAACCAGTAAAAGGTTTTCCCATAAATGACACAATATATATTGTATCGGTTGATGTGTGTGTATGGAGGAAAGTGTGTCTGTGTGCCGGGGACGAGATCACGATCGCGGCTGCTGTTGTCCTGTTGGACAGGGCGCTGGTAGAAGAAGACAGAAGCCGGTGCCGGGTTTTGACAAATTGCTCTCGTAGTGTGATTAACTCATCCGCATTTGCATCCCGGGCGCGGTGCATGTGGTTGATCTTCATCCCGGCTTGTACCACAAAAGCGGATTTGTCGTAATTTGCATTGACATTTTCCCCGGAAAATGTCGGTCAGGGATACCTTAGCATGTCTTAGCGGTTGTGACAGGCTATCGTTAAACAAAAGTGTCTGATGCAAAAAAAGTGCAATTAAGGGAATTTTCTCGTCTGTTTCCGGTTAAGGCGGTACACATTGTTAGAATGCGCATAAGAAAATCAAAGCATCGATTTCAGAAGCGCATTTCGCTAATGTATAGAGCACTGGCAGAGCAGATAGAATAAAATTCATTATATATAAGAATATTTAAAACTGTTGAACGCTAACCTGCCATCGTAAATTTTTCTTTTTCGGGTATCAGAACAGAACTTACAAAGCTTTCCAAATTTATATTTAATGAAACAGCTATGGGGAAAAAACCCGCATAAGCTAAAAAATAATTCGCCCGATCACGAGCCGTTTGATAAACTTGCAAATCAGCAGAGTAGTTTTTCCCGGCAAGCCTTCCATTTTTTTGTAAAAAAGGTCGTAAAGCTCCGAATTAAATGTGATACTGTCGTAAATGTATGCGTCAGTTTAAACAAGTAATTCCCATGATCGACTACACATGCAAATGTTGGAAGCGATTAGCGCTGTTGGGTTGTTTACCCATTTGCATCGGTCGGTGAATTTTCCGGTGGTAGTGGTGAGACGCTGTGCGGCACGATGCGCCGGCTCCGTCCCGTTTCTTTTCCCTCTCACTGTCTCTCGCACATTCAGGGTAGCAAGACGTGCGCGCAACATGCGTAACATGTTGTGGTTCATTAGCTGTTCGTCTGTACCGAATACCGGGCTCCGATCGATGCCGGCGCTGTCTGTGGCGGGATGTAGTGCGGGATCGGTTACTTGCCCACTGGGCAGTCTCCCATCGCGAGCGCCCCTCCATTCATCCGGGAGTATAACAGATGGGAAGCAAATTGCTCCTTCAGTTTAATTACCACTGATTATCTGTGGAGATCTGGGTCATTTGCATGTATGGGCTAAATCACGACGAGATTCCCGGGAAAGATTTTAATATGCGCTGGGCTGGAGTGGCAACTGCCGATCGTGTGCTTGTATCCATCGCTGTATGTTGTTTCCGGCGTAATGGATTATTATTATCCTACGAGCAACTGCACGCTTCTCGCAGCAACTAAATTATGTTTGCTCGACCAATATATTTTCAGACAGATTGCGTAGTTCTTAATAAAATTAGCTTACCTGGTTTGTTATCCTTTTTACTTCAACAAGATAAAATACATTAATGTAATGTTAACCCTCTTCTACAGGATTTTTTAAAAAGGATAGATTTGTGTACGTTACACTTCAAATTTTTCGAATTTTTACGTCTGCAGTATAAATGATCGATGTGAAAGACTACAGTTTATTTCAGATTTATATATTGTAGTATAAAAGACTTAAAATCAAATTGAATTTTTAAATAATCATTTATTCAGTTAGCAATTAATCATAATAAAAAGTGTGCAGTCTTTGTGGCAGCTCGGAAATAATAAATGCCCGCATTTTTTATGTGACCTTCTTTTGATAGGCCGTAAAAATGCTGCATTAGTGCATTGTGCCCATCAGCCGGGATGGGACCGTTGTCGCGGTTTCCGGTGTAGTGAGGTTCTAAAATGGACTTACACAGCCGAAATGGCATCATCGCTTTGCCCGATCTCTAACAGTCCCCCTATAATGCAATGTGTCGTAAATGTGCGCGTTAAATTGCCGGTTATATGATGGGAAATGGTTTTGACGTACATCTATGAGCTGTAAAGATAGAAAATCCAATTATGAGACCCTCTTAAGGCCTGCTTAAAAGCGGCGCGGCTTGGCGAGTGTCAGCAGCACGGGCGATGCTATTAGTATCCTTCCGTCACTCCCCGCGATACCGAAATGTGCCGAACATTATGGCACTTGTTAACGCCGCTGTATTACAGCTCCAGATTGATTAGCGCGCTGGCGTGCCGGTCTGGGCTTAAAATTAATGCGTTGTGGAATTAGAATAAAAAATTGCCGGTGAATCTTTTAATTACACCAAGTCCATAAATCCTTGACTAGCCGATTGTGAATTCCAAATGTTTTGCCAGAACAGTATAGTAGTGTAATAAGTATTTTACTTAGACAATGATCAAGAATTTCAGGTAAAATAAATGCTACTCGCGAAAATGTGGTAACAAATTTTAAACTAAAATAAAATAAACATTGCCAGAAATTTTAGTATGCAAGAAATTATAATTTTAACTGCCAGTTTGTTAGGTAATTCTATTAACTGGTTTAGAAATAGTGTGATTGTTATTAGGCCAAAAAACTGCGCAGGAGATGCAGAAATCGATTAGGCAAAATCCCATTGTCCGCGGCAATTAATCGCAGATTTTTTCCGCGTTTATCGATCGAACGGGAATTAATATCCGAGACAGGGGGATTTTTTTTACATCCCATCTTCCGCTTAAGACAAGTGTCAGACGGCGATACCGTAACAAAAGCCCCTGGCCTTTGTCAGATCCGCTAAATAGCCGCATAAAAACCGCCCCGAACCCAGCTGCAGTGTAACGCGGGGCGGAAGAAAAGCGAGCCCGTCAGTGTTTTATTAGACAAGATGGGTCGAAAGAGCCCGGGCGCGCCATATCACAGAGGAAGAACGACTCAAAGATCTATCAGCTCGGGAAAAGGAGGCCGAGCCCGGTGGCTGTGCCGCCGACATGAGAGCATTTAGTGGTAATCCACCGTAGGGATTTGACGGTCCGCGTACACCGGGACGCTTGACACTTAAGCCCCGATCACTTCCCCTCTTTTTATCCCATCCGCGCGCGCGCTCGCTCGCATTTTACCGCAGCGCAGCCAAATGTCCATACAACTGTACATACAACAACCATACACCTACCCCAGCTGACACATAAACATTCAGCGAACAGGGAACACGGCTGGTTAAATGCCGGGGCGTAATAAGCGCGTCCTGTGCTCACAGTCAGCCACCGGTGTATCCTGTTGCACACTCGCAGCATCCATATAAAAACATATTCGCCGATGTATCTGTCGTATATCCAACCGGCATTTTTCATATAACCACCGTTAAACTTGGTATTGTCTTTACCCATTGCGTTTTCCTACGGTGAAGGTATATAGTACTCACAGATGACCCAATTATCTTTACGTTGATGTCGGTCTTGTTTTACTTCCAGATTCCGTCCGGCTGCGTTGTTTGTGTTTGATTTTTGATCCACAGTTTGTCGTCTCTCTCTTTCTCTCTCTTCCTCTTCTCTTTGTTGTCCCTTGTTAATTTGACATATCCGTGTATTATTATTCTTCCACACCGGACTCCTTGTTTAATCCTCGCATTCTCTCCTTCACCAACCTCTGTTGTCCGGGAACACAAACACTCACCGCTGCTGCTTGTTTTTTGTGTTGATTTATATTACATAAACGCGCTGCAATGATGGACGCTGAATCTCAACCGTCTCCTAATACGTCCCCTGTCCCAACCATCCAATCGCTTACTGTCCGGCTCCTTATGCTTGGCAAGGTATGTGTGTGTCTCTCTTATTCAGTTGTTTTTTGTCTGTGTGTGTCACCCATTTGTTTTTGACCAATCGGTTCCCGGGTTTACTTTCGTCGAGCGACGCGATACCCAATTATTGACGTATTGACCCACCGCCGCTATTGTGCCGGCCGTGTACATATGTACAGCTTAAGTGGGCATTTTGATTCATTTTCCGAATCATATTAGGAATGAAGAAAAAAAGTAAATGTTTGGTTGTCAGATCGATTGACTGGCGTGCGAAGCAACAAGCAGAAGGGGACAAGCGTGTTAACCGTTTTAACACGTGTCGCACGTATGTTTGTCAAGGCCAGTAGTACTGGATGTGTCAAATCACAGTCGCCACTATGACAGACAAAATGAATGCCTGGCAATGAGGTGTTTATTGGCTACAGTGTTAACATCCACGGCGATTTACGCATCCGTCGCTGGGTGCGTAAATCACTTTGTAATGAACGGGGGAAGATTATAGCGGTTTGAGGATAACGAGGAAAAAAATCCCTGACATTCGGCACCCATAAAAAACCCTAATTATACTTTAGGAGGGGTTCCTTGCAACGAGAACTGTGAGGCTTTAGAATAGAGGCGCACGTTGTAGTATTCAGTGAAGCTACGCTGCAGAGCTGTCACGTTCGCTGCAACCAGATATGCCGCTTACGTCAACAGACAAAACAGCCATGCCAGGGCACGCTTGACAGATCGGTGAGGTTGTGCGGGGAATAGAACATCTATTCTAACCCGGCTTCGTAAAACCCTTTCGTTACCGCGTTTTACGATGGTCGACGTAATCGTCGCACATGGAAGTTCAGCATGTGCGGCCAATAAAATAATAATTAACGAGTCAATATAATTGACTTTCTTCCAAAAACAAGAAAGCCACCACTGTTTTTTTACCATAACCTTTCGTAAAAAATACCGAAAATAAAAAAATATTTAGTTGCACACAAAAACGTCAGAATTATCCTCAGTTTCTGCATAGAAAACACGTTTAAAAATTGTAATTAATTTTGTGTATAACTAGTTAACGCTAAAATCCTAAATACTTTTGGCGTAAATATAAAAATCCATTATAAATGATGCGTGCTGTCGTCGACATGGTTTTCCGGCCGCAGCGGATGTAATACTATATTTAGTGGAAGCAGGCATATTTCGCTGATTAAAAACACACCCGCCCTTCCTTCCTCACCAGTTTCTTGGGTTACGCAAATATAGAAGATAATTGAGTTTATAGAGTCCGGGAAGAATTAACTCGGGCTGCCCCGATGCAATATGTATTGCGTCTTGTGGCTGGTAGTTGATTAAATAAATCACGATCCGCGGTGCTTTGTGGCGGTGGAGTGTAACTACTGTAATTATCGTATCAGATAGATTCTGCTGCTCCTGCGCAGGCATAGTATAATTATTCTCTTTTTCTTTCCAGGAGGTCGGCAGTATCATCGGCAAGGTAAGCCTCCCGGAAGACGGTAGCTGGAGATGTCGGTTATGGTAGCCTAAATAATTTAAATGATTATTTCCCGTCCTGCCCTCCCTTCCACGTCAACAGGGTTATTCTATCCGACGTATTTCCTATATATTGGAATAGTGCGCCATCAGCACGACTGGGAATTTTCTTCTAAATTTTCTGCAGCGCTGTGCAAGATCCTGCCAACAGAGATTCCTTTGATTACCCGAAAAAAAATTTAGATAAAACTGCGACATCAACTAACGATTTCAATTCATTTCCACGCAGTATTTAGTTACACAGAAGCAGCATTTTATTACGTCATAAAAATTAAGCATAGCTGCGATATCATTGAATGATAATTAAATTTAAATTTTGTGATATAATCGAAAGCTGTTTATTAACAATTTAGGATTAAAGATGGATAATAAATAACACCACGCAATAAAATCTGACTGACGCATGTTTATAATTGTTATATATGCAGAAGAATTGATATAATTTACGGTGGTTTAATCAGCCTGTATTAAACCTGCTTTTGAGCCTTTTCTGATTCAGACACCGCATCTCTCTGGAGTCTCTCCCAGATGTTCCTGCGCGACATAAGCTGCTTGTCAGGCGCAGCGTCGCAGGCAGGAAGAACCGGCACCTATCATGCTCAACTTAATCCCGCCGTAATCCGCGTCTTGACCCGCGCCAACGCTCTCAATACCGGCACACACATCACACACACATACACACAGCAGCGGCAGCCACATGAGCTTTCAACAAGCCAATAAACATTGTTAAATTTTGGTTAGACAAGATTAATGGATTATCCATACAGCATTTGTTGCCGTGACGGGCCGGGTCTCCATTCTCTATAACAGCACACATATCACTGCCGCTCAATTAATGAGCTTTTTAACAGCTAATTCGCCCACCACCGCGCGCGTCCGCACCACGTGCGGCGGAGCGCACGATCGATTACCGGCATTTTGCGCTGAGATTCGTGCGCCCTGCTTCACTGCTACTGGCCGGTTAATTACAGGAAAATCTGTCACGAAAGGTCATCTACTTAATCTAATCTTTCTTCGTTGCAGGAAGGCAAAAATGTCAAGCGTATTCGGGAAGAGGTAAGCGATGATAAAGTGCTGCAGAGCACATGATGGCTGGTTATGCGGGCGCGCTGCGAATTCCCGCCGCGATCGCCAGCGTGCTGTGAGAGGAAATAAAATGTTGTAAGTGCACCAGGCTGTCCGGCTTAATCAGCGTATTCTTTTTTTTCCTTCGTAACAGAGCGGTGCCAGAATCAACATCTCCGACGGCTCGTCACCGGAACGGATTGTCACCCTGGTGGGCAATGTTGACAATGTATCGGCGGCATTCAAGATGATCTGCACCAAGTTCCTCGAGGTGAGCGCCATGGGGTTTATTTATGGCAGCCTCTTCAAACATTTCACATAACTTTCATGGCAAAGTTTCAGCGAACAAAATTCGGTAGCGTCGCAAATAAATACACGCTTTGTATGTAGAGACGTGCTTTTACTAATGCTGGTAAATGGCAAGCGAGCAGCAATTTTGTTCTGACCAGTGTCTGCTGTTTATAGTTAAACTGTATACTGTTTTGTATTCTGTTAAAATTCAAATCTTTTAAACAATGGAAAACAAACCAAGTGAAAAGAGACGCTGTCAGAAAGATACATATACGTAAATTAAATGTACATTTGTGCGCGGAGATTCATGGCGCCCAGCCAAAATCTATGCGCCCGGTTGCCGCGGGCGGCTGACAGTCACCGTTGTGTATTACTTAGAGCGTTTATTTTTTGATTCGGAAAACAGTGGTCGCTGTCGGTGATTGACTGATGAACATAATTGATTTTCTTGTTTTTGTACAGGATATAGACTATAACGGGCAGAATGCCTTTCAGTCCAACGGAGCATGGTGGACGCCATTAACCATCCGTCTGCTGGTCCCGGCCAGCCAATGTGGATGCCTTATCGGGAAAGGAGGGTCCAAGATTAAGGAGTTGCGCAACGTATGTCAACGCTCTAACACTCCGTTCACAAACATGTACATTTGCTGAGCGGGTGGTTGTTCGTTTAGATAACCGGTGCATCGGTCCAGGTGGCCAGCGATGCCCTGCCCAACTCCACCGAACGAACCATCACGTTGACCGGCAACTTTGAGCCCATTACGCGCTGCTTCGAATATGTCTGCCAAATGTTGGCCGAAGTAAGTGCAAACTGTCATAAATCATAAAAATAATTACGCACAATCAAGGCAATGTTATAATTTTATGCTTCAAACGCAGTAAATAATTCTCTGCTCATACGAAGCGTAACAAAGCATGTACCTTGTCCTAAATGCCAATGCGGAACACTAAACACAAAAACTAGTTTTCAGAGCTTAAACCTAAAAATGCGTTCCTGTCTTAAAAGTTGCCGTGGGTTTAGTTTTTTCAATAAATTTTGGTCAGTCGGTCTATCGATTACGTACTACGATGTTTGCATTGGTAAAATGCCTTTGTTATTTATGGTATAGTCGCCTCCAAAAGGACCAATCATTCCGTATCGTCCGAAGGCCGTCTCGCTGAACGGACCCATCGCCGCCAACGGGTTCCTGGCAACGGGGAATCCCGGCGTGGCGCCGGTGGTGGCGCCCCAGACCGTGTTGATATCGGGTGGACCACAGGCGCCCTTCCTCCTGCAGAGTCAGTTCCCCTTGTCGCCCCAGGCCCAGGCCGATCTGACGAAGTTAACGCAGATGCAGCAGACGCTCAACGGCTCGGCTAACAGCGCCGCTGCCGCCACAGCGCAGCTGATGGGAGCGCAGCAAGCGGCGGCATTGCAAGGTGCGTAGGATAACTGCAGCACGAGGTGTGCGTCTCTATACTTACTTCACGAATAATTTACTTTTGTCCTACTGTTATACAACCCGAACGCATATGATAAAATCTTACGCAATATTAGTAGAGTATGTGGAAAATTACTCGGGGAGTCGGGGCGCATTTTGCTGGCCTACATTCAGAAAATACTGTAATACTGAAATTTTAATACGCCGTAGCAATAATACAGCCATTTACCGTAAATCGTAATTATATTTTCTACGATCGGTTGTCACAGACAAATCGATCGTAGCGTAATTTTATACGTATGCTAAACGACTGTGTTGTTGCTCTGGCAAATTACGGTTACTGTAATAAATTTTTGAACTGTTAGCAATTGCGTAGTTTTGGCCTGCGCAATTGACAAAAATCTTAGTTCATTGCGCTGGTATTTCACGTTTGTTGCAAAAACCCGAATTTTCCTGAATATCGACCCACAAAATGCGCCTGGTAAATCTTACATATATGTATATTGACCATTGATGTTTTAAAATGTTCGGAAATTGTAGTAGGATAGCTGCATGAGAAGTTATACCATGAGCTTTCTGTAGCACTTGGTTGTACTAATCTTTATAACACCTGCATAATCGTGCCACCCCATTAATTGTAGCAATCTATGATGACCGCGTACTTGCAGCCATGCTAACGGGATCGCCGATGCTCAACGTGAACAGCGGTGCCGTCCTGCGCAGTGTGAATGGATTAAGCCCGTCCGGGCCGGGCGGCGTCTCGGTGGTGGCGGCGCCCCCACCGCCCCCGGTCGCCGCACTGCCGCCGCAGCATCAGCAGAGCCACGAGCTGACCATCCCCAACGATTGGGTGGGGTGTGTCATTGGGCGGGGCGGGGTGAAGATCAACGAGATCCGCCATCTGTCCGGCGCTGTGATCAAAATCAGTCCGTGTGAAGATGGGAAGAAGGAGCGCAGTATCACCATTACCGGCAGTCCCGAGGCGGTCAACGTGGCGCTGTACCTGATACAGACCCGCATCTCCGCCGAGCTGCTGGCCAACGGTGGCTTCTGTCTCTAGTCGGGTGGTGTTTTATGCTGCTTTACGGTGTCGGGTGGTGTTTTATAAGGAGAAATTAGCCGGGATTTTGCGTAGAAAGTTTGATGAATGCTGTTCTAGGCTTATTTATTTTGATTGCATAAACTTTTTCTATGTAGTGGAATTTATTCTGCAGGCGCGATTTGCTGTTGGAGCGCCGGCATGGCAGTCAGTTGCAGTGATGGCTAAAATATAATGCAATGTTAGAATATAGTTATTATCGGAAATTTTGATTGATTGTTTCTACACCCGATAAGGATTGGATTGTTTGAATTGCTCTCTTTATAATCTTACGCCGAATGACGTAAAGCAAATGTACAGAAACAGATTCATTATTTATAAATCAATAGACATACCGCTGCATTGTACCGCTGCATAGTAATACTAGATCAGGCTGCTGTAAAACAGTTCACACTCGTGTATCAAAACAAATTATACCACATGATATTAATTATTATTCTTACGTCTGCGACAAGGGTGCAGAACATTGACTGCATTTTGTTTTTGGCCGGTGAAAACGATACCGGCGACACTTAACGGTTATTGGCAGTGGTGAGTCGTGAGACCATGGAGAACATACTTATTAAACTTATTAAACTCAAACTTATTAAACTATCCTGAAGCGGATCAGGATTGCTAAGTCTTAGAAAAGCGGCACGGTACATTGCAGCGAATCCGTAGCAGATCCGTTGCACTTCGCTTCCGTGCATTCCAAACTGTTTTGCACTGCTTTAAGACATTCTGTCGCCAAAATGGTATTTGTGTGTACAGGTCGGCTTGCACAATACTGAGAAAATTTTAAACATATAAACAGCTGATCGAATTTGTAATTGCAGTTGTAATAAGTACGAGTATCAGTGGTTGCCATGACACAACATTTCACTTATACACGGTGTGCCTACATCAGTCTGGCTAGTAGGTAGGGGATAAAGTAGTAATAACAAAACATTCAAACCGAATTTATTATTATTGGCTAGTACACGTTCCCAGCGGTATGGATGGTGTGGCGCAAAATACTTGCGGTGTTCCACAGAACACCCTTCCTGTGCAAACCATAGAAAATCTGATCTCCGCGTGTGACCTCGCCCCAACAACGCAAATGGATCTGGAGGATTTCGGTGTCAACGATCTGAAACAACTCGTGGACCTTCGCCAAAGCATGACTTATCCTGCAGATCTTCAGTTTATTAAGAACCCCTTGGATCGCAAAAAGGTTCAAGATTTCATCGACAAAAATGCACCAATGCCACCGCCGGCCTCCAGTCCTCCCAAGCTAACCCCCAAAGTAAGTAAAAACGGGAAGTATGCTGAAAGCGGAAGAAAAGATGAACAGGATCGTGGCGTCAGCTGGTGTTATTGCGCACCGCGCACGAAAGCGTGATGGAAAATCGAGGGTTAGGAATAACTAGATTTATTGAGAGGGACAAGATTGTAGGTTTCAGGCAGAAAACGAATGATTCAAAGGTGGACGGGCGTTTTCTATAAGCGCCCGATAAAGATCGACCAGGTAACAGACGAGACAAACCAAGTGGCCGACCACCTTGTACGTGGTTCCCTTGGCACTCAATTACTGTGGATACTCCTCGGCACAACCATAATCAATTTCTTCACGGAATATTGCTGTAGTAGCCGAACATTTGTTATTGTCAGCCTCGGACTCTTCTGCGCAGTATCGCGTCCTCGATAGTCGATACACAGACACGTTGCAAAAAGTTTTGGCTAGATTAAACCGCACTAGCAGCAACTAAGTACTTAGATAGCCCAGCAGGCAGTCAGCTAGTTTGGCCGGAAGATTTAAGGGAAAAGAAGGCGAGATGCTGTCGAGGTGAACATCCTGAAATTTGTAGCGCAGCTGTAATATGTATGCACTCGAACTGTAATTTAATGCAGGGTAACGTTGAGATGTTCGAGAAATAAACTAATTTCTACTACTTGAGTAGAGATTGAGCGGTGCAGAGTTCGGCTATACGGGTACTGCCCAAACGGCGGTTGTTTATAAATACTAGTATTTTTGTTCTGCAGAAAAAATTTAATTAACGTCCTTAACGCATGTACTTAACGAAAACTATTAGTGATAGTGAACTAGCTCAGTGTCACCCGTTATCGCTTTCTTTTGTGGTCAACTTAGGTGTTGAATCGTAAGAAATGCTACTTAATTACTCTCGCTTCGAGTGGTTTCGTACTGTTTCAAAGTGACATTAAATTTTGGTGATAACTTTTTGCCCAATAGAAGTGTGCAGGAATTTACGAAGGGATGTGAAAATAACACACGGGATAAAGCACCATGGATGTGGCTTAGCTTCAAAGGATACGTCAACGACGAAAAATGTGACATCCAAATAGCAACGGCTCGCCCCCAGTTTCCTCCCAGTCAGTAAAAACGTCGATCCTAACGCGATGTATTTTCTGTTGATCAGATTTATGTGTGCCATTTTGTTTGTTAGCGATGTTAAATTTAAAGCTGCTAGCACCAAGGTTTTACAGATTATGTACGAGTAATATAATTATATTATCAAAATTGTGTAATGTTCGCCGCTTGTCTGGTTTCTGTCCTTTCTTGGGAGAGCCTGGTCATTACTCGAGATACAACAGGTGATAAACTGACGGTGCTTAGTGGAATTTGGGGACAGCGTCTGATATTTCGCCGATACTTCTATGATTCTATCAGTTTTTAGTCTTTGGGACAATATACGCGTAATTTGCTAGTCTTGCAGTTGCGCAGCATCGCAGGTTTATTAATAAAGGATCATAGACGGGCCGTGTACGAGCACATATTCTTAATCATTATTATTTTTAACAACTTTCATACTGTACATGCATACTCGAACGGTTTATGGTCTAATAATTTAGCCTAGTGCTTCGGGAGCCTTGCACTGGTGACCTTTACAAAATTTTCCAGCGCAAGCATAATTATATGCTTCTGCTAAGTTGCTTCACGGAATTTACTACAACCATAGAACACACAACACAGCAATCGGTCTATCTGAGCAACGCAATTCTGGCCACTCAGACAAAACGGGTTGTCTGCTTTTGAGGCCTGAATTAGAAATCTGGACTGAGCAGCAACCTTATATTTGTACCGGCTAGATGAACAAAATGTTAGTAGGATTACGACAAAACGTTTACCACGCAATACATAGTGATTGACTATCTGCTCGGTACACTTTTTCTGGGTTGCCCGGGATGCTCCATGCTGGTCCACAGGTCACTTTAACTTCCAAATACTTGTCCGTCAGCAAACCGGGCGAATGCACAGTACTGTTGAACCACTGATGGAAATTTTCCATAGCCCAACATCCACAGTCATCATCCTCTGGACAGATCGGATTATGACGGAAATTAAACTTCACATTCACTCGGTCTTCTTTGACAATAAGGGTATCTAGAACATCCTTGGAGATGGATGGCAAAAGATTACCGTCTAAGGACAGTGTCGATAAGTGCACGTTGAACCGAGGCCCACTGCGGTACAGGTGGCGAAGGGGCGGGGTCTGCTGGCGGAGCTCCAGAAATAACTTTGACCAAAAAACCTCGTTTTTATATTATGTTCATCGAAATTATAAAAAGCGCAAGAGTTAGTAATGTAGAGAACTGCTAAAAATTAACAGCACGAATTTACTAATATTTTGCCCAGATCTCCATAAATAATTTTCGCAATAATATTTAGAATGTTGAATTTCATTGCCATGTCTGTAAATTCAGTTAATTTTATTAAGTAATAACGAGTAGCTGTTGCAACTTTTTCTTACAATTTTTCGACTCTCATGTAATCGTAATACAACAGCGGTGGAAAGAACGAAAGATTTATAGTTCATTAATTTAAGAAAAATACATTTTATCGATTACCAAGTGGTTAGCAACTGGCTCCAGAGTAGTCCAATCAAAATAGGTTAAGGAGTTCTCGCTCAGCTGGAGAAAAGATAGGATAAGATAAGATAAGATAGGAACTGAGCGGAACGTATCGATCGCGATGTCCTTAATATCGTTCTTCTCTATATCCAGCGTAAGCAAACTCGGGAAACCACTAAGGAAAGCCGCATCCAATCTGCCAATCTTTGAATACTGTATAATAAGAATCAGGACACTGTGGAGGTTAGAAAGGAGTCGATCAATCGGGGCCCGCGCTTCTGTTTCTGACCGAAACCCTTTCAGCGTTACTCGCCATATGCCGTCGTTACGAGGCAGTGCTTGAAAGTACTTCCCTAAGGTGTTGCAGTACGTGTTGAAGTTGCTAGTCGGACAATCCAGAACCAGGGTGAAGAGTGCGCCGTACACGGTGGGTAACGCACAAGCGTTGAAATTCCCCGGGAAATGCAGATCGGCCTGCGTACATGCGAGATCGAAGGGCTGATGCTCCGGGAAGAAGCACTGCGGATGTGGTAATGCAGAGCTTTCGGTGGATGGAAAGAATGCACCTAACACGAGGCAGATGCGAAGTATAATGGTTCCCATCTTAGCCAGTGAAAATGGTGTTAATAAAGCGATGAGTTCCTGATTACTAAACGTAAGGAATCGTGTCAGATTCAAGTGATGTTTTTTGCTAGTAGAAATACTAGCTGCAAGTTGCTGACAACAATACGTTATGCTGATACATAACGAATTAATAAACAACCGCTCAATGTTCGTGAGCTACATGTATATTACGAATACCATTATTTCACTACTTCCTCGAGCATGTGATGTTGTTGTCCGAGATATAATAGCTGATAAACTAGCGATGCTCGTTGCTTAATTGTGGACTTGGGGACATAGTCTGTTGTTTCGCCCGGCATTTTCAATGCCAATGACCGTCTAAGGAGTAACGGATGACTGTGCGAGTAAACGTTTACCGCTCGCTTTTAATTCGTCGACCATCAGTGTATGAACTGGAAACATTCTCTACTTCTGTGCCAAAATACTCGAGAGCATGGTCGACTTTATCTTTGGCCTTTCAGGCCGCCATTCGTCGCCTGACACGTGAAGCGAGACGTTGCAGTAAGGACGCATTGGAGCCTCTTTTTCCGAGAGAAATGTTACTTAGGTTTAACATTATCGAGAAAATAATGCACAACTGCTAGAAATATTAGGACAGTCTATTGTTGCTTGCTGACGCTTAGATGCTCCGGAAAATGTTACGCTCAAACGTTAGATGTGACGTGTTGCTCCGGCTGAAGTAGAAGCCAGTACGTCGTCACATTGCCCTTTCCCTAAATCAGCAAACAAGGCAAAATGAGTCAGTATCATCATTAAATTAAAAAAGTAATGAACACCATATAACGCGTCGTACCTTGAGATGGACTTTCCCGCGACTGATAAACTCATGGCCAAATTGCTGAGCAACGACCACGGTGGCCACACTAACGTGTACCTGGGACGGCTGACTACTGGTCTGCATGCGTGCTGCCGTGTTGACGGAATCGCCGAAACTGAGGAAAAGTGTGCTGTGTTCAGTTTGATCTAGCTACACGAAAGATGTGCGCATTCCGGCACAAAATCTTACAAGCAGTATCGCGGTCTCTTCAGTCCAATAACACCAGCGGCTACCGGCCCACTATGAACGCCCATCAAGAGCTGCATACTCTCGTGGCTGCGTACACGCTCGAAGGCACTGAGAAGGACGGTGGCCAAGCGGCAGATCTCATCGGCATGACGGCTGCCTATTCGCTCCAGCAGTCCGCTTACGGCCTGCAAAATAAAATGTCTAGGAAATCTGTACTTCAGTTTTTGCTGACCAAGTTACAATAATAAGGTCCGATAAATAGTAATTAATACTATTGGACTGTCCAGTAAATATCGGAAAAGCTGACCAAAATGTCATACTACACATTTTAAGCTTGAGTGTACTGTACTTTAATACGGTACATAAACTTTATTATATTACAGATTACTGTATACGGTATATTGTATGAGGCACATTTTGCAAGCGAACCGTGGTTTAAGGTTCGACAGCGAATTCGCTCGGCGGTGGGCCCGTATGCGATACTACGCGACGCTTGACGATATCACCTTAATGTCGTAAGTTGTATGTATTTTGTATGTATTTTGCACTGTATGTATTTTGCGTTTTGCTAGGATTGCAAGAACTCGCAGCGTCTCACTAACCACATAATTGCTTCCGATGGTCTCCAGTTTATAAATCGATAATCCCACCGACACTTCATCAAATATCGAATACACCTCATGGAGGAACGACAACACCACTTGCGGGAGACAGGATGCGACGAACGTATTGAAACCGCTAATGTCGCAAAACAGAATGCTAACTTCTTCCACGTACTCGGCTTCCACGGTCTCCCCGGTTCGCAGCTTTTTCACCACTGACCTGAAACAGAATCAAATATTCATGCTTTCAGTTACGCTTCAAATATGCAGTCGCTTCTAGGCGGCTGATGGAACGCACGCTGGAAGCATTTGACAGAGGAGTTCATCAGCTTTTTTCTGCTCATGCAGCAGTAGGGCGGTTCGGTCTGCGACATCCTGCTCTAGGACGCGATTGTACTTCTCCAGCCACTGCATGATCCGGTCGAGAAAGGTCCCTTCCATGCCTTCGCTGGCCGTCGCCAGGCGGAAGCGCAGCGCGGCCTCTGCAATTTGTGGTCGCTGTGATGGTTCCTCCGCCCAACACGATTGCACCAGGGGAATCAGTCGCTCTAACGTTCTGTTCTGAGATAGCTGTGGGAACAATGGTCGGAAGTAAGGTTTTGATCCGGCTGCGATTTGTTCCAAAATGTCTACAGCATTTGAAAAGTGTCAAAACAAATTTGAACGATATTTATTATGAACTGCAGTCTGCAAAACCTAGGCTCCTTACAAATTTAGTTTACAGTGGAACCTCTTAGTTTATCAGTTGTACGAACGACGAAACGATTTAATTCCGATATAACTTAGAATTAATATTACTGTATAGGTACACACTATTATCGTACACTTTATAAAATTTTGTACAGCGCAACCTGTAGGCTTATACGTACGAGTACTATCGCATTCACGATTCTCATACACTGACAAATAACAAGTGCAGGCTTAGTGTGCAGTACAAATAAAAAGCACGAATTATTGAATAATTTTGTTATACGTACGTTCAGAAACAGCGCTATCGGTTCCTTCACCGTCCTGACCGTATATATGCGTGTGCATGATAATCTGATGGGCGATCAGGCCCAGTGCATACACGTCGCTCTCCGGCGTCGGTGGGTGACCGCGCAGCACTTCTGGTGCCATCCAGCAATGCGGCGCAAAGAACGGCTCCAGAACGACATACAGCGGTGCAGCAAATTTTTTACCGACGGACTGCAGAGAGCGGCTTAATTCTTCGTGTCCGTAATCGGAAATCTTAATCACCATCTGTTTATCCAGCAGACATTTTGAGCCTTTCAAATTTCCGTGCTTCTTTAACGAAGATTTATGCAGAAAGGTCAGCCCCTGTAAAAAGAGCGGTATGGTAAAACGGTTTACAGTGATGCCTGCAGTTTTACCTACTCTGATTATGTCTTGTATGAGGAACAGCTTTAGATTCCAGTCCGGATTGCGCTGAGTAATCATATCTTCGATTGAGCCCCGCTTGCACACTGTGTAGAATGTACTGGGTATTTTGGTGGTGAAGCAGATACCAAGAAGACTGTTCAGATTGGAACAGTTATCGAATTTGTGCATCTGACAAGCAAAACCAAGTTTCATAGTTGTGCCTTGTAGCGGTTTATTAGTTAGCCGGGATTATCCCACCGTTGAGACCAACTTAAGGAATGTCGTCGTCAAGACAGGGTGGGCATTCGTTGTCCAATATAGCCGTTGCTTCCAGGCGGGACTCCCGCGGAGGTTGACTAGTTGCCCGGCTGTCGAGCGATATGTGCCTCTCCGCAAAGCGGTGACATCAGACCACGACGCGCTTTCCGTAAAGCTATCTGAGGAATGGGATTTGGGCATAAAGGGCATGAACTCCGTTTCCGACACCATCCACCATGTTCGTTGCCTCTTATCCAGCTTCTGCTGTCTCCTGCGTATCAGACACCGGTTATAAGTAATTAGAACAATAATTTACATAGGTAACGATTAAAAACAGAGTAGTAAAAGGCACCTAAAGCAAAGTACACGGAAAGACTAGTCAAAATACATACGATCCATAAAATACTTCATTTTTGTCTACCAGTGCCATACATTTAATACTGTTCTTCAAAAAATGAATTCATATGTTCCTAAACATACGAGGACATTTGGGTGCTGTGAACATACCCTGCACGATTAGGCTGCGATGAACAGCTGGCTAGCCGTAGCTCGGTCTGAATGCAAACGGCTATAAATTTAGCCGGCTGTTCATCGCAGCCTAATCGTGCAGGGTATGTTCACAGCACCCAAATGTCCTCGTATTCATGGGAACACCGACTTACAATAGAATTTCGAAGTACTTAATCCTTATATTAATTTAACAATAATAGTTATACGTCGCATATCTTATCGTAAACGAACGGACTTACAACTTTAAACCCTGCACTCCGGTCTAACAATGAACCAACCCTGCATTTTCCCTACCCTTAGTGTTAACATTGCAGCTGTTTTAATTTACCGCAGCAATCCGGCAGCTGCTCCAACGACCAGCACGATCCCCGCCACCGCGACACCGACGGCCGTCGGTATTATCGATGACAGTCCGCTACAGTTTGTATCACACACCGGCCGGTCCAACGGGGCTACGCCCAATTTCCACTTGATGGGGCGACTAACGTCCACCAGGTCGTAAGCTTTCGTAAGATAATTGTATGCGTAGACGTTCTGTTGAAGGATACAGCAAAATTAAGTTTTCAACAGATACGCGCCAAATCAGATGCACTTCTCACACGAAATTTGCCGCTGACGCGATCGAACTGCTGTATGACGACCACTGGTACTTTCTCGCCGCTTGACGTAATGGAGACGTTCTCGAATGGCAAGCGGTACGATTGTCCTAGCAGTTTTTTCAGTATTCGTCCGGCGTCCAAGTGGTAAGCAGGACTATCCTGTTCTGTTTCGTTGCCCGTGCGGAATTCATCTAGGACCTAATACGTCAAATGTGTGGTAAAGCTTCTGATTACTGCGATGTTTTTCGGGCATAAGGAGCGCTCTTGCTCATTTTAGTCGTATGCTCGTCTCCTTTGTAAAATCGTAATTAGCAACAGCATTTGTAATGTAAAAAGACATGGACATAATATTAACAACTAGGTATAACGTGTACCGATCAAGAACGCCTTACCGTGGACATTAGATCAGCGGCATTCGTGCAGGAGACGAAGAAGTCGTTATACTGCAAAACAGAATTCCCACCGTCGAACTCGATTTAAGGTTGACTGTTTGCTACCAGGTGTTGTATGTCGTAAGGCGCTCCAAACACTGCCTCGCGGTAGCGCAGAATTTCGTCTGAACGGTTCAAGAACGTCGACCAGTCGGTCTCGGGTGTCCGAATGACCAGTACGCGCTCGATGACTGCATTGATTGCCTGCAAAACGACGGCTTGTTTGCTTATTTCTAAGGTAAGATTATGTTGCATCGACAAGCCTTATCGAGGTCATCATTTTGTCTCCAGTCTCCCAGCGGCGGCTCCGCGGGGATTTGTCCCTCATAAAAGTATAAAAACTCCTGTTTGGCAAAGGAAATCGTGGATTGATAAGCGCTTTTCCCAAGAGGATCTTTCTCGACAATGCATCCGTAGAAATATTCAGAAAATGCTAAACTTACATATTCACCGTTGGTCATGTTTAGCTCGGCAGCAGCGGCCTACGCAAAACACGCTTTGGTATCGTGGCTGGATTATATGCAGAAATCTGGGTTTCATCTGCTTGAGCCTTCTTACCAATATTCGTCTCATCGCTTTAAAAAGGGTGCAGCAGACAATAACTAGAAACAGGCAATCTCGTTATTCATACATAATAATTCATAAACAGCGAAACTGGTTTTCTACGACAGCAAAAATATCTTCTCGTTTGCTGTACAAAATTTTTGCAAAAATAAACTGTATCCCATAAATTACGAGTATACATATTATACGCGTATTTACTATTTACCAAGCCATTCTTCGTAAAGGTACAAAGCAGCTTGTATAGCGTACAACGGTACAAGTATATGAATTTATTTCACTGAATAACGTTTGTTACGCTATACATTACTGCGGCTGTACGACGCGGCGGTTCGTAGAGTATCATAAGCGGAAAAATCCTCTGCCGTTGAATCGAACGTTATCAGTTGGTACTGGACATCGGTGCGCTTGCTGAGGTCCATGGTTACCCCCTCGCACTGGGTCTGGGAACGGCCAGAATTAACGTACCCCGGCACTCTCTTGAATTCATCGCGTATAATGACCACGTAACGCCAGTTGAACTTCTTCATCATATACCACACAGACTGACCAAATAAAATGAAGGAGGCGGTGGACATCGTCACGGCTGTTGTATAGCGGTCTCTTCGAATCGCTACGCTGGTTGCGCTAATTAGCATTCAAATTTGCACTGCTTTATCTGCTTGCAGTGACACGGAATAAATAAATTTTTAGGAAAAATCGTGCTGACTTACCATGGTAATACTGCTATATCAAGCTCTACATAAAACATAAAAAAGTGAACAAGTGATATACACATTAACTGTTTCAGTCATGGTTCTCTTGATAGAAATCTACTCACCTCGCAAGAAATCGGCGATGGTGGGGAATGCGTAAGCACACACTAAAGAAAACCGTTCGATTCTCTCGGCTCATAAATTTCGAAATAAATTGTACAGAACTTGGAAACGGCTAGCTGTGTATTAAAAACAGCTAGACATGTGGGTAGCAAATAGCCCATAAACCTGTTGCGTTGTACATAAACTGCAAGGGTTTTTAATAATAAATTTAGTTTAACACAGTACACACCAATTACCAAACTCCGCTACATAGGGTATACAACGATAAAACACGCAAATCTGGGACGTGTAATTTGCAAGTAATCAGATTTTGCCCGGCTTGTTCGACAATTCTTAATTACAGTGCCAAATCGAAATGCCGCTGTAAAGCAACTTTCTGACTTGGCACTTCGAATGTTCTTATTAAGAAATGTTAAACGAATAGGGGAAAATCGTCAAGGATTTCTTAACTATGAAACTCCTGCTTTAGAAATTGTAGACTAATAAAATATCCTTACAAAGCTTAACGTCGCAGCCGGCTTGCCTTAAGGGCGGTTGCGCCTTCCTATGCTAATAATCGGAATTCAGCCGTACCGGAACTGAGAACAACCGTGACGCCTTGGCGATTAAACATCCCGTGGCTGTACCATTTCGCCATCTGGAGCGGCACCCAGGCATCGCCCACCGGCCGACAGATGGGCATATCGGCGGGCCAGGATAAATCCAGTTTGGTGAAGTTCTCGTACAGTTCCGGATAGCGCTGTTGATTGTGCCGCAAGGCCACGGCGAACGTGGACTGCATCAGATCGGCTGCCGAACCGCTGGCGTTGGCATTGCTCAGGGTGATCACGTTCAGTCGCATGGCATATACCGTGGACACCAACAATTTGCAGGATATCCAAGCCGTTAAATTCGATCCGAAATATTTCCACATTGCCGGATTTTATTTCGGCGGTAATATTATTTATTGCCGAACTTCAGTATACAAATACATAAGATGCGATCATGCGACACATCAACTACTGCAGTGATTTAAAATAGCCTATAAAACGGTAAGGAAGATACTGGAGCGCATTAAAAGCTAGATGATCCAAACGGTTTTAAAAACCTGAATGGATCCGCCGGGGATTATGAGCACGTGAAAGAGTGAGCATTTGAGCGCGGCTTTACATGGACAAACGATGAATTTGGCAGGAACCGCTTTGTGCGCGATCGTAAGCGACAAATTATCGATATTTGTCAGAGATACCTTGTGTCAAGATATTATTCTGAATTTCAGTAGCCTCACTGCAAATACAAAAATAAATTCACCATCCAACAACAGTTCACTGAAATTATGGCATATTCTCTATCTAGTATCAACAGGGATGACCTTCCTGAGATTTCGTTCCCGTGTTTTCCCACGCAAACGCTGTATGTACAGAGGTAATGGGCGCTGGTTCGTGCTTCATACACCGAAGAACTTCACGAAGTACACATGTAATACGATACATCAACTTAATACAAATCATTAACGTCTGTGATCTGATGTGCACTAGATTACTGCAACACTGGGAGCATCTTATAATTTCCGGAATAGCTCCCACAGCGCAATAAGCCCCTGGAACAGAATACAGTCAACGGTGAAAAAAGGTGGGGCAGTAGTGTGTGTGGTTTTCCTTCCGTTAGCGCACCCGTTATAAGTATAGTCGCAACATCCGCTCACCGCTCCATTTTTCGGCAGATCACATTTCCGTAAAAGCAATTAGCCAAATTTTTTTAAGCTCTTAATTAAATCTTCTTTGCGAAATGGATTTTATCGAACACTACTATTAAATTTTTTCATTAGGCATCTGAACAGAATTCTGCTCATTCGTATACATATAGTTTATTTTTGCCCTGAAGTTTCGCCAAGTTTCTCTGTTGTCGGTAAGTTGTTATTCGTGTCTGCCGTTGGGATCAGTTATGTCCCGTTTATTGTGAACTTAGCACGTGCCGCAACCAAAGTTTTTCTCGGTATTATACGCATCATGCAAGGAAATGCTGAATAATCACTCCTCATCATAATCAGAAGATTATGTAATAAACCATTTTCTCGGGGAATCTATAAAATACATATTCTCGCTGTATCACCAATACGGTTACCACAAAAAGATCTATGTATATAAGTATCAATCCAGGCTGTGGTGAAGACAGGTTTCCTGTGGTAAAGTATCATAAAAATTTAATCACTTTATTATGCAAAACAAATCGGCATAAAGGCAGTTTAGACATCTAACTTTATGGTAAACTTTAAAGTAGTATCACAGAATAATAATATTAACGATAAGATGTACAGAGAGTACAACCCTTTAGAGCGACAACGACATAACAATTAGGAAAGTATAAACGATTTCCGTACAGTCGAACTTAGCATTTTATATAAGTAATTATAGAATTTTTTGCAGTGTGGCGTTTCTGGTTCCATGGATGGAAAAATTCGCACAGCATTGGCATATGGATTGAGTTAAACCATAGCGGTATTGCCGGTTGTCGTTTTTATCCAGTCAAGCAGTCCAGACACTCTCGTGTAGACGGCGGGCTTGTTACTGGTACAACTATAAAATCAGCCGACAATGGTTATCTTAGTTACATCTTGCAAGTACTTTTCTCATATTTTTAAGCAGCATCAACTTAATGTTTGACGGTTTGTCGGATTTACAAGTCAAAAAGTTTGACAGTAACTGTCCATCTATTATGCATAAGTACGCACCCAGCTCCAAAACTGACAATGCCATGTAGAACCCATTTCCGGCTGGCGGGGTCTTGACACACCAACGGACCGCCGCTGTCACCCTATAATAAGCACCCAGTGCAATAAAATGTTAATCAATGCCTTTAAAAATCATATGCTTTCGAGTATAATTGCCACAGTTACCTTGCAAGCATCGGTTGTCAGCGTCGGCGTCCCGGCACACACTTGCACCGCCCCGGTGACCATGCCGCCCCAGTACCGCCGCGCGCACTGTTCCCGTCCAATAATCTGGACCCTCCCCTGTTGCAGTAGCGGTTTATTCATATTCCCGATGGGTCCGGATCCGCCCCATCCCGTCACCATGCAGTTCGTTCCCTGGGCCACATCCTGACACGTCGACGGAATGCACACCGGGCTGACTTGGGCTTTAAATGTCAAATTGGTCGCCAAACGGAGAATGGCAATGTCGTTGACGAAGGTCCGCTCGCCGCCGTATTGCGGGTGGCGCCCTACGCGCAGCACAGTATGATCCACTTGACTGGCTTCTACGCGGCTCTGATCGTGATCACCGGCACGCACCACGTATTGGCCATTCACACCACTGTATAAAGATATTTAACTGTTGTCAGCATTTTCTGAGTATTCGTTATCGTCTGTGTTAGTTTACTCAAGCAAGCAATGTGCCGCGGTCACCACATATTTCTCGGTGAGAATGCTGCCTCCACAGATCCACGACACCTGGCCGTTGGGATAACGGACACCGAGACGGATCTGCCAGGGCCAACTACCGGCAATCGCGTCGCTACCACCTGTTGAAAATGATTTTTGATATTTATAGATCAAGTGCACACCAGATAAACGCTTTCTCAATATTTAGCAACGCACCTTTGACTCGTGACATCTCGGAGCGGGGAGATATCTGTGGGGTACCGCAGGACACGGCACTGTCAGCCAGGCCTACAGATTAAAATACTTAATTAACTGAATATGTTTCTAAGTTGAATATACCACATTAACACAGTTTAATAAAACATTTGAGTTAATTAAGCAGGGACTTTAACTTCATAAAGCAGCTTACGGAAAGAAGCCAGAAGGCCAACAAAAAGTGTACAGAAGAATGCAGCGGGCATCGTTATTATGCTTTTGGAATACTTATTAGGAAAACTAGTGCCACTAAATTATCCGGAACGAATGAGTATGATTTTGTTAACTATGTGCTTTAGTCCTTAAATACCCGGCTGCTGCCATTTTACAGGTCTGTGTGTCGGCAGCCGTATTTTCAGTACTCTGTTTACTAATATGAAGACCTATTCCAGTGCCCTGTTTCCTGCTACGTATGTGGTTGTTTCCTGTTTTTATTTCCTCACCACTTCCGAATACCAGGCATCTATTTAACGATTACAGGAATGATGAATGTAACCGGTTCCAAATTGCTGCCCTACTGCGCTTTGTAGATGACATCCTTCGGGTGTTGACTTCTAGTTAAGAATGCAAACATTTTTGTTGAATCATTATTCAAGTGTGCTATTCAGATGTGCTGTCTCCTTATGCGGAAGGAAGTCTGCACCCATTGAGCACCATTGCACCAATAACAATAATTGTTTATTCGTCTGCGTTACTATATTTCCAAAAATGTGGGGTATTGTGGTACGGTGTACTTACAGATAACGCATACAAGTAAATCTTATTACCATAAAAACAAAAACATAACACGAAATTTGTAGTATTAAAATGCGACAAGAGTGTGCTTCCTGGAACACATACGAGTATTGGAAGCGTTACTACCAAGGCCCTTTTTATTTAAAAATAATATTTAAAACTACTCTTTATTTAAAACTTTATTTAAAACAAAAGTTTTAGTCGGTGCATTTATGTTTGCATGGAACGCCATCATTTGCGGATTACTTTCTCTACTCGTACGGTATGTGTCTCGATACAAGCACGATAGCCCTACGTTTGTCTTATTGAATAGTGCTTACTATGCAGTTCTCCCAAGCTAAGTACAAACTGCAATTATTATGATGACTGCATCAGCGGGCAAAATACAGGCAGCCCGATGTGGTATATGAATTGACTCCGTACTCCGCAGAGCTGTATGGAACTTTCCCACAACAGCCGGGACAGATCTGACTCAGCCGGCATCCTCTTCACTTCCGCCGGTTGCGCTCTTCTTTTCACGTCTGGATACGTATGTGATCTACCATGACTACGGTCCTACCGGCGTTTTCCCATTGCAAATCAATATCGCACAGTTCAAGGCTGCGTAGGTTGCATTCCTGCATTTCAGTTACCCGGGCGACGAAGTCGTGATGATCAAAATTAATACGCTATTACCGTAATAATAAGCATTGGAATCTGTTTTAGAGTAATTATGATTATGACGGAAATGTTGGAGATCTTACGACATATTCCGAAGGTGGAACTCCACTGCCATCTAGAATGCGCGGTACAATTTACGACCCTTTTGGATGAGCACCGCCGGCAAGGAATACCCCTTCCGTTTACGGCAGAAGCCGATCTACGAGAATATTTCCTCATCGAGGAACCTGTCGACGATTTTCAGCGATACCTGCTTGCCATAGAAAGACATCAGGTAAAAGCTCTCAGCCGGAGTATCTGTAAGTTTTATGTGATACGAGCTTAATTGGTTACAGTTGTCTTAATTATTGCCCGGTTTGTACGTGGTAGTTAGTACTAACAATATAATTACACAAATTGAAACATTTTATCACCAGGCTGACTAGCAATTACGAGACTTCTTTCATCGAAGGTGATATTTGGCGATGTCAGTGCTATTTCCCGAGTGGCAGAAGAAACGGTGATTAGTAAGGCTGCCGATAATGTCAAGTACGGTTAACGTACATGTACATTGCACCGCTTTTCGTACTGGTATTCGTCTCGTGTTCTGGCGCTCTACCCCAACATTTTTTTGACATAATTAATATTGCGAGTACCCATATTTATTTACGTTCCGCTATCCGCAAATCGCTTTGCAGTTTGATGCATCGATGGCCTTAACTAACAAAAAAATGTAAGATTTATGGGTGGGTTTCAGATTATTTGAGCTGCGCTATTCTCCGACATACATGTCCAGGCAGACCAAGGGCCGACTTTCACAGAGTACCATTCACGAAGCGGTCAAAGCGGGCGTGACGAGAGGTGTTGCAGCCGCCTTAAATAATAACCAGGACATCCATGTTTTTCTCATCTGCTGCGATCACGTAATTTTTAAACACTGTAAGCATCAAACACTTATCTAGACAATACCTCAAGTTTGTTTCGTCTTTTGTCTGGCTTACAGCGCCCTGGGATGCGGATGGATTTAAAGACAGCGTTAACTTTGCGCTTCACCACAGGTGGGTCACAGTAAAATAAAGAAGACGCTTTTTAACTAGTGGATAACTAGTAGGTTTCTTAAGAAAATGGCCCGGTGGCGCATGGTGTCGAAAACGGTGTTACTAATTCACTTTCGACTTTATGGTCATGTGTCTTTTACAGCAAAGTTTTCAAGAAAGTTGGGTAATTACCAGACTTTTGGTACACAACAATGCGTTTAAATTTTTTGCTCATTTTAGTTTGCCATATCTCGGCAAGCGGATGTTGCGCTCAAACGGGTTTTCAGAACGATGCAAATCATTTGGCTTTTCGACATAAAATATTACTAAAAAGTCTTTCGGAGCGCGCGAAAGCGAAAGTTTTAGTGTATGTATCCCGTTTTTGACACCATGTACCGGGCCATTTTTCTTAACCAACGGAAAAGCTTCCGATTCTTTTAGAGCTGACTTTGTTGGGTTCGATGTGGCCTGCACCGAAGCCGATATGAACCCGTGTTCACCGTTTCTCGATCGCCTTAAGGATGCCGGCCTAGGCATTACCGTACATGCCGAGAGCGACATGGAACCGGAAAAGATCCGCTTCTTGGTGGATAGGTTGCATGCAAGTACAGTACTAGTGGAGATGTCATTTCCCATTTCATAAAGCTGTTCCCGACGCTGATGCTCAGTATATTACTATGCCGACAGCGCGGGTTGGACACGGACTGCATGTGCCTGAGGATTCTGCCATCTTCGCCTATCTGAAAGACAAACGTATCCATATGGAAGAAGCCCCAACGGCCAATGTGCGGAGTGGAGAAGTGGAGAATCTACAAAATCATCCCATCCAGCGGTATATCCAAGGAGGATTTAGTGTCTCGATCAACTCGGACGACCCCGGGATTCTGGATCACACGTTAACGGGTCGGTTTCCGTTGGGGTGCCGAAACAGTATTAAAAACACATGCTATCATTATTGTCGTTTCAGATGAATATCATGTCCTGCACCACACATTCGGCTATGACATGGCTACATTTTTAAAAATAAATCTTCTGGCACTGCACAGTTCCTTTGCAGCAGAAGATGTCAAACAAAAACTGTTGGATTTATATTTTGTGCGGAATCTAAAAACAAGCGTCAGCTGAAGTGCTGGAGATTTAGCTTTGTATTATGCTATGCAGCAGTGCATATTCATCGACGGTGTAAAGACGCTGCAAGCGATTCGTTAAAACAGCATCGCTTTATTATTTGTTTGATATGCTCCATTTTATAAACTGTGCTCGATGGAATTAAAAAGCGTCTGTATGACCACGCCTTCGTTGAAGTAAGTACGGAATTCCTATGATTTTAGGAACGTAACAATACTGAACTCGCAAATTATTCAGCGCTGAATTACATAGCAGTGTCTTCTGGCGACAAAGAACACCAGCTAGTGCATGAAAACTATGTTTACAAATAGTTTATCTTTCTTTATCGCTGGAACGACCGAACGAGTATGTCCTGGAAGTTGAAGACACATAATTGCTCCGCGCTTTTTACATGATTAAGGAAGGAAATCCATCTAATTAAATTTACTGAAGAATGCATCGACAATGCACTAAAAGTTGGCAGTGAGCGTAGTAAAACAGGTGGAAGAGCACTTGGAGTAGTCCGGATCGATGGTGCCCTAAGAATCGTAGTAGTGGAATTACCTAAAGATCGTTACGTATCGCTTGACACAAAAGGAGAATTCAACAACTGCATTTTTTGTAGCAGTATCATCCAAAAACTAAGGGTGCAAGGGTTTTCAAGATGTGTGCAATTAAAGCATAGCAAAATAATCGCAGAGCTGACACGAAATATCAGAGCGTCATTTCGAATATGTAACAAGCTGGAGCGACATAAATGCTCACCGGACACACAAACTAAAAAATGAATTATACTAAAGTAATTTTCTACCTATTTTTACCGAACATTATTAATTTTGTAAAGCCAGCAGTACGAAAACGGTAAATCAAACAGCGCAATGGCGACAAAGAAGAACTTAAAAATATCCAGGGATGACCTATGTTTGTGGCAGGGGAACTTTGTGCTGTGTGCGATACATTGCCGGCTTTCTTAGATAACTCCTACGGGAGGCAGCCATCCTTGCATTTGCAGACGAAACCCAGCCAGCTCCAGGAGCAGGATGCACCCACGGCACTGCATACCGCCGATCGTCGGCAACGGTAACTGCAGCTGGACATGCAGCGGCGGTAATTGGAGTTGCGACGTTCCCGATACAGCACGGTTTCCTAAAATTGCACTGCATTAAAACGAGCGTCCTGATCGGCAAATAGCAGCAATTATAGCCTTCCAGGGATCATCCCATGGGAATGCACTGGCTTGGAAGCAGCTTGGCGGAGCTGCTTCTACACAGTTAGTGAACCAGTCGAACATATGGCACAAAATTGACTGTCCGAGACATGGATCGAACAAAATTTCGAATTCATTGACGCCCACGCTTAAAAATAAAAATTTTTTAAGAAGAAAAATAATACACCGTATGAAAATAAAGAGTCCGCTACAAAAAATCGAGCATGCATTCCTATTTATTCGCATGTACTATCGATAAAAGTTGAAGTAGGTGCAATAACAGTAAGTAACCACAATGTTTCCGCATAAGTTATTTTAGCAACCGATATAAAATTTGGTAACCACACTTTAATTTTCCGCGCTATGATAAAATCACTAAGCTTTAAAACGAAGTTTTAAACGCAAAATTCTGCGAACTCGTTACGGCAGCTGCATGGAAATATGTTTACCAAATGCATGATCGGTAACGAACCTGTAGATCGGTTATCCCCGACTCGGTGTCCTTCGTGTACATGGTCAGCAGCAGGAAAGCAATAACTGTAAGGATCAACATCTTACGTTCCATATTCGTGTGCACAGAAAGGGACAAGCAAACTATAAGGTAATATCAGGCAGCTGTAAGGTCACGAGCAGATCGACTGACTTGATGGCAACTACTGCACCCTACTGCCTGGATCCTGCTCTGGCAGCTTCAGACAGCTCCATTAAGTATTTATGCACTGAACATCGCGTATAGCTTACCGTATTTTAACTAAGCGGTTTCACGGCAGCATGAATAATTAAATTAATTAAGCCCTCGGTTGAACGCCTTAATAGCCATTGGTGCGGCAGCTGATCAAGGATGATGAATTTTCCCTCGGTCGGATGTTCATCGTTAAGCATCGCTGGGCATGCAAAGGGAATTATGGGACGAGTTTTTACCGGTATACACTTTCCGCTTCGTTATCGTCCTGCACGCGTATCCTGTTGTGTTAATGGCGAATCGCTTGTCGATTGGCGTATAGCAGCAATTTGCCTTACTATCTCTTTGCGTCTTCTGCGTTTCTCTTTGGAATGTTAATGCCAGGAAAGCGCAAATGTCAGTATTACGATTGTACGCTTGTTAACCATCGTACTGGTATATTCTATAATTATTTTTTGTTTTTCGGAGGATCCCGAGATATAGTTTCTGGTTTAGAATGAACAGTAACAAAATTGCATTAAACTATTTCTAATATTAGTGGAATTTAAAAACAATAAAAACTCGATTAAAGGTACACAATTCCCATATAAAAATTCACTACATAATTGTCGATACTCATAGTAACTCAACTCGTCGATTTCTGTGTGAACATTTACATCAGCAAAACTAATAATAATTTTATAAAGACATTGAACGATCAATTTTCTGCAAAATAATTTTTGTCACATATTGTTTGTCGATTCCAAGGAAATATTAACTTCATGTGGTATTTAAAAAGGAGTTTAAAGCCGCATCCAATCGTCAATCGATAACAATTTTCTTTTGCCTGGACGGGAATTTCTCATCGGGGAAGCATAAAAGTAGAGTTGTTATTTTTACCGTGCTGCCGGCACTGTACAGACTGTACACACAAGTCAGCCAAAGGGAGAGAAATGCAAGCCAAAGGGAAAAAAATTAACAGTTGCTGGTTGTGTAACGTCTTGCTAATGATTCATTCCGTGCAGTGCGCCGTACGCCTACCGTGTTTGTAAGATTTCAAACACGCGGATCCGGTTCCTTTTATACATGCACCGCACGTATAAACACGTTCGACTTCTTTGCGGCGGAAACTGATAAAATCAGCTGTGCGCCAGGTGCTTCATCGGCAGATTGTATCTTCTTGATAAATGTAAATCGCAATTCCTGCATTTACCTTTATCTGTCTTTTACGTGGCTGCATTTGTTCGGCGGTAAACCCATTCCAGTCGAGCATCATGCATTTTGATTTAAAAAGCACTGAAAAATGGCGACACCTTCCGAAAGTGGAACTGCATTGCCACTTTGAAGGATGTATTCCCTATGAAATCGTTATCGACGAGCACCAACGCCAAGGCATTCCGCTGCCTGCCGCGTCCGATGCAGAATGCAGGAAAGCGTTCGTTCTGGAGAAGCCGGCGAAGAATCTGGAAGATGCTCTCCCTACGCTGGAACGTGGCGCAGTATGTGCTTTTGTCATGAAACTTAGTAGTTAATGTACTTTTCTATCATATACTGTAGCAATATTGATAAATACCGTAATTTACAATCTCAGTAATATTTGAATTACTCAGTTTTTATTTCTCAATATGTACAAAGCGAGCTTCGCTCAACAATAATAATCAAATGAAGAATTCGTCCCAATTAACCCACCAACGCCGGGTACTAGAAGGGATAGGAATACCGATTCGAAAATTGGTATTCCTCGACGAAAAAATTCAATTAAGAAAAATTATTTTTTGTGAAATTTTCTTGACCATAGGACGTCACGATGCCAAAATGGCACGCATGGGAACTGAGCCAATTGGCATCGTATAGTTTTACTCAAATAACAATTCATAAAAAAATCGTACAAGAACATAGTTTAGTTTAAACAGAAGGTCTTGACGAGCGCTATTTAATTCAGCAATTCAAATGGTCAGCGAGATGACCAGTGGTCAGCAAGAATGAAAAATGCATAAAATCACCTATCAGAGTTGACATGGCGCAAACATGATAATATATATATATATAATTATGAGACACGGAAACGGAAATGAGTACAGTAGTCTCAGTGTGCTGTGTTGGATTGTGACTGGCATGGACTCAGCAGTCATTGTCAACTTGCAGTAACAGCACCTGTGTCCAGTCCAGAGCCGACGCCATACGCTGGACAATAGTGTAAAGGCAGTACTGTACCATTTTTTAAAGGCAGTACTGTAACATTCTCGTTTTATTATGACGATAATGTTAAACCTATCGTTATGATTGCTGCTTTTCTCATTACTAAGACGCAGAATCGATCGGCAGGCCTCTCTACCCTAACCTAGAAAGCAGATTAGTCCGACCGGTGTACTGACCGGAAGTTTAGCATATGCAGTAATAAATGCTAATGGATTCATAAAGAGATAGTACATTATTTAAAGCGCATACTTATAAACTGCATATAAATTCAAAGTACTGAGGTGACACTGCATTATTCAAAACTTTACAAAAGTATAGAAACACCGGAGGCCAGGTGCTACGTATAAGGCGCAGGAAGTTGTAAGCCTGGCTGTTACATTCCGGCCATGCACCGAACGACATCGACAACGTCACTCAGTGTGCGAGCATTTTTATTTTTTCTTGTTTCACATTTTTCCTTAAGGGAAATGAGCAACCTGATCATTTTCACACGAAGTCCTATGGATACTAAAAGTGTGATTTTTTGGGTAATTATCGGATGCGGGAGGTTTTGGGCAGGTGGCCGAGACCTTGGCGAACCTAGTCTGGTCATTTCTGTCCACCTTTGGTTATTCCCAAAGCTCTATGGTAATGCTGGACATTGGAATTTCATGTTTTTAATTATACTTTCACTCTTCGCCTTTGAAATAAAACCAATAAACACACTGTAGGAGCTTTAGAACTAGCTACAAAAATTCGGTCCTTCACCGTGCCAATTGGCATGCATGGTGTCGACCGGGTTAACATGAGAAAAGACTGTGCAAATTTGAATTACTATGTTCTTTTGTTGTTTCTGTGTTACTCTGTATGCTGAGCGAGATTATACCTGTGTTTGCAAATTTAGATCATCTTTGAAGAAGCGCGTGCCATCACTCGTGTTGCCAGCGAAGTAGTTTTCCGAAAAGCAATGGAGAATGTAAAGTAGGTACTGAGCACTGAATTCCGTGTATACTATATGTTCTAAATTGGTATACTTCGTACGAGTAAAACGTTCAAGATGACAGATCGTGCATTACTGACGTTCAGGCAAGTTGGCATTATATTTCTCCTGTAGGCTGCTGGAATTGCGATACTGTCCGCCGTTTGTTGAATCCAAGAGCAAAGGCAAGATATCAATGGAGGACGTCCTGGTGGCCATACAGGAGGGCATCACCTTCGGCATCAACCGGGCTCGGGAACAAGATAAAGAAATCCATGTCTTCCTGATCGCGTCGGGACTGGCTGCTCTGGGCAGCGAATCACTGCAAAAGGCCGTAGACTTCGTAATTAGGCATAAGTACGTAGGCAAACATGCACATTTTATAAGAAATTCCGTTTGCGCCAAAGGTTGCTGCTTAAAGCACCACCAAACTAGCTATAGCGATTGGTCGACCGACGTAAACGAAATGCTGTCTTGAATTATATCGTTAATCCCTTTTTGAATCTGTTTTGCAGGAAGGACTTCGTGGCTTTCGATTTGTGTGGACCGGAAAAGGATCTCAATCAGTATGACAAGTATCTGAACCAGGTCCATGACGCCGGCATTGGCGTCACCATCCACGCAGCGGAAAGCACCGAACCGAAAAACGCCCAGATTGCCGTGGAGAAATTACATGCAAGTACGGCTGAAGAAAGTATTTTTTTATATCATGCAATAATTAAAACATGTTAAGCAAATAAGTGTAAGCATTAATGGATAACTGACATAAAGCATTTTGCGTTCTAGAACGCATTGGACATGGCATAAAAGTCGTGCAAGACGCGGCAGTGTTCGAGTATCTCCGACAACACAACATTCACCTAGAGATCAGTCCGATTAGTAACTTATGTACCGGTGAGGTGAAGGCCGCCAGTGAACATCCCATCGCGAAATTCCACAAGGATGGATTCAGCCTGTCCATCAACAGTGACGATCCGGCATGTTTCGGCTCCTGTCTTTCCGGTAAGCGCTAAACCGGTATTTTACTTGCGTTAACTAACTAAGATCGCTGGCTTAAGCTTAATCTAATGAATGTTCCGATGATGTTTTGTAGATGATTACGCTCTAATTCACGAAAAATGTGGATTCGGCACAGCTGACTTCTTTCAGATAAACCGTTCCGCGTTGCAAGCCTCCTTCGTATCGCAAGAGCTGAAAAATACGCTTCTCCAAGAATATTTTTCAGAGGAGAAGGAAAAAGAATGGATTTTTACTTTCGATTATTGACATGCAAAACGGGCAAAGAATTCTAACTGCAGCAATATTTCTAGTGTTTTCTGAATGAAAGTACTTAGCAGCAGCACAAACTTGCATTGTATTCACTTTTGAACTATCTAGTAAATTTTTCTTTCATGTTAATTATTTTTGCCAGTCAGAATGGGAATGTGGGTTAAATTTCGTTTTTGCAAGCACGTCTGCGGTAAAACAACAGGGTATATTACGAGTGGTTTGTGACGTAGGTATATTTTACCTGTTCAGGCGCAAACCGCAAAATTAACCTTAAAAAAACAAATCTGACGCCGTGTACCGGGGTCTTTACTAAGTAATATACGGTAGTTTTTGAATAATATTTCTTTTACATAACGTACCATACCACGGTTAGAACTTGCACAGAATTCGAGCACTGCACATTAACAGAAATATCTATATGCCTGCATTTGACTGAACTATCTGCACATGCACGTACATCTTATTGAATTTAATACCCATATACTAAATAATATCCATATTTTGTTAATAATAATAGCGCAGCTGCCAGAGAAGGCCTCATGGCCTTCAGGTTCGCTCGGAGCTGGAGCAGTTGCGCATGTGACGTCAGCGTCAGCGTCGTGCTCTTTAATAAGAATCAACTTAACACGTAACTGACAACAAACACACAAATACAACAGGTATTTAATAGGACAAGCAATGGCACACATTGCCTGCATCACAGAAAGGCAGATGTCAGGTGATTCAAAATATTTCAGAAAGTAAATATTTCAGAAAGTCAGGAAAAAGCGAGCGCAGCGAGAAATACAGAGTGAAAGGCGTTCGTAAAAGACACCCGTTTTCTTCAAATTCGAAATAGCTCCCCGAGCCCCAACAGAGCCATTCTGCTTAGCTTATTCACATCCAAAAGTTTCAGATCAATATTTTGCCATGACCTCGGCGTCCCATCTGTTTGAAATCCATTGAACCTGCCAAGAAAAACAGCATATTTCGTGTGCTGAACGATTTTATTTTCCCTTACGCCGCTGTTGTTGTTAAGTGTTTACTAACGTATCTGTACATTCTTTCCCGTTCTCGGTTTTCGAGTGCAGCCAGGACTTCGAGAGCATGGTTATGGACAGTAAATTCATGTGGGCGTTGGACAATAATTTCCCACTGGTCGCGGAAGAAGTTTATGAAAAAGTGAAGACTGTTCATGCTCGTTGGGTGCAGACACTCGCTTATCCGCATGAGTGGGAAAGGATCCGAGCATTTCTGACAGTGTAAGATTATTTTAAGTTGTAATTTAATACAGTTAGTGTACTCATTAAAAAGGGCGAAACAAAAAACTTATTATACAGTTAGTGTACTCACTAAAAGAGCGACTTTCGGGCGGTAGCATAAACCGTGCGATCACTGAATGTTCTGCTTGCATTAAAAAATCTCCGTTGGCCACTCAGCTTCGGGAGTGTGATCTGCAGTTATCGATCTCGAGGACATCCAGCTGGGACTCAGGTGTGAAACGCTTTATCCACATGACCTCGTGGGCTGGTAGCAACACGAGCCCGATAACAAGAGTGTCGAAAAATAATTGATACAGAGCTCGGCCAAAAATGTTGCTCAGTTTCCAGTTGTGCAGCAAGATACGTGCGCCGCTGTATTGGCAAAGATTTAACAATCCTGTCGCACCATGTCTATCGTGAAATGCTGTAAAATCCAGTTGGTGAAATCCTTTTCATTCCGTGCAGATAGCCGGGATGGATAATAGTGTAATCTTTCAAAATTATTGCAGGCAGCTTGAAATGCGCAGATTTCAGCAAATCAATGATTGCGTCCACGTTAAAGACTGGTTTCAGGAAAGTAATGCTTTTTGTCAGGGAGCTGACGGTACGGCTTAGAAGAGACACTGCTTTGTAGCAGTTGAAGTTGTCGGAGTTTGTTGCATTCGTGCATGCTTCCAAACAGATCCTGATGTGCTCGGAAGCTTGTCGACTGCTCAGCAGTTGCTGCCATAAAGCACATACTCTGTTGGAAAAAAAACGAAAAAGGCGTCAGCAAATACGAACACTGCATGAGATGCGAGTAACCTTCCGCTCTTTGAATTTGTGAACCTATGAAGAGATAATCTGTTCGCGTTTCGGAAGTACTGCTAAGCTGCAGACACACGTTGTACAATTTGCAAACTAAGTTTTTTTGGCGTCCTGGATAGCGAACTGCTGGACAATCAAGGAGGATCCCCCTTTTCGTTTTACGGTTGTGATCTACGTACGGGTACAGACTTCTCTACCTTTGCATTTTTGCACATGAATGCAGTTCCAGAAACGAAAAGATTTCGGTCAGGAGAGAAGGCACCAGATTATCAATAGGGAAGTCTTCGTTGAGCTCGTCCGCCGGTACGTCTACAAGAAGAGTTGTATGTAACCGCTCAAAACGACCAGTCGTCTGATACATCCGCCGGTTGTTTTTTCTAACCGTCCGAAACGAGCGGAGCCGCCAAAACAACCTTCGTAAATTTTGCCAATCCAGATTTTTTTGCATTTTTGACCATGAACAAATGGAACAAGTATAATTTCATATCCGGTCGTTGCTACCGGAGTGTAATTTTGTATCGGGTCGTTTCAGCCGGAGTGTATATAAGTGATATAACGCTCCGGCAGGACCGGATACGAAAATATACTTATTCTATTTATTCATGATCGAAAATGTAAAAAAATCTGAGTGGCGGCGGTCGTTTTGGACAATTACAGTTATACTAGATTATTGAGGTACAATATTTTACTGAGGCCAGTTTGTATGTAATGGAACATTACGCTAGCTATTTCCAATAGCGGGATCTCTCTGTCAATGTCCACATAAATACTGGCACTAGAATTTGTCGGTCAGTGAAACACAGTGCATTTGGCGACCGGCATCTGATCTAGACCTCGTATTATGATGAATTTTGCAGCAAAACTGGGACGCACGACATTACTGACCTGATTCGAATGGAAGCCCTTTCCTGTCGTGGTTTGCGAGGAAGAAAGGCGGCAGGTCGGCCCGGCTGGCTAGATGAATCAACAACAATTCCGACAGTGCCGTCGCCAACCACTGTAACGTTTCCGGGTCCGCTGACAGGCTGATGACAACGAAGATGCATCCATTGCGTTGAATCCGTAGATGAAATCGACAGCAGTCCGATAAGGTAGCCAACCGACTATCGCGATTCATCGTGCGGCGAAAATGCTTGATGGTCCGAGATCGGTCGGAAGCATCGCTGAAAACGTGCTGCGCTCTGTCAAACGGGATGAAGAATTTCCTGAATATTAGCCCTTCTACTCGGCACAGGAGAGGCGCCTCGTTGACAGGAGCTGGGCGACGATTTGGCATTTATCCGCCACTTCCGCGCGAGCCTTCTGAGGAACGCATTCCGTTTTGGAGATCTCAGTTTTCACATAAAATATTTGGCAAGATTGGCACGCGGTGATCATATTCACCACCACGGCTGGCCGAAAGCGAAATGGCCCGTCGTCTTCGTCACGGAGCGCCGCAGATACCTGCTTGCCTTTCAGTGGCCCGTATCTGTGAGTGTCATCAATGAACGGCAACGGCCACACGCGGCCCGTATGGATCCAGCTGGTTTGGACCTTTTTGGATCCAAATTCAATGAGCGCATAGCCTCCGCAGATATTCTGAATGTATCCCAGCCAATACTCGTTGGGGTCCTTGTGAACAACGACAGTGTTCTGATAGCTCATTTGCTGTTCATCAAACAAGAGCCGCTCATACGGTGGCATTGAACTTGATGCCATATTGCTCCGAGACCTGGACGTGCGAAAATGAGCATTAGAATTTAGATACATGAACTTCCTTAAATAATTATACAGGGAAGTGCATTATTTAACTGACGGAACAAAACCGCCTCTCGCATGTAAAAAATTAGTGCGATGGGATCGAACGCTGGATACCTCTTGTGTTAAGGGGACCACTATGAGATGACTTTTCGTTTAAATATGTTTCCAGTTTTAACATCAGCTTGTAGGAAATTTTTCGGGCTTCCAGAGAGTGTGTCCCGATACGGCACAGTAAACAGTGATCATAAGTTATAAGTAAAAAAACAAGGCTGGGTCAGCAGCGGCGCAGTAAATGCAGTGATCTTATCGGCTAGCCATGGCCAGCCACATGGCAGATATGCCACAGAAGATCTCAGACAGGACACCTGATGCTGTCCTGTGGCCGGAGCAAACCCATTCTTCCCTTGCAAGCTAGTGTTTTTCTCAATTTTTTGGTAAGTTAACAACATTTTTTATTAGCATGTTAGAGAATATAAGCTTTTCAGGCTAAAACACATTCAATGATGTTTATTGCATCTAATTCGAGAAAACTTTCTCCTTCAACTTTTGATTCCAAAGTTTTTTCTTTGTTTCTTGAATAGCTCTGTCTAGAGAGAGCGCAGACAAGATCGCAGCACACCATTGTATAGCCAAACCCTTTGCGCATGCAGACAGAACAATGGCAACAGTGATCTTTCAGCTGTTTTAAACTTATTCATGTTTTCTCAGACCCACTTTCATCTCATAGGGATCCCCTTAAATTGCAGTACAAACGGCAAACAGCAGATAAAATTCACCGAAACTAGAAATTTGGCTTGGAACTAACTAGGTAATCGCTGTTGTTGTTAAAATCTAGAAACTGGGGCACCTATTAAACTTTTGTGGAAGAGTGAAGCGGAAGCCACAGACTAGAGAGCAGAACTGAAGCGCTTTGTCGAAAACACTACTGTAAAGAAAGCTCATGGCTCGGGGCAGCAATTTTCGTTTTTAATGGAATTTTGCTTAATGGAACTGGATGTTTCCAAAAAATATTTTATTTTCCTTATTTTTAAAAATTAATAATTAAATCGTAATTTTCATTATTTATTATGATTACTAATAATTGTTTACACAATATGAATATATTTTACAATTTATTTTAAAGTTTTTAATCTTGTCCACTTTGTGGTAGAATTTCGGTGACAGTGTGACAGCCCCGCCTATTTAAGTTACGTCACAAATATTTATTTTTAAATTGTATTTTTTAAATAAATGTTTTCCTCTTGTGGTAGAATTTCGGTGACAGTGTGACAGCCCCGCCTACTTAAGTTACGTCACAAATATTTATTTTTAAATTGTATTTGTAAAATTAATATTTTCCTCTTGTGGTGGAATTTCGGTGACAGTGTGACAGCCCGCCTATTTAAGTTACGTCACAAATATATATTTTTA